AATGGCACTATCATGGAATGGGAAAGATTTGTGTCGTTCATCAACAGTGGTGAGAAAGGCATTGTCCAGTAAATGCCTTCCACTCGCACAGTCACATTCCAAAGTGCACTCAGGCTTGCAATAAACTCACACCTTAACAGGGAGGAAAGCATTTTGCCAGTGATAAAATTAGTGATGTCCTCATAACTGAAGTACAGCCTTGGGGAAAGGCATTGAGAGCCCATGTAAAGCTGATTAACAACTGCATAGTTATTAAACAAGGTAACAAGATACAGGGGGTTGAACTAGACTAGATGAACCTTGGGGTCCCTTCCAATTCTATGATTCTAACTCCATCGTCTGGAATAACTTTAGTATGTATTGGCCCCTGCTCTGCCATGGCACTACAATCTTGTTTTTCTTTGGCTTTCGAATTACACAGATACCCTTTCCTGAACACAAAAACATCTTGCCTGCCTTAAACTACCAAAATGTAGAATATAATCCCTTAATTCTGCAATGAAGAACAGCAAAAGAGGCTTGAGCCAAGGAGTCAGCCTCTTTTCTTTTGGCCTTAGGCCCACCCCCGGCCGGCCGTCCATTGTCCTCCCTGGCCAAGGGCGGGTCAAAGACCAGCTCAAGCAGTTGGGTGGCACCCGCCCAGGTGAGCCCCGCTCCATGCTGCAAACCCTGCCCACCTGTGGTGAAGGGAGGGTGAATATTGTTATGCTAAACACAGGTGTTACATCTGGGTCTATGGGCCATTGACAGTCAATTAGGATCTTTTCATTATAACACAGTCAGCATTCTGAAAAGAATTAGTCCTTTATCAATCATGATTTAAAGGACCACAGTCAAAGTATAATCTGAAATTTTTGAAAAGCTTCCAATACTTTTTTGACAAAATGTAAACAAAATAAATACGATCCCTTAATAGTCACGGGAAAGCAAAAGCTTTAGAAGTTTTGTGGAGATTAATAGTTTTGTTTTAATATTTGTCTATTGCAAAGAAGTAAAGATTAAAAGAAAGGGAGCCACAGGAATGCCACATCCAGTAGCCAGTGGAGTGCAGTGGCTCTTTCTACTCAGACAGCTTCTTGTATACTCAAAATGGATGGTCTTCCCTGGCAAGCTATGAGAGCAATCCACCAACCACTACTGCCATGAACCCCACCTTCATGTCTGTGGTACTAAAAACAGCATTTTATGGATATATACAATAAGGCCTTGTCTACACAAAGATGAATTTTAATACCAGTGAAAAATCTCCAAGGCACTGTTATACAGTATCTACTTGGCACTGGTCCACAACAACACACTTGTGATCAGATTTGTGATCAGAAGGAACCCAATAGGAAACAGTTATTATAGAACAGCAGACTTATCACCTTTGTGTTGCAGTATGCTTATATCTTCCACATTTCTAACACTTATGGAGAAGCAAAAGAAAACGGGGGAAAGGGCGTTATGAAACATGCAAATTAACCTGCACCAAGGAGTGGACAAAACAGTCAGTGCAATCCAGTAAATGCTGTTAGACCAAGACACATCACTGCAGCTGGTAATTTAAAATCACTCACTGAACAAATCTGTCTCCTAAAACAATTTAAATCAAAAATCCCAACTACTTATCCCATGGCCAATAAAGCTGCATATCTTCCCCATATATATGGTCCAAAACAAGGAAGGGTATATTTCTTATATACAAATGTGGACTTAAATTCAGCCTGCAGTTCACAGTCAGGCATCTCGCATAAGGTGATATATACCTACCATATGGTCCCTAGCCAAAGGGCAGAACAGTTGGATAAACAAGGGCACAGCAGCTGCAAAAAAAGGCAGGTACTCCATTGGAAATATTGAATCACTCCTTTGCTCCATCTATCAATTAGCTGATCTGATGATTAAAAAAAAAAATACAAGCAAAAATTATGATAGTCATTAGAGGCACATATCTTGACATTAGTACTTATTTCTTGATTGATCCAGAGATTAAGCAATGTAACAAATGTTCTCTCTGATGTTTGTTTGTTTACTTTTGTCATGAAAGATGCACCAGTGATGCATATATAAGCTCTTGCTGGTGCTGTCTTCAAGGGGGATGGGATAATAGAAGAAACTTTGCAGATTGGAAGCTATGAGACTGTTATTGTATTGTAGCTCTATTACAACTGGAGTACTTAGATAGTATTAAGAAATATGGCATTGAGTTGATATTATGCTTCCTGAACATTTTAGTATGTTATATTAAACTGTCACCAACCATTACATGGCAACAGCCATTCCATCAGGCTGTCGCAGACGAGAGAAGATAAGAAATGCAGTCAGAGCCACCATCTGCTCTGCTGAGAAGCCAGGCTCTTCCCCTCCATTAACTGTCATCTAGTAGCAACCATTACAGAAGGCTGCCGTTGGGAGAGGGAAGAGAAGGGATGCATGAGCCCTCCATGCAGACACAGCTGAGAGACCAGCAACATTTGGTGCCTCCTCTCCTTGAACCTTTCCACTGCAACTGGTCATTTGAAGAATTTGTAACTCGGAAGTATCCAAGTTTGTTCCCCGACTTCCTGCCTCCTGAGTCCTCCCACCCCCATCATAATCTTCCAAGCAAGTCTTATAAAGTATATCCACCATCTGATTACATTGCATGCTCTTGCCATTATGTAGGGTGGTGTTGGTAGCTGCTTGTCCATCTTATCTATGCAATGTCATCAGGTAATGCTCTTTTGCAAATGCCATGATGTGTAAGAACAATAATCTCAAAGGGCAACATCTCTGATGTCTTCATCTATTTCTAGACAGCTAAGTAACCTGGATCAGCAGGGGCTCCTTACAGGCTGAACACAGTGAGACCACAGTATTCTCTCCCTCTGTTTAATACACAAGCCTATGACATTTTGATTCCAGTTGTCTGAATTCATTTTCTCTTTGGTTCATACAAGTTCTTTCAGTGAAACTTGTGAAAGCATTACATGTGTTAATTTTGTTGTGGGTTAGTGAGCACCCTTTGATGTGTGCTATTGAGGGTACGGTATATGTGCCTTTTATTTCATACTTGTGTCCCCCTAGAAGTTACTCTTGCTGTTTTATGCAGCACAACATATACAGGTGCTGTCAAAAGTAGCATAAATAAAATGAGAAAGGGCAAAGGTTTGTTTGCCCAAAATTAAAAAAAGGCCAGGTTCCCATTGATTAGGCTAACCAAAATGTCATAAAATAGTGTGCACACTTTTGAGTTCCTTAGAACTTTTCACATAGCTAGATCAGGAGTAGCCAGGATGGTGCCCTTGTTGCACTACAACTCTCATCAGCCTCAGCCAGCATGGCCATTTGTGAGGGCCAATGGGAGTTATAGATTGGGACACATAGGCTGCCCCAACCTAGATGTTAAAAAGGATGGGGAGACTGTTGGTGTTAAAGTCTGTATACTGAAGCATGTGAGCAGCTAGCAGATACTCAAAAAGGAATCTTTTGGATAGCTTATTATCTACCTTTCTCCTCAGTGGGTGAGGGGAAACAAAAGGGAAAGAGGAAGGGAAGAGGAGGAGCTGATAAAACAATTACATAAGAGTGATCAGGGTAACAAAGGAAGAATGTAAGCAAATGCAGCATCAAAATGCCAGGCTGGGTACAAGAGGATTAGCAGGAACAGAGTTTGGTTTCTAGTATATCACATGGAGATTCTTTTAGGAATGCAGAATCAGGGCATTGTTGTGCAAAGTATCCTCATCATCTTCAGCTTCTTTCAGGCAGAAGGGGGTCTGGTTATGAGCAAATTGCTCCCAAAATTTTGGCAGTAGGGCAGGAGTATTTGTGTTAACTTTTCCCTCATCTGTCTCACTCCACCTCTTTAAACATTTTTATGAACATGAACAGACAACCCATTTATACCCTTGTTCATAATGTGGATGCTGTTCTGCAGGCACTTGTAGTGCTTTAGGAAGCATATCAGTGTTTTCATGAGAACTATTTAATCCCCCAACTTTGGAGAAGCAGAGGAAAAAGCAGTTGCATTAGGATTCAGATAAATTTAAGGGCGTCCCCCCCACAATGAAGCAGCGGGCCAGAACATCACTATTAGACCTGAAGATGTGTGTGGGTAGGGAGGAATATACCTACCTGCAAATACTGATGTGACCTAAAAGGCTTTCATTTTAACTAACCCCCACCCCACCCCAGTTCCTGTAGCCAACCTTTCACAATGCAGATTCTAGGAAAAGCTTGAAAGCTGGCCCTTACCAAATGACATTTTGAAGGGGGCAAGAAAAGGAACACTGCTTGCGTTTTATGCTTAAAACTTAAATTTTTTGAACGTGATTTTTTTTTAAAGGATTTTATTATTGACAGGTTGCTTTCCTTTCTGCATAAACACCACAGAATTTAGAGTAAGATCTTTCCGTTTACACCTTCTCCCAGAACCAGCTTTCCCCAGTTGCAGGCAGCCTTCCTCGAGGAAGTATGGGCAATTTCTGAAGTCCCAAGATTTTATCTCACTTTTCTTTCTTTTGCCATACTGGTTGCTAGGAAGCTGACGCTACTTAGCAAGCCCCTTTCCAATTAATTGGTTGGTTTTTGCCAGCACCGAGGATAGATAGCATAAATTCCTGATTTTTTTATTTATTTATGGTTTCGGGGTTTCTCTGCTCCCCTTTCAGTCTCAAGTCACGTTGCGTGTTCCCTTTCCCTTTTGCGCTGTAGTTTTGTTAAAAAAAGAATTAAAAAAAAGAAAAATCCTGCCTGCACCGTCAACTGAGCGAGTGGACGGGAGGCTCGCCTCTATTACCTCCTCCGAGCTCTTTATGAAGCCCCACCAAGCCCCTAAACCCACGGCTTCTGCCTCGCTCCTAACCAGCATTTCACCAGACATTCCCCAGGACCAATAAGCAACTTCAGCGAAGTGGGAGGGCCTATATTCTACCCCCCGCCCCCACGAATAGGCGAAGAGCTGCTCATTAACCTGCCCCTTTTGATCTTTGTCGACACAGATACCAGTAGCCCCACCCCTAATTCCTCTTCCTGCCCTCGAGATCAACGTCCCCTTCTCGCAGCCAATGGGAAGTTCCTCCTGCCCTTGATGGACGCCCCCTGCTTCCAATAAGCGCTTTCGAGCGGCAAGGTCCTCGCCCCCCGGTAGGCGGCGTCCCCCTCCCTTGCCAGGCGGGCGAAGAAGGCCGCGGTTATCGATCCCGCTGCTGACTAGAGGGAGGAGGAAGCATCAGCAGAGAAAATGGCGGCCGTGGCTGCGACTGCGGCGGTGCCGGGTGATGGTGGAGCCGGCGAGGCCGAGCCCATCCCGGGCAGCGAGGCCGGCGCAGACCCGCTCCCGGCTGGCACTCAGGCCGCCGTGGAGTCGGCGGTGCTCGACGCCCGGGAGGAGCCCGAGCCAGCCCCGGGGGGAGAGGCCGAGGAGCCGCCGCCGCCCGGGAGCCCCGCGGGGACCCGAGACCTGCCGCAGGCCCAGCCCAGCCCGGAGCCCGTCGGAGGGTCGCCTCAGCCGCCCTGCCCGCTCACCGCGGAGCTGTCCGAGCTCCCCCCCGGCGAGGAGGCGGAGGGACAAGGCGGAGGGGAGCAGCCGCCCTGCTTGCCGCTGTCGCCGCCGCCGCCGCCTGCAGCTGGGGGCCCCGCGGGGCCGGAGCCCGGAGAGGAACCGCCCCGGCCGGAGGAGGAGGAGCCGGATGCTGCCGCCACGGCCGTTGCGAAGCAGCCGGAGCTCGCTGCGCCCGCGGAGCAGGCGGTGGCCGCTGGAGGAGAGGAGGAGGAAGCGGCGGCGGCGCTGCTGCCCGGCTCGGAGGTGCTGGTCACCCTGGATCACATCATCGAGGACGCGCTGGTGGTGTCTTTCCGATTCGGGAAGAAGCTTTTTTCCGGGGTCCTCATGGATCTTTCCAAGAGGTGAGAGAGCCTGCCCGGTGTTTTACAGGAGGGAGACCCACCCTCCGCCGCCCTTCTCAGTCTCTCCTCCCAACTTTCTTTCTGGAGGTGGTGTCCTCTCGGCATCGGGGGGGTGGCTGCGTTAGATGAGGAGGTGGGTGAGCCACGAGGTGTTTGGTTTTATGGCTCCGCCAAGAGGGCGAAAGTGCCCTGTTGCAAATGGCCTCGTGGTCTGCTTCAGAGCCCTGCCTTCCTCCCTCTGATCCATGCAAGCAGGGAAGAGGTTTTCCCTCGCCCTCGAATTCCAACGTGATCTGTAGCCTACCACTACAATATTCTTTGTCTTTATTTAGGTACCCCCCCCCAATTTTGATTCCTCACGAAGTTTAGAAGGTGGGTTGGGAGGGGAACAGGCCGACCCGTCTGGACAGGGATCAAAAATTGGGGAGACTTCTCCTTCTTGGTAGCAAAAAGTTGGACCATAGTTCCTACTAGTTTGCTACTGATGCATAAATATGCAGTGATTTTATTTATACAGTACTGTATTATGAAAATTTCAAGACAATATGGTCCTATCCATAATGGCTTGGGGCTCATATTTGTTTTCCAGTTAAGTACTTAAGATATTTGAATTCACCTTCACCTTATTATTCTAACTTCAGAAGCAGTCAGCCTTCATGCTGGAAAAAAGTTGTGTGACAAGGTTGTATGTTGCTACAGCTTCACATATTGGGAAGTCACAGTGAGAATTGGCTAAATGCTGCATGGTCCCAGGCTTTAAAATAGTCACCCTATTCATAAGTTAAAAGGCACACTTTTCCCCACTACATACTGTGTATTGATTTTCCTTCTGGGCATAGAGAGAGGCCATGTAGAACAGGCTTTATGTAGAGGTTGTATCACAGTTTACAATCTTGGAGTGAATTTCTAGACACATCTTCATTATGGCTTTCCTGAGGGTGAATTAGGACAGGGGAAATGAATGTCCAGCCTATAGATGGTGTACTTGCTTGTAGAGAATGTGCTAAAAGTAAACCTAAGTAAACCTCAGCATACAAAGGGGGGGGGTGTAATTCTTCGTATTCTACTTCTGTGAGAGGATAATATTTGGGTGTGGCCTGGCCAGGGTATTCTGTGGGCTGACCTGCTGAACTGGGACTTTAACTTGGTTCCAAATCTAGCTTTGCCCATTCAAATGCATGTCCTTACCTTAAAACAGAAACTCTAGAATTGCCTTACCCAACATTATGCTCTTCAGGTGTTCTGAACTACAATTCCTATCAACTCCAGCCATTATGTTTAATGGTCAGAGATGATTGCAGTTGTAGACCAAAGCATTTGGAGAGTAGGTTGCAGGAGGCTGTTCTAGAGCTGTGTTCCTAACCTTGGGTCTCCAGCTATTTTTGGACTACAACTCCCATCATCCCTAGCTAGCAAGACCAGTGACCAGGAATGATGGGAATTGTAGCCTGAAAACAGCTGGAGACCCAAGGTTGGGAAACACTGCTCTAGAGTGTATGTTTTAAAGTAAGGATAAGCATATGAAAACGTTGTGAAACATGAAGTAACTAACTACCTGTACAGAATTTCATATATAGATTAGATAAAACTTTCTTGGATTTCATAGAATTTTTTGCTGCTGGTTAGTAGGCTGTTTTGGTGTAGAACATACCCGTTTTTATCATCTTCATATAAATAATGATACAGTGTGTGCACTTAACTGCTCCTTGAGTAGATAAAGGGGGCAATTTACAGTAGCTCTAGCTCAAAACATGAGGAGGGCACCATTTGGCAAAGGCATGGTGGCTGCTTGTACACCAGTTATGGGATACATGCAGCCATATGGAGGACTAGTTGCACGTAGTGTTTTGCTGTGGGGTGTAATCTCCTCTCCACTGTGCACATTGCCAATAGTTTACAGGGTGTCTTTAAAAACATATTTGCTGTAGAAAATGTGCCATGCCTTGCTACAGATAACCAGGTTGCCATATGGCTTTATGTGTTTCATGATGAATTTGCTGCATGGTGCTTGCTTGTAAACAGTCTGTTTTATCCAGTCTACCTTGGTAGAGATTATGTGCTTGCTCATAGTGAATAAGCTAAAGGTATCAGTCCTCTAATGCTTTAATTTGTTTATTCTTGGACTTTGAATATGTGGTTGGGTGTCTTACCTTACATTTTCTTTTTCAGGTATGGAGTCCTGATATGCTGAAAGAGTCAAGTAGGGGTGGAAAACAAAGCAACATCTATGTTGGCTTAGTTTAGATGGAAAGAGCAAAACACAAACCTATAAAAGCAAGAAGCTGAAATTGTCAGCAGGTTATTTCACAGTAATTGTATATTGTTTACGTAGTATTTTGATTGCCAGCTTGTTTACTCTGGTATATTTCTTCAAGTACTATTGACATTTTGTTTATTATTTTAACAACGAAATAGAATAGTTAGCTTTTTGTTGTGGAGAGCAAACTAAAGTGGTATGTTGGGTGGGTTATAATAAAGAGTAGAGGTTCAGAATAGATTTGGTAGGGATAATTAGTTCATTCAGCCCTTTCTAAAATTTATTCTCTTACAAGTTAAAAAGACCTATAATAGTTAGAATTGTAATGAAACTTTGACCCAGTTTGCATGTGACACTAGAACAAAGTTGTAACAGTACTGTACGTGCACAAGCCTCCATGAGTTCAGGCAAAGCATGGAGCTAATTTCTCTCTTTCTCCACCCCACACAGCTATGGAGATGGCTTCTGCAAATTTGGTTTCATGGTTAGTGTTACATAAGAACCAGGAATCCTGGGTTGTTGTTTTTTTTACAAACAATGGTTAGTTTCTAAACAAGCCAACTTCAAACCATAGGTTAAGAATATAGTTTGTTAGTTTGTTTAATTAACTATCCATTGTTTGTTGTAAAACCAGCATCCCTGGTTCTCTGAAAGATTATTTGAAAGTAAAACTAAACTTAGCAGATGCCTGCCAACCCTATCCCAGGCTTCATCTGTGGAATACATGAGTACTGTACTCACTTGGTTTAGCGTTATCTGTGAATGCAGCCATTAACTCTGCATACAGTTATGGAAGATGGTGTAATGAAACTCAAACTTTATTCATAGTGTATCTTTCAAAGCTAACATTGTGCATCACTTATCAGTGCATTTATTTATTTTTATTCCACTTTTTGGACTGTTGTCTTCTAAAACCACTCACATGGTTATTTTTTTTTTAAAAAATGGGTCCATCTATCAGGCTTATAAACTAAAAAGACAAGATACAGAAGGGAAGGGGAGTAGAAGAAAAAGGTATAGGAGAGATCAGTCTTCAAGGCCAGAACAAAGTGCAGAGCTATGAGCATTTAGATGTAATCCAGGGCAGGCTGATCTTCTCTTGCTGGTGTTCTTGCTTGAAAGCAGCTGGTGGATCTTGTTCTTTTGACCAGAGGATGGGAGGGAGAGTCCTTTTCCCTTACTCTGCATTCCATTAACAGCAGGCAGTTGAAGCAAAGTGTTCTTTTTGAGAGGAGGAAGCAAGCAGGCAAGCTCCCTGCAGCTGCTCCTTCTCTGGTTAATGGATGAGGCCATAGTGCCTAAGAATTGACCAGGTATATTTGGTTATCTTGATCTGGCACTTTACTGCTTTTGTGGGTTTGAGATACAAAAAACAAAACAAAAACTGCACAGCAACTAAAACAGTTGAATATTCTGGACTTATTCAAATCTCTTTGTTTTTAGTGTTGCCTCCTAAAATTAATAGATTTAGAGTTGTCCTCCCTTCTTTCCTATGTATGGTTCAGCAGTTTAGAATAATGCAGATAAATCATTTTCCATCATAACTTTAAGGGTGCATAAAACCATTGTGTGGGGAAATCAAAATGGGTAATAAGGGACAACCTTACCCTCAAAAAAATACTGTGGTATCTACTTTTATGATCAGGGTGAGACCTGAACATAATTTGAATTTAAGAAATAATGTTCCAAAGTACAATTAACTCAGAATTTACATGTGTTTGTTGATATCACACAAATTAAATGCATGGAAGGCATACAGGTTAAAAGTTCTTTTTGTACAGGATTTTTCTGGCACAGAAATTGCTTTTAAGCTGTCTGCCTTGCTTACCAGGCTCTGCGAGGCTCTTGCGAGATCTCAGACAATCCTGCAAGATCTGTGCAGGGGGTAGCAGCCGAGTACACTTCCTCTGGGCCTCAGAGAGCTAAGCTGGCTAGCGTGCCCCGCCAGGGTCCAGCTGCCTTTTTGTTTATAACTTCATTCTAACAAGACTCCCACCCCAGGCCTCAAACAAGCTCTGCACAGTTCTGGGGGTAAGACCTGTTTGGCATGCTGAGTTTGGAAGGTAAGATTGCTCGCGCAGTGGCAGTTTCAAGGGATGGTTCAAGTACACAAGTCTCTGCGTATTCACACCATCCCTGAAACATAACCTCCGCGAAAGATGGGAGTTAACTTGTATATAGTTTACATATAATCATGCAGATTAAATAATTCTGATTTGCAGGGGACGTGGGTGGCGCTGTGGTCTAAGCCACAGAGCCTAGGGCTTGCTGATCGGAAGGTTGGTGGTTTGAATCCCTGCGATGGAGTGAGCTCCTGTTGCTCAGTCCCAGCTCCTGCCAACCTAGCAGTTCAAAAGCACATCAAAGTGCAAGTAGATAAATAGGTACCGTTCTGGCAGGAAGGTAAACGGCATTTTCGTGCACTGCTCTGATTTCGGCAGAAGCGACTTAGTCATGCTAGCCACATGACCCGGAAAAACTGTCTGCAGACCAACGTCGGGTCCCTCGGCCAGTAAGGCAAGATGAGCGCCGCAGCCCCAGAGTCGTTCGTGACTAGACTTAACTGTCAGGGGTCCTTTACCTTTACCTTTTTTTAGCTGCATGCAGAGTTAGCTTGTGATGGTTATGCTCAATTTTAATGGTGTATCCCTTTGTAATCATAGATAGCATCAAACAAATTAACTGGTTCATAAAGGAAGCTCAGCTTCCACCATTGGGCATCAGAAATACATAGTTGTTTTAAATGGAAGGCTCGTTCTCACTTATGAAAGTGATGCAAGTCTTCAAGTCAGCGCATCAAGGATGAGAGCTCTGTAGCCCAAATATGTTGTTAGTCACCATCCGTGGCCATTAGTCATGCTGGCTGAAGCTGATGGGAGCTGTACTCTCAACAACATCTGGAGGGCCACAGGTTCACCTTTCGTGCTGCACTTCATGATTTTCTTCAACAATAACTTATCTAGATACACCATTCATAAGCTTGCACTTAGCTGTGTTCATTATGTCTGAAAAAAGAATCACAGCACAAGTGGGGAGCATGGGGCATTGCTTCATGCCCTCCCACTTGAGTCCCAATCTGACCTCTTTTTGAGTGGGAAAGCTTGAAGGGGAATTCTAAGCATGTTTGGTTGAAAGTGTTTAGAAACTTCTTTGCTACTGGGAACCCTAAGGGGGTTCAAGGATGCCTTAACTGAAAGCTTTCAGAGCTCACCTTCAGACCCAGCTGCTCAGTGGGGCAGCATAGAGAAGGGAGCAGGGAGTCTGGCATATGTAGGAGCATTAGGGTGTGGGGCTGTCATGCACAACTACATTTTCTCTGTTTATGGTTTTTTCATTTTCAAGAGTAATGCCTCAACGGTGCTAAGATGGATGCCCCTGTGACAGCAATATGGAGCTTTCCAGTATTGCTATCTTCTTGAGCTATTATGAAACTAAGGGATTCGTGTTGGCGCTTATCTCTCAATAGTGATTAATACCTGCTTGACCGCCCCTGGTCTTTAGCATCCTTCACTCTTACTTCTTCCTTCCTTTCATATGTTGTTTCTTTGCAGTTGTGTGAGGCTTTTAAGCTGGGGTGGTCAATTTGTGACGTTCCACATGTTGGCCTACACTCCCACCCGCATGGCCTGTAGTCAGGGCTGATATCTGGATGGCCATAGGTTAGCCCACCCCAGCTTTAAGCCTTAAGTAGAGCAACTAGGGCATGAGATTTGCATAGGACGGGAACTGAAAGCAGGCTACAGATTAGCAACAACCCTACAAGCTTATGGCTTACTTTCCTGTGTGTTATATTTCCTAAAGCATCCAGTTTCTAGCATTGCTGGAACATTGGTTCTGGTTGTCATGGCTCCTAGCTTGAGAAGCTTAATTCATTTTACGTAAATTGAAGGATAGAGGAAAAGATTGGATATTTTAAAAAATCAGACAGCATTTGACGAAGTTTGCTTCTGTCAAAGCACAGAACTACATAGTAAAGCTGAAAGATATGTCAAATATAATTTAGTCTGGTTGCTGGCAACCAATGTTTCCCATAACTAAATCACTGCAAATGGATGCTTATTGTTTCCCATATTTATTAACCATAAATAAATATCAACTTGCTAAACAGCCTGTTCAGATCCTCTTAATTTTGAGTGGCTTCCATTGTATCTGGCTTAAGTCTGCTATGATACAGCTGAATTGCTGCTTCCTGCCTTTCACTCGGTGATCCTGGTGAAGGATTATTTATTAAAACAAAAAGCTGACATTTAGATGCTTCCTTATTCTCAGACCTTTCTGCTAGGCCAAACGTGTTAACTTCCTTTAGTTATATATGTGTATTTCAGATACATTTATTAGTTCTCTGAAACCTTTCTTTAAAAGTATGTTTGCCCTTCAAACATGATGAGACACATAATACAATTCAGGAAGTTGTAAAAATCAAGAGTTAGAATTTAACCCACATTCATTCTTTGGCTAGTGATTTCCAGGCATCAGGTCCTGCTGCTGCTAACCCTGCCCTGTGCAACAAATGTGCTGGTGCCAAGTGTAAGCCATAATCCTTAGCTTCTCTTATTGGAGAGGTTGGGAGTTTCCTACTAGATTTTTACAGTATGCATTCCTGTCAGAAGCTGTGGAGGAGAAATAGTCATGTCAGAATTGGCTGACATGTACAAATCTGATTAAAGGTTGGGTGTGTGCATTTTACCTTCCTGAACTTAAAAAAACCTGTATATCTGCTGAAGGGACTGTTGGCACCATTACACTTATGTAGCCATACAAGAATGCCACCAGGGCCACATGGGACCAATAGAGAATTCCACAAGGAAAAAATGAATTCTGTTGCATCATTTGGTCCAGCAAACCTGTGTTCTGCAGTGGCAGGCAGATTCTTTTGAGAAGTCCCATGAGTAGAGCATAAAGGCAGTGATAGCCATCAGTAGACTTGTTTCTTCAGAGCTTCTCTCGGTTCCCTTTAAAAGCTGTCAGTCATCATCACATATACAGTGAATTTATAAGCTAAGAATATGAAGTAATTTTTGGTCTAAACAATATTGACGGCCACCCTGGATTGGTTACTTGCTGGAGAGGAAAAACTTCCCTCCATACGATTCATAATTTTATAAACATTAATCACCATCACCATTTATTATTGAAAAAGACTGAAATATAATTACTCTCTCCCTGTTGAGGTAAAGTGCTGCAATCCTTGGATTTTGTAAATGTAGCTCCATTTCTGCACCTATTATTGTATGTGGTAAGTGGAGGCCTCAAGGCCACTGTTTGAATATTCAGGGGAAATGTGTTGCTTCCTCCCCCTCACAATAGAAAGCCACAAGGGTTCAATGTACTGCAGACCAGTATGATACAACCTGTCAAGTCACAGTGTGTTTATATGTGGTTGAGAACTGATGTGTCGGCCTTGAACAAGTTGTTCTCAGGTAGTTGCCTCTGTACCCTAGAACAGTGTTCCCTAAGACGTTATTTAGTAGGGTATTGTGTGTTTGTGTAGGCTTAACTGTAGGGAGGTTATGAAGCCAAAATGTCTGTCTTGAACTCCTAGGTGAGAGCTGAAGAACATGACTAGAGTGAATTCTCTTAATATGTTCTTGAAATTTGGATTTGCCCTGGGCTTTTCGTTAATGGTGCTTAACAACCAGTTTGGGTTGCAGCCAACAAAGTTGTCCTGTTAGTACAAAGACTTCTTCCTGTGCAACAGGACTTCCTCTCCCTCATGCCTCCCAAATCCATTATGGAGGTTCCCTCAACCTTCTGGAGCATACCACTCATTGTTAAAACCGTGTTTATACAAGACAATCTACGAGTGATCGCCAAAGAAGAAGAAGATGGGAAAGGAAGAACCTTTGCACAAAAATAAGACATTGCGCTGATTGGACGACTTTGTTGGATACAACCATCTGTCTGTTTACAACATACTCTTTGACTTGTAGCATGCATGTACAAGAATCTTGTTTTTGGTCCTTGCATGACCCACTGGCGGTCTTGATCCACAGTCTCAAGATCTGTGACATAAGCCACAGATACCCAGGATATGCCTTAAGAGTAGATTTGGTACCTTCATGGTGATTTTGCAGAAGTGGCCACTTAAATAGCACACATGCCATGATTTTTAGTTTTCTTACTGAATACCATATTGATGTACGGTGGCACCTCGGGTTACAGATGCTTCAGGTTACAGACGCTTCAGGTTACAGGCTCCACTAACCCAGAAATAGTACCACGGGTTTAGAACTTTGCTTCAGAATGAGAACAGAAATCACACGGCGGCAGTGGGAGGCCCAATTAGCTAAAGTGGTGTCTCAGGTTAAGAACAGTTTCAGGTTAAGAACAGACCTCCGGAATGAATTAAGTTCTTAACCCGAGGTACCACACTGCTGTTAAATAGAAAGTAAGTAAGGTATGCCCATTTTGTGTTTAGCTTCTCTGAAACAGACCTTGGTCAGAGCTAGATCATTCCTATTTTGACTGCAAGAGTAGGACTCCCAAGGAAATGGAGTCTATTGAAACACAGTGGTACCTCAGTTTACGAACTTCAATCTGTTCCGGAAGTCCGTTCTTAAACCGAAACTGTTCTTAAACTGAGGGGCACTTTCCCTAATGAGGCCTGCCAGTGCCCTTCCTCCGTTAAGATTCTGTTCTTAGACCAAGGTAAAGTTCTAAAACCAAGACACTATTTCTGGTTTTGCGGAGTTTGTAAACCAAATCGTTCTTAAACTGGACTGTTCTTAAACCAAGGTACCACTGTACTATGTTTGTTGCATAATCTCTCCAGGTATATAATAAATTGTAAAGTCTGTGAAGGTGTTCTAAATAAAGCACTGCTGAGGGTTCAGAGCTCAGTATAGGCACATCTAGTATATTGATTTAAGTTTTTATATATTTCTGTTGCTGGTTAAAATTGCAGTGGTCTGGTTAGCATAAAATAATGTCAGAAGTGGGTGTTAGACATAGGCTTCCATTTTACCTTCGTATTCTGTTTCATTTAAGATAAGAGTTGAGCTAATATTACTGCTTTCTTGCTAGTTGGTATAAGACAGAGCTTTCCAAACTGTGTGTCGGCTGCATTGTGTAGGTGTGCCTCATGAACGCTCCCGGAGCTCCTCCCTAGGTTGGAAAGGGGTTAGTTTAACCCCCAGTTTGCTAGTAAAACCGATTTACTGTGTCACGAAATGATACATGTCTAAAAAGTGTGTCACCGAAATGAAAAGTTTGGAAAGCTCTGGTATATCTTTACTTTGTTTCGGTCATCTTTCGTGCAACACAATTGTCCACCATTGGGAATTGTGCAGCTGTTCATAAGCTGAAACTGTCATAACTCTTGTAAATATGGTGAGATCATACTAAGAACCTGTTGTTCCTTTTATGCTATTCAGTGAAGCCCAAACCTTCCCCCAAACTCACAGTGAATTATGGCTTGAGTACATTGCATATTTTATCTTGCCCAAACTAACATGGCAGTATTGCAAATGTAACATTGTTTTATAGAAACCACTGTAGCTAGTTCATCTTTACTGGATGAGCATTGTTTATATGTGAAGTCTGAGTCAGTACTTAATTGTTGGCAAATGTGATTATAGTTCATTCTGATTTATGAAAAACATGATTAAATTTGCAAAGTGAATTTAAGACTATTAGGGATATGGGGAATAAGTTGCTGGTAAATATTAAATTGGTGGGGTATGCCATTTAGAAATCTGAATTTCTAATCTTGGAAGGCTGCTGAATTTCTGATTTTAGAAGGCACAAGCTAGGCAAAATGAAGCACTACTAAGTCTGGTTCACTTCAGTGGGAGTGGTAAGCACATACCTGCATATCTTTCCTTTGAATCATTGGGACTTGGTGTGCTGAACTTTGTCTGGATTGTTCCCAGAGTTTTTGGTGTAATTTCTAAAGATTAGTTTTGAGATACTCTCTGTCAGCAGAACAGTGTCTTATTGTTGAAGGAAGTATACTTTTTTATAATAAAAAAAGATAAAAGTTGGGCCTGGTTTATGGTGCTTTGGGCTAAGGATTTGATAGTAGGTATAAACTTTGATAGTCTTTTGGAGTTGTTAAAATCAGGAACTGGGGAGTATCGGAAGCAAGAGTCCATGAACAGTGTCAGTAGAGACATTTGCCAGGAGGCAAAGCTGTGCTAAATACTTTTAAGTAGCCATAACCAGGCTGCCTAAAATTTTGCAAAATTGCAACAAAATCCCCTACTGAATAGGGAATTTAAAAGGGAAAGCTGTGCAAGTTGTGTGGAGCTCATGAACTGGAAGGTGTCTTGATCGCTCATTGTGCAGTTAGAAAGCTCCAGAATCTGAAACCCCAGGACTTTACAATAATTCACATTATGCATAATGAAGTTATTGGGAGGTCCGTGCAAGCTAGAATGGAACAAGCTGGCTCACTGTAGAACAATAACATGTTTCTGTAGATTCTTGGTGAAGCAAGAGGTGCAGCCATCCTTTAGGTATTTCATTCATTCATGCCCACGATTGTATGCCTAAGTAGGGAGTAAATAAGCTTGCCTACTCATCCTTAATAATGTGATCCTCATCTTTGTTTAATTCTAAGGACTTACTGTACAGATTAAGAAAAATAGATCAGCCTACGTTCATTTTATTTGCAAAACAACACCCACCCACACCCCATGTCTTATAGTTGAGGGTAGCCAGAAAAATGCGGGGGCAGGGTGGATCTGGTGGACTTTTTCCTTTCCTTACCCCCAGCAGTAGAAGCGTACAGTTTACCCTGATCCATGGGCACCTTCAGGCAGAAGTTTAAAGTCTGTTTAATGAAGTGGAAGGAATTGGGGAGGAGGAATGATTTGGTGTATGTTCCATTTCTTACACATAACTGATGTCTGTGTAGAAAAACACCTTTATATGTGGCATAAAGTTACTCTTTAGCAGGCAGGAGGAATGACAACAGTGTGAATCCAAGCTTTTGAATTGAGCAGCCTGGTCCCACACTTAGACTTATGTTTGTAATATATAGTGGGGTAAGGCTGTAGAAGCAGCTAACATGCCACCCATTTGAGCCCTTGCTTTCACCTAGTTGCAGCCATGCTGAACGATGCAAGGCCTATGATGCAGGGCATCATGGACAGCACTTACTTATGATGAAATGCTTGCTGCTGACTGTGTACAAAAAAGCCTTCAGCCTTTTTTGTGTAAGATTGCCAACTCTAGGCAATAAGGCCCTCTCACTTTGAAATTGATAGATTACCTCTTCAGACTGTTTAAATAGGAAATGCTAGCCAAAGACTGCATTGACTGTTAATCACATCACATGTATCTTCAGCGATACAGTTAACAGAATTGGCTGTGATTAAGATGTCTGTACTCTGCACCTGAGCTAGCTAGCTGGGAGGATTTGAAAGTTCTAAAGGTGACCTGTTCATACAAGGTCTAGATTTCCCTGACTAGTTGGAGCTAGCCAATACTTAAAAGATTATAAGATTAGCCCAGTCTAAAAATTATGGGGACATGCACAGATGAAGGGTGGTCTGCACAATTTGGCTGGCTGCGCACTCTTTTTGGTCACCTCGGCCATCTGGCACAGCAGAAAATTTTGCAGAGGAGAAGGCAACGGGCCTTTCAATTTGCACAAAGCCTTGTTCAGATGCAGCTGAGTCTTTCTCATACCTTTTGACTTGGCTTGGGAGACTGACTCCTCCTCTGTACATGTCAGGTGATGGGTGGGTATGCTTGGTCTCTTCTCCCCAAATGGCGAGGCCCTTCCAAGTTCTCTGTGCAGAGAGCTCCAGAAGAAGGAGGGTTAACGTGTCATGGTGGAATTAGGAAGATGGTTGCCAGGGAGAGATTCGTGGTTGCCATTCAGGAAACCTTGGCACCAAGCTCCCCTAAAACCAGAACAGCTAGGCGATTACAGTTCTCTACCTTCCGATAGCCAGGCATGCACTGTACCTTCTACAAGATTAGCCTCCCTAGACCATTTGTTTCTAGAACATTTCTGGAGAAACATGGGGTTCCTCAAGAGAAAGAGGGGTAATAGGAGGCACAACAGCCTGCCCATTTCCAGTGCACTCTCAGCTTACATGGCTATAATAAAGCCCAACAAGCTTATGAAGTATCCTCTGCCAACTGAGTATTTGCCTCCAGAATATTTTAGGAATTCCATGGCAGGTGGGTCACTGTGGACAAAGTCTTGAAACCACTGCACTGCCATAGAGGAGATTCTAAATGTGTCTGAGAACAGCAATGAAAGGGAAAGAAGCCATTTTGCTGCTGGCACACAATTCTTGTGACCCTTGGTAGATTGCTTTCTAGTCAGTGCTGAAATTTTCTAATTCACGTGATTGTGTATTCTGAAATGATAAGCTTGTTTTCATGTGGTGTGGAATGTTAGCTACTTATGATACTGAGAAATCTCAATTAAGCAAAGATTTGCAGTTAACTCTGTGTTTTTCTCTCTCATTAAGGTTTGGACCGCACGGAATCCCTGTGACCATATTTCCCAAAAGGGAGTACAAGGATAATCCTGAAGCGATGGAGCTCCAAAGTAAATCATTCCAAGATGAGACCCAAGTGAAGTGTGAAGCCAATGGTGTAGTCACAGACTCTTCTCCCATCCAGCCATCAGAGCCTAGCCTGGCTAAAAGCCTATGGACTTCCAAGCCACCTCCCCTTTTTCACGAGGGAGCACCATATCCTCCTCCTTTGTTTATCAGGGACACATATAACCAGTCAATACCTCAGCCTCCGCCTCGGAAAATTAAACGGCCCAAGCGGAAAATGTACAGGGAGGAACCCACTTCTATTATGAATGCTATCAAACTACGACCCAGACAGGTCTTGTGTGACAAGTGTAAGAACAGTATTGTTGCAGAAAAGAAAGAAATTAAGAAGGGCAGCAGTACAAGTGATTCTTCAAGGTATGAGGATAATAGAAAGCGAAGACATGAGAGCGTAACTACTGTGAATAAAAAAATTAAAACTGATCATAAAGTTGATGGGAAAAGCCAAAATGAAAGCCAGAAAAGGAATTCCGTGGTCAAAGTTGCAAATATTGCTCATAGCAGAAGTAGAGTAGTCAAAGTTACCACTCAAGCAAATACTTCAAAAACGCAGTTAAATACTAAAAAGGTTCTCCAGAGCAAAAACATGGATCATGCAAAAGCTCGGGAAGTTTTGAAAATAGCCAAAGAGAAGGCACAAAAGAAACAGAGTGCAACCTCTACTTCCAAAAATGCACATTCAAAGGTCCACTTCACCCGGCGTCTTCAAAACACCAGCTCAGGTTCCCTGCCCCCACGATTGCGTCTAAAGCCACAAAGGTACCGAAATGAAGAAAACGACTCCTCTCTCAAGACAGGGCTTGAGAAATTGCAGAGTGGCAAGATGGCAGCTAAGCCTCAGTCTCGCTGCTCCTCTACCCGCTCAGCAGGTGAGGCCCCTTCAGAAAATCAGAGCCCCTCAGAAGGCCCTGAAGAGGCCAGCAGTGAGGTTCAGGACACAAATGAAGTGCATGTACCTGTTGATCAGGATGAACAGCAGACACTGGGCAAGAGAGGCAGCAAAAGCAATATAACGGTTTACATGACCCTTAATAAAAAGAAATCTGACTCTTCCAGTGCATCAGTGTGTAGTAGTGATAGCACAGATGACTTGAAGTCCACCAACTCTGAGTGTAGCACTACTGAAAGCTTTGATTTTCCTCCAGGCAGCATGCATGCACCTTCCTCCTCCTCCTCCTCCTCGTCCTCTTCAAAGGAAGAGAAAAAGCTCAGTAATTCCTTGAAAATGAAAGTCTTTTCAAAAAATGTCACTAAATGTGTCACACCAGATGGCAGGACCATATGTGTAGGAGACATTGTTTGGGCCAAGATATATGGCTTCCCATGGTGGCCAGCCCGTATTCTTTCTATAACTGTGAGCCGAAAAGATAACGGCCTCTTAGTCCGACAGGAAGCTCGTATTTCATGGTTTGGGTCCCCAACAACATCTTTCCTTGCTCTTTCACAGCTCTCCCCTTTTTTAGAAAACTTTCAGTCGCGATTTAATAAGAAGAGAAAAGGTCTTTACCGCAAGGCCATTACAGAAGCAGCCAAGGCTGCTAAGCAGCTAACTCCTGAAGTTCGGGCCCTGCTGACACAGTTTGAAACATGAACATGAGAAGTAAGGTAGGCAAGAAATGTGGAGGCTCCTTGAAATGTCTAGCCTAGTTAAATGCTATGAAGGACTTAGCCAATTAAACACAAAAATTGCACTCAGTTGGCTGCTTTTTTTATATACTGAAATTTCCATTTGTAGCAATGTCTTGACTGAAAGTTATACTTAACAAATTGTACATGCAATCAAATTAACCTAAAGCGAGATCTCAGTATTTTTCAAGAGGACTCTTACATTTTTTTGGTAAAAGTAAAAAATTCCTCTGACCACCCCATGCACAGGAGCCATAACCTCAGCTGAAGAGCAGTTTATTTGCAGGGAATTTTTACTAGTTTCTACCCACTATATATACCATTTCAGTGTATGTGGGGGGAGGGGGGAGGGAACAAATGAAATGGAAGTTTTAAACATGACTTGTATGGTCCACCTTAAATGCAGAACTCTAGGCCCTCTCTGAGCCTCAAACTTGATTTCAGTGTTTCCCCTTCCCCGTCCCCTGCCCAGAAAACCTAATTTACAATAGTGTGATGGGCCCAAAGAGTTCAGCCTTTGCCTAAAAACACTTTCTCACTGGCCACTTTAAATCCTTTTCGAAACCAATTTTAATCTGAATTCAGTTAGAAAGGTTTTATCATTTGTTAGATAGGTCTTGTTGGTCACCTTTTCCCAAATGCTTAGTTATGCTATGCAGCCAGGAACAGCAGCATGAACTTCAGGTTTTGGCAAGTTAAGAGGAAGCCAGTTGCTCACAGGCGGGTCTGGATAGTACCCCAGCATTTGGGATCAGAGGCTGTTAATGCTGCATAGGTGTGAATCATAACTTCCAAGGAGGGTGGGGTGGGATGCTCCTAGGACATTTGTCTTGAGGGTTTAGCTTGAGAGAGTTTGTGTTGTATAAATAATTGGTCAGATTTCTCCCCCCTGACTACTTGTTCTTAAATTCTTAGGATGCGTCCTAGTAAATTACACTTTGTGAACTGTCAGATGTGTAATTATTGCATTTGGATGTACCGAGCGGCATATTTTTTTTAAACTATTTCCATTTAAGGTATCTGTTTGCAGGTCAGAAAATATGGAAAATGTAATTGTGTAATGCTCTGAAATGTACAAAAAAACTGTAAATAAAATTGACTAAATCTAATTATTTGTGTGTGTTTCTCAAAAAGCTTTGAAATAAAATCAGGAAACAGGACTGTTTTCTGTTTACACAATATTTAGGAAATAATTTTCTTGCTCGACACTCTCTAAATTAGTATCACTAACTGCGTATCAAAATAACATTGGTGTTGAAAATATAAATAAGGTTCTAATTTTGGCAAATTATTCAGCTATTTATTTCCCCATAGCAAATCCTTGTCAGTGCTTTAAAAAAACCACACGCCTTTCCAGTGTGATTATTTCCCCCCACCATTTTATGTTACTTTATCCCTCATGTCCATTTGCTCCTAGATCTTCTGCAGATCTGATGCTCTGCATTGGACCTTTTTATGCAGTTGATTCGCTTAGACATTACACTTTCTAATGGACTCATATAATTTGTACTTGGTTTAAGTTTGCAATGTCGTAAAAGGTGCCTAATTTCATTCTCCCCCAAAACACATTACAATTTTAGGAGTAGGCATTTAGGAAAAAGGGAAAAAAGCTTGAAGCTAAATTAATTGTGTGTATCAAATCTCAAAGAATTAATGACCAAAGGCTCTGTTGTGACAGTTTGATTCTAAGGTATGCTTTTTCATAATACTCAAACTTCATTTTATTCCCAAACATTTTATTTTAAATCTGGTATCTCTGATGCTTTGTACGTGGGCTTGAAATCGGCTCCAAATAGTTTTCATCCTTCCTTGATGTAACACTAGATAAGCATAAATTTCTAAACGTGTAGACAAATAAACTTACATTCAGTCTGTCAATGCTTTTTGAAATTACAAAACACACATCATTAATAGCATGCAATTCTGTTTCACTCCTGTGCTGTGTACAGTATTCTCTTTCCTGCAAACAGAAACAAATGCAGTGTTGAACTATTTTGTTTTGTTTTTTTCAGGCAGGCTGTGCCTAAGGTTTTTAAAAACAAAAAATCGCAATGAAACAGACAACTTTCAGTGCTTTCTGCAAAGTTAAAAGCTCAGCTTGGGGCTAGTGTACACATTATGAGATTGATAGGTATACCTGAGTGTACCTGCTGATTTCCTAATTCATGACCCTACCTTCAAGGGAGCCTGTGATGAGTGCTTGATTGGGCACGTCTTCTAGGGTTTTGCCATTTTGAATAGACAGTCTTCTACATTTGAATTCTACCAAGAGTATAATTTGATTCTGGAGCCTTTGCTCCAGTTTGAAATAAATATAATTGAGTCTTGTCTTCAAAATCATGCTTTTTACAACACTGTGGAACAGTTCTGTTCCTTACTCAGGCCATAGTTTGCAATCGGGCATGCCATATATGACATTAAAAGTGTTGAGTAGAAATTACTCTCACTTTAAATTTAATTACTACTTTTCTCTGCTTGCCTTGATGAGAAATCTTCTCTGCTTCCCTTTTGAAAATACTTGTTTGATTTTTTTTTCTCTCTTTAATTTTGGAGTTCCTTAGTGACATTTTGATGTCACAGGCAATGACTTAATGTCGTTCATTTCTGTGTAGAGCCTTACTGCAGTTTGATTTTTCAGTTCAAAGCATGGAGATGTCATGATATAATCCATTAGCTGCAAGGCATTCAAGAAATTTTGGATGTTGTATCCAGGCTTGGAGGCAAAAGCGGCTGTTCAAGAGGCACTAAACTACAAAGCAAATATTGGCTTAGATTCCAGGGCCTTCTGCCTGAGCAGGAAGCACTTCTAGTGCTGTGGGGGTGCATTTGCTGACTCATCCATCTGCACTTTCCTGTGTCCTTCTCCAAAATAAATGACTTGGGATTACTGAACCCACCGGTATAGGTTTTTTGTGGGAAGGTGAGGGGTGGATGATGAGGGTTTGATGGAAATTGGTGACACACCCAGCCTACGTGAGCAGGATGTTTGTATCCAAGCTGTTGAATTTTGGACAGAATACACAAATTGTTCGTCAAACTTTAGGCAAAGGTTTTCACCAAACACCTAGGTTTCGTATATTTTCTTTCAAGTAGTTTATTATTCCACTTCAACCAGCTGTCTCTTCAGTGAAAGACACCGAGAATGCCCTGGTGCATGTAGCTAACCCTGAGTTGCCTTAAAACTTCATTTAAAATCATCATGAATTGCATCCAATTAAACAATTGCATGCACAGAACTTCTGCAAGCATAACAAAACTCTCCCCTCCAGATGGTCTCTGAAGGGTTGAGGGGAACTCCAGAGCAAATTTGGTAGATGCACAGGAGTAGTCCTAGGGAGGTAAGGGAAATTAGGTAAGCACAATAATTTAGTTGAATACATCCCTGTTGGATAATAATAATAATAATATACCCCCCTATACCCGGGGGTCTCAGGGCATTACTTTCAATGCTTCATACCTCAAAGGAAAACGATGGTATAAATTTTATCCTGTCGTGGAATGAAATTGGTGAAAGAACAGATGACTTATTTCCACAAGCAAAACAATTCCAAATAAAAAGCTAGTAAACCGTCATGCCTTATTAACATGTTCTACCTAATCTGTTTCCATTGTTATAACCCTGCACAAGTTGTGTGCTCTCATTTCCATGGTAATCAAATACACCGGCTGTCGTGATAATTTTGCTTTAGAAAATGCATTCTTTGTAGCAAGAGTAGTCTTAGAATAGCCATGACCCTCTTTCTTGCATAAAAGGAAATGCCTCTTTAAGATAGGACTTGCCACTTGTAATTTTTAATAAGTGCAGTGTTAGTCTGTCGTTGCAAAAACAGCAGTCTTGAAGGTGCTACAAATGCATTATGTCAAAAGCTTTCCTGGGCAAAAGTTCCAAGTTCACAAAGGCTTTTGCTATAATGAAATGTTAGTCTTAATTGCTGACACCTTTTTCAGTCTTATCTATGTTGTATTGTGTTGCTGCAGCACATCTTAGCACTATTCAGATCTAGCACTATTAGTAGCATGTGCTAAGGTCTAAGTAAATGATTCTTTCTGCATGACCAGCACAGGAAATTCAGAATGAACAGTTATAATGAGAGGCATACATGGAACATAGGTACATGCCCCAGTGGATTGCATCCAGTGAATCTGCCCACAGAAACATTTTAACAAGGACCGAGTAGCATGTTATTTTATCATCCTTCTAGTATGCGTTACTCTGTTCTGAGACAAGTCCCCCTGCAGTCTGGTAATGAGCCAAGTGCATGTGTTTGAGAGAGATGGGCAGTACTTTAAAGGATATATCATAGTTTCAAGGAAGTGAGAAATCTCTGCTACTTCCAAGCTCAAGGCAGTGAAAAGAACGTTATGTATTGCAAAATAATCTACATAAGCCTTGGCTGTGCTGGCTGCGGCTAATGGGAGTTGTAGTCCAAAACATATTGGGGGGGAGGTAGCAGGTTGGGGAAGGCTAGGCTACAGGCAGGTGGGCAAGAAGCCACTAGGCAAAAAATATTTATGTAGCACAGGAAGGGTTGCTGCAGCTGTTTGAGCTGAATTCACACATGCTCCTCCACTGGTGACTTAGGGCAGAATCTAACCTCACAACCGGACTCTTCCTCTCTTGTACCAGAAGGGTCCTTGGCCCTCCTGCACACATTTCAGCTTGTCAATATCCTTAAATTGTGGTGCCCAGAACTGGACACAGTACTCCAGGTATGGTATGGTCTGGCCAAGGCAGAATAGGGTGGCACTATAACTTCCCTGATTGGGACACTTCACTCCTGGTGACAGCCTACAATAGCATAAGCTTCTTTCTTTTGCATCTTATGCACTACTAAGATCCCTAGATCCTTTTCTACATGTACTTGCAATCCATGCAATACATGTAATCCAGGTATTCCCCATCTTCTGTTTGTTCAGGTGGTTCTTCTAGCCTAAGTGTAGAACCTTACATTTGTCCCTATTGAAATTCATTTTATTAGCTTTGGCTCAGCTCTGCAATCTGTTTAGGTCATCTTGAATCCCAATTCTGTCATCAGTGGCACTGGCTACTCCTGCCAGTTTGATGTCACCTACAAACTTCCCCCTAATCTCCATCCTTGAGACTGGGTGCTCTGTCCATCACATAGAGGGATCCTGCAGGAGGTTGAAATGTGTGTTTGTTGCACAGAGCACTGCATCCCTCAGGGGTCTTGAAGAATACATCATTCTCTGCCCATACATCCCATCCACCACTAGTCCATGGTAAGCAAATTCCAAAGATAGATGCTGATAGTATATTTTGCTAATGTTCACGTCTTGCATATTGATTTCATGGGCTGGTTCATACCTCAGCTTTTATTCAGTGTAGTTAAATATTACTGTATCAGAATTGATATGGCTTATTTGCTCACAAAGACTCTTCAGGTGATACATTTACTGAATTGCAAAGCAGGCGCTGTATAATATGAAAACATCCATTTTGCTTGGTTTCAGTTTATAACTTTATACGTGGAGATTACAGAGATGATGAAAAAAACAATGTCCGTCAAATCGAACAATAATAAGGAGGACTAGACTTGCAACACTAGTTAGAAAAATTAAAATCAAATATCTTTTCCCTATGTGGTTTTTGGTTTTCAAGTTTCATGGTGCTTTGACATCAGACTTGAAAAACGTTTCCTTTTATATTCAAGGGTATTGTGTACAGCAGTGATAAGAGTAACATGGAAAGCAATTGTAATAAATATATTTTAAGATTTAAATTTGTAGCTTTAAAAGAAATTAATAAAAGTATTAAAATATTTTAAAATGTATTTTCAAAAAATAGATAAAAACCACTGTTCAAAAGAAGAAAGCACCAGAGATTTACATATATTTTCATAGCTGCTTCCAATACAAACGTTTATAAGAAAGTAGTTGTAAGTATGTTGCCTGCGTGTCCTTCTAGGCATCCTCTATGTATAGCTAGCTATGCAGGGTGAAAGCTAGCCTCACTTTGCAGCAGGGATGGGAAACATAGCCTTCCCAGTGCTGCTGGACTCCCATTGACCATTGGTTATGCTGACCAGAGCTGATGTGAGTTGAGAGGACCACAGCCGTTGGAGGGCCACTGGTTCCCCATCTCTGTTCTGCAGCTTATTTTCTCAAACCCATCAACTTTGTATTATCAGATAATTACAAACCTAATGGATTCCGTTTGGTTCATCCTTTCCTTTTCGTTCTGGAACTCAAGTTCTGGTGACTTTGATATGCTTTTGGCCTGTGGATTCTTTTATTAATTCCCACATGTCCACACCCTTCCTCTAGTTTTCCATTTTTCTTTTACAGCTGACACTTAACATTCCTTGGCTACTGAGCATGCTCAAACCTCATTATGTTGTTTGTTTTTACACCATGTGTGCGTTTAAAAGATTTTCTGTACTTTTGGAAACCTCGGCATTTCCCCCAAGCACGTCAGTCAATACCTCCTCATTTGTCAGTGGTTCTGTTTTGGCTGCAGCTCTGTCAGCACTCATCACATGAGTTGGCTCTTAGAGGGAGTGATAAACAAATGGTGAAATAAGTGGTCAATAAATTGCTAGGACTCAAAGAGCTACCTGGTAGGATTTTCAAGAGCTCATGCCCAGTGGGATTTTCAGCTTTCATTGTTTCAACAGTAGCTTCCCGTGCCATATTAAATTGCTCTGAAAGGTAAGTTGAAATGCTGTTTGGCCATGCGACATGGGATGACAGGGAGCTGCTTTTCAAGAGAAACCATTCTCACCTGCCCTTGATCTGCTGAAACAGCTGTCACTTATTGGATAATGGGTATAATTCAGCAGAAATATGTTGCACGGCCAAGTCCTATTGAAAACAATTAATTACAATTAATGCCACATAGATTTCAATAAGATTTAGTTGTGACTAACATTTGCTGGGTTGTGCCAGGCATTATAATTAAGCTATGTTTTTTCTGTCTTCACGAACTGGATCTTCTGACATCTTTCTTGTTACTTTTCACCAAATAAAAATGTCTAAAGATCCAGTCACTGAGTTGGATCATGTTAGCTCTGTTTCTTACCAAAGGACTGTTAGCTGATATTCTTGATGTTTTCCTGTTGCTTTTTGGATATCCGTGGGTCTGTTTTGTATCGTGAACAAGAAAATCCCGAGTAGGGGAAGTGAGTAATTGGTTGTACATTTGTTTCTTGTAAGGGAAGTTTGCTGACAGGATTATAAATACGTTCCGTGTAACTTCTTAAACTAAGGCAGCAGTCCTGTACCCACTTTCCTCAGAACAAGCCCCATTGAATTCAGTGGAATATACTTATGAGTAGACCTGTATGCTGTTAAACATACACAAGAACAAGAAAGTTTTAGCTCCTGCTGTCTTTTGAAAATATTCCCAGTTTGGGAGCTTCATGGGTGAACTATAGTTTGAGGCTGGGAAATTTAAACCGTCAAATGGGATTCCTTTCAGTCAGTGACAACTGAGCTCCTTAAAAGATGGTGTTGGTATCCATGAATCAAATGGTAGATAGTACAAGAAACCCCAAAGGTGGGTACTAAAAATTGTGATTGGATGCCCCAAACCGTCTACTCATTGCTCATCAGCATCCTGTCATTTCACCACTATTTGCTGTGGAGGGTATCTTGCTGGATTCTTAGGTATATTGTCTTATGGGCTGGTCTTCTAACACCCTCTGTGTTTGCAGCCTAGGTTTTCCTCATTTTCATGGCTTCAGTCCCTTGGAGCTGTGGTGCTTCCAGAAGGTACGAAGAACCTCTGCCTGAATTTGTGATACTTCATGTCATTCGGAGCTCTACTCTTGGTTCCACACCTGATCCCTGAGCCTGACCTCCTTTTGCAGGGGGCAAGACAGAGTGCATAAAAAGTATAGGAGTCCTTGAGTCTGTGGCTAATGGGGAGCAAAGTAAACATAGCTGTTTTTCCCACATTGAGCAGCATGGTGGTGGCATGCATGCAGTGATAACAGCTGCTGGAGGATCCCTAGAATATACTGTCTTTGCTCTTGACAGTTCCCTGCATGGAGTGCTCATGCCCATTGTCCCCCCAAGATAAGATTCTCAGGAACCTGCCTTTCAGTTGTTTGTTTCCAGCCCACCCTTCCTTGGCTGATAGTGGTGTTGTAGCTTGGTAGCTCATTAGCTGTGGCTCACTGAATGCAGCGTGTTATGGGAATCTTCTCTTTATGTTGCACAAGTCCAAGGCACAGGTCTCCGTGGTTTTTCTAGAATTATTATTATTATTATTATTATTATTATTATTATTATTATACCATCATATACTTGCAGATCTAAGGGTGGTTCACAGAATAAAATCAGAATATAAAACCACAAAATACATAATCAAAATGAAAACAACAACCCAATAACCCGTCCCAACACATTTTAAAAGAGCCAAGGGCTACTAATAGCCCTGTTCCAAGACTTAGGATGGGACACCTCAGGAGCGATAGTGTTATAGAGACAACATGGAAACATTCCAAGCAGTTTCTGGCGCAAGTAATTAAAAATATAAGTCTGTTAGAGATGGTGTTTTCCTAGCACATTTGTGGTCTGCAGTAGCTTTCCTCTTTTCTGAGCTCTTCATTTGAGCGGTTTGATACTGGGAATACTGGATTTGGTCCCAAGACTCACAAATGGGAGTTCTGCTCAAGCAGCAGAGCTTCCCAGCTCCTTTCTCCACAAATCCTCAAAAATCTGTTCCTGAGTGGTAGAAGGATGGGAGATGGAGAGCATGTGCATGTAACAGAAAGTGCAAGTCTCAAATACAGGGGAAATGGAAATGCCTTTCCATCACACAAGCCCCCTGTGGGACCCAACCCAGTTTGGTTCATGGGCAGTGGCCAACATTTTCTCCCATCCGTGTTGCCCTAGCCCTGCTTTCTCTGCTGTTAGAAATGATTGGGTGGGGGTGTCCCTATATAACATGATTGTGCTTACCTGTCTTGTGCTAATGTCTGATCCTTCCCATAGAGATGGGTTAGTGGAAGAGGCCTCTGCTGAGTAAGCAAATGCTGCTGTCCATTTAATGTTAGCTTCTATCCTTGTCCACCCCACCAGCATTTTGTCCTCTGCCCTGCCTGGAGCAAAATTCTCCAAAAGCACTGTATTTTCAAGTCATTGAGTTGTATCCAGCTAAAGCTAAGCTATATGTACAGTAGACCCACTGAACTTGATAGACACGAGTCCTATGCAGAGAACACCCACTGAGATGAATGAATGCAACCCTTTGTCTTCCTTTCCCCTACCTCCTGCTTGTGTCATTTGAAGATGTTGGCTCTACTCACTACTTGTGGCCTTTAGGTAGAGAGAGTTGGAGTAGGCGGCATTTGGGTATACTTTTAAACTGTGGCAGTAATAAACCTGACAAACATCAGCTGGTGTAGCATATGGTTAAGAGACTGTTGTGTATGCATGAGGAAGTCAGATGCGCCATGAATTCACAAGGTGGTCTTGGATAAGGCAGACCCTAGTATGCATTATGGGGATAATAGTAACCAACATTACAAGGTTCTTGGAAGGATGATGTTGAAAATAATTGATATACTGTTTCGGGCTTGCTGTGTGTTAACCATCACATTTATCTGTATGGGCTTGCTAAGACTTTCTCCTCAACTACTTATTTTCCCCATTAAAGATTATGTCAGATTAAAAAAAAACCCCACATATTAACTGTTCTAAAGTCTTTTAAGGGCAATTATGCATTCACTGCTAACTCAGAATTTTTTCCCTCTCCTTTTCAGCACAGAGACATTAATCGCCTGCTGTATTTATGGAACCTCCCTACACTGCCATGAAGAAGGTCAGCTGGCCAGGCATGATATACAACTGAAATCTAGATTGCAGTGTATACTGGGAGAGAACTTTTTACAAAAACCACCACACCCCTTTTCCAGGGCATCTGTACTTACTGTAAATTTACTTTGGAATTTGAAGTGTTAGAAATATTTTATAAACTTTTTTTGCAATAAATAAGGCATGAGCCAAGGAGCCTGTTCAAGATGAACTTGCAAGGAACCACTTGAATTACTAGTATGAAGAATCACAAAGTGTACTCTTACTCTTCAAATGTGATAGTCTGAATAGGCCCTAGCAGTGGAGTCAAGACCTCTGGAAAGTTGGCTGTAAACTTCTGAACATTTACTTTTGTTCTTACTGTGTGTTATTTCACATCTTAACAAACTTTAATATTTGGTGCAGGTGTTAGCAGAGCTGTAACCTATTTCTGGAAGCACGTCCACATTCAGCTGTGGTGTTAAGTACTGACAGTCCTGTTTGGAGGCAAAGGTTTCCCCTAGAGATGGTGGTAAGGGCAGCGACAGTGAACTCCTTGTAATTCTTGAATAATTATGGCAAATCTTTGCTGTTGTGGGAAATGTTTCTTTGATGGCCACGAAGATCATTCTGTAAAATGCAGGAATCACTGACAATACACAAATGTCTGTGTGCTTGTGATTCTCTAGCAGTAGTCACCCTAAAGGACAGCTACAGCTAAGATAGGGTAGTAACTGGTATCCAAAGTCATGTTTCCTTTCTAATGAAGGAACATATTGCACATTAAATTAGTCCTGACTTGGTTGTGACTAACTTATTCATAACAGCCCGCTGTTAGATTGGGGTTTTAGCATTTCTAAAGTTAGTTGGTTTACAAGCCCTCTCCAATAAAACAAGTCTTAACTCTTATCTGCAGGACTTGAGTATTTAACTGCCAGATGGTTCCACATTTCAATGGAATTCAACCTAGTTTTCCACAGGATTGCACTCACTATTAAAATCTGCTTTTCATATTACCCAGGTATAAAACCTTAACTTGCATAACTACTGCATTAACAGCAGATCAGGATTCCCCAGGAAGGTTGATGGGTTAATAAACACAAGTCAAAATGAATGCACAATCTGATGAAGTACAAATATCAAGTTCTTTTTAAACTATGACAATGCCATCTACACAAGAGTTAAGTCTTGTATGGCATTAAGGTAACCATCTACAGATTAACAAAATATCTCTCTTTTCCAAAGTTACCCATACCAGCAAATACAAGCTGAAGTCTTGGCTTCATAATTTCCATGCATGTTGTAATTATACAAGATTTTCCCTTGGCTTTGACAGATTTATATTTTTAAATAGCATTCTAAACATGGGAAAGATGTATGAGTTAGTATATTACAATGCAATTCTATATTAAATATTTACTAAAAATGTCTGTGAAAACATTTAAAATTTTATTTATAAAAACAGTTCATAGCACCTTTTTAAGAGGTTCAACTGTACCATTTTCTTAAGAAATTAGAGAGGATGTTTAAAGGACAACAAGCAATTGCTTTGCAGTAGTCTTTCTACAATAGTCAAAGCAAAAGAGAAATAAAGTATACTCTACAATTTTCCAGCAAGATTAGAAGCTTATTTGGGCAAGGTAAAAAGGTACTGCAGCGAGTCAGTGCAGTGTAGTTAGACAAAAATAAGCATCCTTTTTATTTAAAAGCAGGGTTGGGTGACTTCACTGGAGAAGGTGCACATACCTTAGGAGGTAACCATGGCACAAAATGATAGTTTTGACTCAGGAAAATGGTGTTGGCTGTACAAATAAGGGTACATATCTGGATTGATGATGGGTGGAGCCAGTAGTGCCTGCATAGACATCTTACTTTTAGCCTGTGCTCCTATTCCTTCTCCTTCAAGAGCACAACTGCTGCCCATTTACATCCATAACACTGTACGAAGTGGTAGAACTACAGGTTTATGGGCAAAATAGACAGCCATGTTGGAAAATGGACAAAATGGCTAGTTGGTACTTACTCATGAAGAATTGAGAAACTACAGCCACCTTGTTTTTCACTTTGAAATGATTGTCAGGGAAAAATTGTAGTGGTAGAAGTAATGTATTGCTTTTCACCCTTTTGCTTTAGTTGCTTAATATTTAAGCTTTGCTCCATGTTACCTTTTTTGTCTGTTTGCTATGTCACTACGCCTCCTTCATTTGGTAGACTTGAATGAGGAAAAACGATTCAACTTTTAAGGGTCACTTGAAATTAATTGTTCAAGAATGTTGTGTACCATCTATTCAATAAAGCCTTGATTTTTTTCCTGCACTTTTAAAAAAGATAAACAAGCAGTCGGTTTCTGCCTCTTCCTCTGGTTGCTTATTTGACAGTAAAAGGCTAATTAATATACTCAAGCTGCAATCCTAGACATACTCACCTGGACATAACTATGCCTTCTGTGTAATCACACATAGGATTGCAGATTGATAAACAGCTAACACTGCAATCCTATGTGTGATTACAATGTTTCTGCTGCTAGCACAAAGGACTGGGCCTTCATTTTGGTGTCCCCTGCTTCTGGAATGTTCCTCTACAGCCAGCGCTAACTTTTCAGCACTAAATGAAGAATTTGTAAGTGTTTTTTAAATTATCACGGTGTTTATATCTGCTTTATTTCGAATATAGATTTTTAATATGTTTAGTTAACTACCTTGAAAACTCTTGTGAAAGGTGGGTGGAACATTCTGAAATAAAAACAGAACACACACTTGTGCTGCAGGATATTTCCAACCGAATAGGCTACAAGGTTTCTTCCTCCCCCTTGCAGCAGGCTCATTCTGTACCAGGTTTGCAAATCTGCTACTTCATTAGCAGCTGTAATACTGCCAACAGCTGAACTGTTGTTTATGTTATGGAGAATTAAGTAGAGAGCTTCTTTGCCTGCCTTAGGAGCTCGGACATGATTATCTCAAAGTGGTGCTGGGATACGAACAAGCTGTAGAAAATGGTATTGTAAGTACAGCAGATGCACAGTCAAGAACTTGTGCCAGCATTTTTTGTATTGATATTGCCACAGGTTGTTATAGTTTGCCAACTGCCTCTGTCACTGCCCCCTCCAAAAACAAACAAACAAACAAACAAAACCCCCAAGCACTAAATGGATAGAATTATCAAGTCCTTGATTCATTTACAGAGATAAACACCAACACAATTGCAGCTTTTGATAGCTGCAATTACACCCAGGCTATTTTATACAGTATACTACATTTATAGGAAAAGCATTCATATGTTCCTTTGAATAAGAAGGCAACAGAATGCAGACCACAATACCATCAATGCTTTATTACACTTAGTAAAAGTGTCCTCTCTGAATAGAAAGGGATCAGCCCTCTCATTCACGCACATACGCTGCAAACTCCATGAACACACAAAATGGTTGTACTTTAGTTACAGGTATGGGAACACTGGATTCTTCTATTTAGCAAAGCCAAACACTCCTCCCCCTTCATCACAAGGGAGGATAAAGAGTGCCCAAATAAAGTGCATCTAAGATGGCAGCGGAAGTCAGACCACTTCACTCTATTCACCCACACCTGTAAAAAGTACCTTATAGAAGAGAAATGCATGAGACTATGTTCAAATCTTCATATTTAGATAAAGATGTTAGGCCTTAAAAGTTTTAATTCACCCTCTTTCTGCATTCATTGAAACGCCACAATTCCAATGCCACACTTTTTACCAGGAGTGGGTTGGGCTTATGTTATCGGTTGTTGTTATTTGGATTTTGAACAAAGTTGATAGAGTACGAGCCAGTTGAGGAATCCTGTTTCACCTGGAAGTTCTCTGTTGATAGGCCAAAAGGGCGCAGAACCAAGTTGCCAAGATCTTTCAGTTTGCCTGCAATACACACACAAAAAGAAATGTACTTCCCAACATGTACAAGGTCAGTAATGAAGCAATGTTCCTTGCTGCTTGAACACTCCACAAGGAATTGGCTGCAAGCATTCCATTGTTCAAGAGTGCTAACACAGGAGTGATTATGTTCTGTACAGCACCTGCCTCATGACACTTAAGCAACAGTAGATGGTCTGTCATTTGGAAAGATGGGCTCCACATGCTTGAAACCTTGTTTAGTCCTCTGTCACAAGTTACCTACATTAGTGTTAAGCACGGTGCCTATTCAAAGCTTATCTAGTGTGCATGTATGATCATTTTGTCTCCAAAAGTAATTAATCTTTGAGAACAGTGTTTTCCTTATAGCTAATAAAGTAACTTTCAAACTTGCTAAGAAGTTGTAGTAACCCTAAAAAAAGTGCTGAAACCAAATGGTTCTTAGGCAGAAGTTACAGAGCAAGTAAAAAAAACCCCAAAACCTAAATAAAGCCTGCCTGAAGACCATGAACTATCAACATGAAACAAAGCACACGGGTAAGAGATAAGAAGGCACATAAAAGTTTGTATAAACTGAACACACTGGCCTGGGACCAAAGGCTTAAGAATTGGTTTGAATGAACAGCTCTTGTAGATGCAACTTTTGAAGAAGCAGCACAAAACATTTTCCTTCTGTCATATTCAAATGCCCAAAACTGCTAAAACTGAAAGAGTAGTTGTATGGCATTTTGGGGTTCAATATTATGTTCAGAAACTTGCTGCCTTTCAACTGCTGTGCTACAGATAGTGAAGCAAATGTTAGCCATGGCAGTTGAAATGTAGGAGAGACTAATTCATAATTCTGTTTGCTTTGCCTTTCATTCTAATAAGCATTATCATCTACACCCTACTGCCTCTGATCAGAATTTTAGATTATAAATCGACATAATTTCAAACTGAGCATGCAGCATAGTGTGTAAACATTGGTGTTGAGGCACGGCATCTTACTAAAAAGGAGATTGTGACCAGAACCACATGACCAATCAGGAGACAGGTATTGTTTACTGACTGCCCTTTCTTCTCGCCAGCACAAGAGGGAAGGGAGATTCTGCACTCAGTATCCTGCTCAGCTACGAGTGTCTGTCAGAAATGAACCTGTCAACTGTTTCTCTGATTCTGGATGGTGGTCACTGTGCAATCCAGAGGTACTCTCTAATATGAATCTATTGGGAGTTTGCCTCTCAGAACGCGTCTCCCCCCCACACCCATTACCCACAACCTGCATACCTACTGCGACATTCATGAGCAGCTGCCACTGCTTCCCCTGTTGGGCTCAGGAAGGCCCAGTGCAGACACTCCCATCCCAAAAATCGGGGGGGGGGGGGGGAGATGATCCACACATACTACAACACCCATAGATGTCTAGATCAGAACAAATAGATCTGATTGCCCATTTTCAACAACAGTTGTCAAATCAGCAGCTTAAAAGTAACATTCAATAAGCCTTGATGTTTGTGGAGTTGGGATGGTCTGAGATGGGGCATCAGTGTTGTGAAAAATGAGGATCTCTGAAACCCAGAGATTTCAGGGGTAAGTCTGTCCTAGAGTAGTAAGAGAAGTCATTAATTTGTCTGCAGGGATGGTTGTGTAAGAAATTCATGTTTTATACCAATGTATGGAAGCTACCACACAACCAAGCTGGATACCAGTGCCACTTACCCAACATCTCTTCCTTAAGCTTCTCATTGCGTTCTTCTATTTGTCTTGGCAATCGCTAAGAAAAACAAACAAGAGAATCAATTCTTCAAAGTTGGCTTTGACAACCTGTTTTTTTTTACCCATGACACATACTATGCATGGCTTGATGCACGACTTTGCATGAAAAAACACAGGGGACACACTCATAGCCAGAACTCACTGGAGCGCTGCAATGCTACTTTATACGTGAAGAACTACTTTGTAAGTCATTTTATGGTGCAGAAGTGTTTGGTTGAGTAAATGCTTCCAAACTGGAAACCACCCAAAATTTCTTTTGGAGATCACTCTTGAACTTCCCACATGGAACTCCCATCGTCATTGTGAGATTTGAGGTTATTTTCTATACTGTCCACAGTTCACTGTGTCTTGCTTCTCTACTGGCTAAAATTACAGCACATGCCAGACACAAGGTTGCCCCTAAAAACATTACTTTGGAGCAAATTTCTGATAGATCAACGTTGGGTCAATACATGTGAAACCCTTATTAATGCATGGTCTGATTGTTGACGTCTTCAGGGTTACAAAGTAGTGTACTGAAAGTTGCAAAGTAGTGTACTAAAAATAAACTCAAAGAGCAGTACCTTCTGTTAGAAGGTGTCACCTCCGAACTAGACAATTTTCATTGTTTTATTACTCCCTGAAATGTTATTATGGTCTTCTAGATTACTCTCTTGAATTATCTGTTGAAGCAATGAGGAAGGGGTTTACAGCTTTGAGATTTTAAACTATGATCAATGGTTCCAACTCAAAAAGCTTACTGTAGGTCAGTTCTTCCTTCTTAGAAATGAAGTTTCATTTTGGACTTAAATATGGGAACAAAGTAATCTGATCATACTTTTTCCAGTTTTAAAAGTATGGTAGGCTGTCATCCTGGTAATGCATGCCTTTACCTTTAAGATTTAATACTTATGTCCAACAGTTACCAGGAGCTATTCACTCCATTATTTGGGGAGGGAAAGACGCTTACCACACAAGCTTCTCTTGCTTGATGGATTGATGGGTCTTTTTCCAACAAGTTTTTGTAGTCTTCTAAAGCTTCATCCAGCTTTTCTGTTTTTTCATATAGTTCTGCTCTCCTGAGCAGTGCCTTGATATAGTTTGGATTTAATTCCAGGGCTATAAAACAGAATTAAAGAAACAGCAGAAAAACTGAGGTAGGAAACTTTTTACTTCAAAGCCTAGGGCATCTGCAGCATGTTCTAGTTTAGCTAGCCTCAGGCTATAGGATAGTGCTGGCAGTAGAAGCTATGATCTAGTGTGAACCATACGCAAATGGGTTAATAATCATTTTATTGTTTGCTTCAATGTACAGTTATAGCAAATATAAGTGATCAAAACCCTTTGTGGACCATCTTGAACTTGATTTACTTTCTAAGTGCAAGATCAAGCCATATACACAGCATGATTTCATGCTACACATACGTGTCCATGTGGATCTTAAAGGAAAACAAGCAGCTCTGCTCTAGCAGGAGTGAGGCTAGCTGGATACTCCATCACTCAGGACAATACCTGATGACCAGCTAATCGTTGGCACTTTGCACGCTGTGCCTTTGACTGTATGGTCTGATTTCAAACCATGCTGGCAAAAATGGGTCGCCTGCCATCTTAAGACACCAGTTAATTAACAGGTGGGCAGCACCCACCCATCTATCAAATTTGGCCTGCAGGGGTCAGCCAAATGCAGCTCCCCAACCTCACTCATTCCATGGGCCAGGAACCACCTGTGGGTCTCAATCTGCTTTCAAGTGGGTCTTAGTTCCACAAGCTACCCAGTCTCTCTGCCTCACATCTCTGTACATGTGATAGCTCTTTGGTTAGACCAATGCTAGCGCCAGCTGAATGAAGGTGGTTGGAAGACCACTGGAGACCCCTCCAGTGGCGGGGGGGGGGCTCCTTCCAAGAGGAAAGGGCTACAGGAGATGTTGAAGAAAACTAGAAAGTCATAAAAGGTGAATAATTTAAGAGAGAGAAAACAAATCTGGAATAAGAAGACAGGCGGTAAGAGAGGAATGTTGTTCTAGGAGGGAGAAGGACACGTAAAAGGAGCAGGGAGGAGGAATGAAGGAAACTGACCATTTTAGGGGTGATAAAGTACAAGTGTGAAAGGAGGACAGAAGAAATCACACGACATGAACAAAAGCATACGGAGAGACATGTGGGCAGGGAGGCTGGATATAATATACAGTAAAAGCTTCACATAAAAAGCCTCCAGATAATAAACTTTTACCTAAAATAAAAGTGGGAATGCTGAATCAATAGTTCCAGAAGCAAAAATCTGTATTTTGCTAGTGGAAAACTGAATTATGGAACTCCACAGAAAATTGCTATGACAAAGAACACAGCAACTTCCAAAGAGATATTAGATGTCAATAAAAGAATGTCAGTAACTGCCAACTGATTAGAGCAAATTCCACCTCCATCACCATTTTTAACTGGGTTCATCTCTATACCTCCGCTGGTGGGGTGCCTCTCAAGTAGATAACAGTCTTACCAAGACAACATGCTTTTAACAGAGCACAAGAACAGGAAAACAGTACCTTTGCTGCAGTCACTTATGGCAATTTCCCTCTTGTCCTGTAAAAGAAGAGGTGGCATTAACATTTAACACCAAATAGTATTTTTATAGAAATGCTAAATACTTATTCTTTGTGATACTTATTCACATATTTTAATGTTTGCAGTGTAACAGAATATTCTAGATGACTTATTCTAAAGCTGTGAGGGGACTAATTTGGCTAAACTACTTAGAGGCTAAGAAAAGTATGATCAGCATTTGTTGGCGAGCTCTTCCACAAGGGGACTTACGGCATGCAAATGTACCAAACTGCTGTACATTCTGCTGTACATTCAGCAATAAGTAAAATAAAAGCATACTAGGAATACAATCAAAATTGTTGATGCAATAGACCGTGTTAACATTGATTTACTCTCTTGATTTAAATAGTATGGTAGAGTTTTTGGCTGGCTGGCCTTGCTGGTCATGCCAAATATTGCAGTTTCCAGTGAACATCCTTGCTTAGCAAGCCCCACCACCCTGCACCAATCTTTCCCAATGACAGCACACCCGGTTTGCCTGAAGTTGCCTTCCAGCATCAGCATCCAACACCCCCTTCTCAATGGAAGGACCAAGGAGGAACGCATCAGGTTGTTCACTGCTGCTTGAAAGCATCCCAAACACCTTCAAGCAGAAGCATGGAGCACCTCCCTGCCCACTTCACTCAAGAGAAGAGCCATTAGGAAGCACGCCTGGTTGAGCAGCAGCATTCAACCTTCCTTGCCTGCCTTTCTTGCCCTGGGGGTTGCAGGGTTGGCCGAGCTTGGATGAGGATCTCCAGGCAACCACAACTCTGGAGCTGGCAGGGACTGCTGTGCAACTGCCCAAGCCCCGTCCATCTCTACCGCTTCCCCAAGTGAGGAAAAGACTGGTCACTCATGAGTCATGACATGTGCCAAAGGTCAGAGGAAACCTCTTAAGTCTGGAAGTAAGACTGTGCTGACCTGCCTGCTTAACAGAGGTCCCAGTTTTACATTTCTACTCAGCACTGTTCCCGTGTTCTCCCACAGTGAGAAAAAAGTCTAAGAAAACAAAATGCCTTCAGCTGTCAAGTTTATAGCTGAAAGGGAAGATGAAAACAATAATCACATTCATTCATTCTTGCTACTTCACTGTCTTGGGCATTACCTGTTTCATTCTTGCTGCAGCTCTGTTTGAATACAAAATGGATCTGTCTGTGTTACAGCAGGCTGGACAAACCTGCAGAGCTCTTGCATAAGCATCTTCAGCTTCTTTATATTCTGCAGTTTAAATGAAATGTCAAGATCGAAGACAGTAAGTGCACACACAAGAATTGATGCCTTGAAGGCATGCCTAGCATCACATCCCGCCCCCAATTTAATTTTTCAGAAAAAATACACTGCTAAAACAAACAAAAAAGCAATGTATCCCAGTCCGAACAACAGTCATAAGGATAGCTAGAAGCATTACCAAATGTTCAGAATCTCAAACCAACCCTTTCGAGGGCTTAGGGGCCAGTCATAGCACATTACAACATCTTTAACATAGGTGAGGAGCTGCTCATGGTAGATAGGACTACCCCAAGGCAATTAGGAGACATCATTAAGGGAGGAGTTAAGAGTAGGGCAAGGCTCCACAAATACACTTTGTTTTAGTTGCTAAGGCAACTAAAATATAATTCTGGCAACCTGGAATGCAGATACTGGTAGCCAAGGTCTATTCTCCTGACAGTACACCAAGCCTTGGAGATACTGGAGAGGCAAGAAGACCTTTCTACTTTTGGACAAGCTCTGTGATTCAGCACAAGTAGTATGGCTCCTTACCCTGCTTCCCAGCACTGAGCTAGAGAAGAGCGCAAGGGATTCCCCCCACCATCAAGTCACTGGGCCTAGAGCATGGTGTGATGTATTTCTTCAGAATAAAACAGAGTGATGGCAAGCCCATCTATTAAGGTCAAACAAAATGTGAAGACCCTTGCTGAAAGTGCACTCATTCTCTGAGTGCCAACCTTTATGCGCCCCAAAATGGCACCATCCAAAGACAACAAGAAGACTTTCAGCAGGATATGGGGAATCCCGAGGTTTGCTTTGCAGAAGTACTAAACATATTTAAGAAAATGGCAACAACTCGCTCAGAGCTGTTTTCCCAAGACTGATTGAAGGGGGGGAACAATCAATGGCACAGTTGCCTCAAAATCTACAATGGATTTAATCCCAAGTAAGCACAAGTATGACTGCAGTTCTGGGATCTTAACTCCCAGAACCCTTAAAAGAGAATTCCCAAATACAATGGTAAGGTATAAAATGAAGTCTTCTCCAGGGGTAGGTATTCCAGATATGGCTGGTCATAAGAAGACTACATAAACACCTATAAGGACCGCATCAATCACCTGCACAGATGACAAATTCTACATAGCATTTGTCTTTAGACTGACCACAATTTGGGTATTACATAGTTGTAATTCACCCACCTCCTTTCTTGAACTGTTCATTTCCTTCTTCTTTTAATTTTGTGCTCTCATTTCTTCTCCTCTGTAATACAAAGAAGACCACATAATAAATATCTGAAGCAAGTAAGCAAAATAGCTTATTATTTGATATCACAATGGAAACTGCAACCTGAAATATGGAAATAGCTATCCCAAAACCCATCTATTATTTAGTATTTTGCCTAGCTATTTTGTACATACTTTTTAATGTTCTGATTTCTAAAAAGGAGACATGTTTCAAAATTTGAGTGAAGTTTTCTCCCCGCCAAAAAGACCCAAGAGTTCTTGAGGCTTGGCTATCCACAAATGCAAACAGTAGGCAAACCATAACCATAGCAAATTGGTTGGAGGCTCTTCCTTAGGCAAGGAGAACCTACCAAGTGCTTGTTTATGACAAATTTTTTACATTAAAAATAAAATAAAATAATTTCTTGTTCTCTGAATCCTGTGAAACAGAGGTCACTTTGCATTTTACAGATGAGGCACTAAGGCCAATAGAGACTTCCCCAAACCAAGGCTGGAGTTGTTTAACCTCAGTCTTGTAGTTCCAACCACAAAAACTATTCACCCACTTGGGAGGGAAAAAAAGTGAATGAAGAACTGACCTAATGTACATAGAAATTGATTATTGTTTATTATTATTTCTGCTATATGTTCTTTGGTAAAACAAGGAACAGTCAACTTTTGTGGAAAAATAAGCTTTCAAGAATTACAGCCCTCCATCTCTTTCACTAACTACCACATGCTCTTTGTTCCCAAATCCCATTTAAGACTTTCCAACCTGGACTACCCTGTGACACAGGAGCTCAACCAATGTCTTGTGGAGGCAGGAAGATGTCTAGCCACCAACACCTTCTACCTCTTTTACTAATTTCTCAACTTTTTCAAACCTCTGCCTCTCTATCCATTCCTTCCCTTGGCCCCCTCCTTCCCCTTTAATCCCCTTTCCACTGGTCTCTAGTTCCTCATCTTTTCTGCCCTCTCCCCATTCCCTAAGGTCCCCCCCCGCCCCACAATAGTTCTTTCATCCTCACATCCATGACAGCCAGCATACTACTTTCCTGGCCGCTGAGCCAATTTCTGCTTCCTAGTTCAGGTCCTGTGACATCATAAGAGCTCAGCCAATAAATAGAGGACTTGAAAGGCAACAGACCCTGCATTTAACTTGAAATCAAGTGTATCGACACACACACCTATCTCTTTTTGTTCATTCTCTGCTTTAATGCACACTACTTAAAACTGATTGCCCAACACACTCAGGATTTAGCTTGCTACCACAGTACAGAAAGGAACTGTCATAAGATAAATTTCATTTTATTCTCTGGATTTTTTGAAGTGCCTTACCATGGAGGTTTTCCATTTTTTTACTGTGGGAAAAAACTTCCTTTTTAACGAAATATATTTCGTTAAAAAGGAAGTTAATATATGCGCATTAATGATTTCCTTTCTCTTTTAGAGAAATCAGGGCCAACAACATTTTCTACTACCCAGCCATACACCTCCAAATTTTAGTAAGCATTCATTGGATGAAAATAAAATTTAGTTTTGTGGTTTTGCTGGTAATTGATGGGAACCAAAAATTTGAATGTAAGGGAAAATATTACAGGTTAGGAAACATACATTTGAACAGGAATGCACTTCCTTGATAATATTTTTCTGTCATTAACCATGGCTGAAAGCTAAAAAGATACAGTACATGGAGCAAGCAGTCCAGCAGTAAGCGTGTAAGTACAAGCAACCTTGCTCATCTAATGACTAGCAGAAAGATAACTCTGCAAAGTAAATATTTACACAATTTTAATATAATAGAGTGTTTAGCTTTACTAGACACGAGTTGTATGTTACCCAGTGAAGAATCTGATTTTGTTTTTAAATGCAAACAGAGGCCTTGTTGTTTATATACTGCTGAGTCACTGTTGCACATCTTTCTTGATATAAAAGGAGAAATGACTGTGTCTGAACCCTAAAAAGCAGCCTTGCTTGAGGAATGCATTTTAATCCCTTTATTAACCTTAGTTATCCAGTCTCAGAATTCCCCAACCTACCCTTTGTTCATTGCACATAGACTGATTGACAAAACCACTGTTGCTTTTGTCGTATGATAAACATAACAAAATAATTAAAAGATTAACTTTTATTTTAGATGAATATTCTTGCTACTGAATAAGCATTGCTTGCAAAGGTGAAAAGCCCAAATCCAGACAATCATGTCGCAAACAAGCAAGATTATATGTGTCTTCTAGCAATTCTGACCTTAGGAAAAATCTCACCCACCACCAACAAGCACAGCTTTTTAAACTTTTAACAGTTGCCTTTTCTAAATCCTGAAATGAATCAGACAACTCAGATAAGTCAAACGGCACTTAAAAATCTAGAAGAGTCTAACACAAGAATTTTTTTAAAAGTACAGCCCGCACACAATTGTCTGGCAGGCACACACTGCCCATTTCTGTTTTAGGATGACAGAGAGCAAGTGGAACAGAATAATCAGAAGACAAACAGAAACACAACAAAGGAATGGTAAAGGAAAAGTCGGTGTCTCTGGCAAATATGGATAACACAGACAAAAATGAGGAAATAATGAGTCTGCTTGCAATCACATGTAGCAACATTCCCTAACTTGGTGCTGTGATGGCTAGGACTGATGGGAGTAGTAGTCCAAAATATCTGGAGGGCATCAGGTTGGGGAAGGCTGACATAAAGGAATCCACAGAGACATTTCTTGTTTTCCTATATCCTGACAAATGACACTTAAGCTGTGGGTGGGGAGAGTCACAGTGCTGGAATTTAACCACAAACCCTCCAAACCTCATCCATAAAATGGGGGGGGGGGGGGGGGGATGTGTGAACCTGTGCCCTGAAAAGATTGCAATCCAACTAAATCATTGTGTGCATGGAATGACTTCCAAGAGCACAATGGATTCATTTAAGTAGTTCTGCATGCACAATGATTTCATTGCACACTTGCCAATAAGCCCCACTAAGCTGAAAAGGATTTACTTCCAAAAAAACATGAACAGGAATTGGCTGCTGTAGGTGGGAGTAAATTTGACTGAAATCAACAAATGCTATTTCCAATTTAAAAAAGAGCAGGACTATGTTGAAAGATTTCATTTTTTAAAACATACGGTGAATACTAGAAAAGCTAAAATTCAAAACATACTCCTTGGAACCTTGTTGCACTTAAATCAATGGGACATACTTCCAAAGAAATATCATTAAAATCAGAGTGCTAATCAACACAATGTTAAAGAAACATTTGTAGTTTCATTAAAGCATACCTGTTTTTCTTCCTCAGACATATTTTTCTCTAGTTCTAATAAGTCCTTCTCATCTAGCTCTATTTCATTTTCTAAAGGATCTGCCTTATTATTGTGATTCTCTTCTGCCACTCCTGCTTCAAAAGAGTCATTACAGTCATGGAAGAGGTCTTCGTCTTCTCTGGACTCAGAGTGAGGCAGCTGAGTCACTCCTTCTTTGGCGATTTTGGGGACATGCACATTATTACAACCTGGCTGTGAAGGACTGCTTTGTTCCTCTGAGAGTTTCAAACCCTCAACTAATTTTTCAGGAGAAATTGAATCTTCAGATTCCATGTTGAGCTTACAAAGTTGATTTTCTGCCTTCAACAAACAAACACAGAAAGAAAAATTACATATGGCAACAGATATGAAATCTTTAAACAATGCTGGCAAAATCTTAACACATCTAATCACAGCATCAGCTATAAACTGATAGTTGGATCTAGAGATACTTCCCCTCCACCATTTTAGCTTCATCATTCTCAAAGCAGTACTCTTCCAAAGCAAGCTAAACTCTAAAATGGGATTTGGTACAAATTTATGCTATTGTATTTTGAACAAGATTATAATGTATTTCAACAGTAATCCAGTGCCTTTAGTAGCAGCATGGTGAGAAACTCTTCCCAGATGCAACTCCACCAGTTACTGAACCTACTAAAATATTGACACATGAAACTGCCTTATTATTTAAAGTCAGATCATGAGCCTACATAGTCCACCACTGTCTTCTCTGACTCTCCCCAGGGTGAGCCTTGCTACCTCAATTTTGTATTTTAACTGGAGACATGAGGGATTAAACCCTGGACTTCAATGTGCCCTCCCAATCAATTATGGCTCTTACCCCAATATTTCCATTTATTTGTTTTACAGGTCTATGTCATGCGTTTAAAATAATAATAAAGCAACTGAAAGAAATTACAAAAAACCGTGTAACCTCCCCCTCCCTTCCTCTTCTCCCACCGGCGAGAACAGGGTTGGCTTTTGAACTAATCCTGGCAACTCCTCACATTCAAATCATGCCCGCAGACACCCAAGCCTGGCATCACAGCAGCGGGTACGGCAACTGAACCCACAACCGCCCCACCACGAACAGCAGCCATGGGCTGCCAGGCCAGTGAAGCCACAGAGACATTTTGCAAATTCCTCCTCGCAGAGCTGCTAAAGCTGCACACCAAAAAAACCCAAAAAACACCACGTCCTTATTTCACGAATTCGAGGCGTTCCCCCCTCGGTCCTCTTCACCGTTAGTGCTGACAGGAGCCAGTGATGAAGAATTCGGGGCCCTTGGGCAAGCAAGCTCGCTCCCCGTAGCTCCCCCGCCCCTGAAGCATATTCTAAGGCAGGTGACCCAGGAGCCCCACTTCGCCCACTGCCCCGTTTCTCTCCCTCAGAGGCCCGTACCTATCACGGCTCTACCCGCAACTCCACTACTTCCTGACGCCGCGTCGTTCACGCGTCGCGCTCCCCCCTACGTCACTTCCTGTTTCCTTTGCAGGGGCGAAGCCAAGAAGACGCTTGGAGGGAGGCTTCGGAGAAAGGAGCGTCAATGACGTCACGCCCTCGTCTCGGAGGGGTGGACGTCGAGCCTCCCTGGCCAATCAGCGTGGCCGTGGCGCCAAGGGAGGCGGGCGGGAAGGCATCGGCGCTGTAGGGTTTGGGTTTGCGTAGAGCGGCTTTAAGGCGAAGGGGTTCCGCATGCTCGTTGGCGGGGGAGAGGGATCCCTTACGTTGCCATGTAAGGCAGTCTTATGGCTGATTGCTTAGAAGTCATTGGCACTGCTCCCTAGCAAGTGGCTTTGTGGCTGCAGGCGAAGAGCCCCGCAGGGATGGAGCGTGGCGCTTCTACTGCAGCGCGTAGGCTAGGGCAGTTCCCGGTGAAATAAAGGGGGACAGAAGTTGCCACCCTAAACTTTTACTTTCCTGTTAAGTGATTGAGGAACTCGAATACAGTAATTACAGAGCAGGAAGAAACTCAGAGCACCATCTTTTTATTGTTATTTTAAAAATGTAATCTGGATTGCATGTCCTCGAATATGGGCAAAGTCTCTCCAAGGACAAGAACAAAAATAAGAATAAACTTCCTGCAGTGTGTGCTTTCTTCAGGAAGGAAATGTTCTGGTTGGCTAAAGCTGGTCCTGCATACATTAGAACCAGGATCTCCGAGCTTCCTTCTATATTGCCTATAGGGCTGCAATAGCCCCATAAGTAGAGTACTGATCTACAGGCCGACGAGGCCGCCATTTTAAAATAAATCTTTAAAAAATACAATTTTATACTGCAGCAAGTTGAGAGGAAGTCAGGAATATGCCCAGTATCGGTTTTCGCAATTCCAGAAAGCAAAGCTCAAAATAGATTCCACTAGAGGGCCCAAAATGCTTACTGATAGGCCCACTCATCAGTTCCCAAACTACCTTAAAAAGACTTAAAGCTGCTTAGAATTATGTCAACACACATGAATAAGCTTTAAAAAATCTGAAATGCAAGAAATAAATTTGATAAGACATACAGGAAGGAAGCTTGCTATTTATTTGTGTACCTAGGAAAAATTACTACTTACAGGATAACTGGTATTCTGAGCCGAAGCACTTTTAGAAAATCCTTTTGCTTTAAATCCCTTTGATTGAAATAAAACTCTTCAAATAAATGACCCGAAGCATGCTTACTAGGAAGGAAGTTCCACTGAACTACATGGGATATGTTTAAATTCAAGCTGAAAACTAGTAAAGGTATGCAAAATAAATAGGGTGCCTTTAAGCCACAGCTATATGGGATGCAGGTGGCACTGTGGGTTAAACCACAGAGCTAGGACTTGCTGATCAGAAGGTCCCCGTGATGGGGTGAGCTCCCTTTGCTTGGCCCAGCTCCTGCCCACTTAGCAGTTCAAAAGCACGGCAAAGTGCAAGTAGATAAATACCTTCCGGCGGGAAGGTAAATGGCGTTTCCATGCGCTGCTCTGGTTCGTCAGAAGCGGCTTAGTCATGCTGGCCACATGACCCGGAAGCTGTACGCCGGCTCCCTCGGCCAATAAAGCAAGATGAGTGCCGCAACCCCAGAGTCGGCCACGACTGGACCTAATGGTCAGGGGTCCCTTTACCTATATGCTATATATCAGCTGGAGTATGAACTTTAGTAAAAGATCCCTCGGTAAACTTTCAGGGCACAGGAGCTCTCACAAAACAGTGTATAAAAATAAAGACTAAACATAATAACATTAAAAACAACAGTATAAATAAATTCAAGCAATTAAGAAAATTTAGTTTGAAATGAAAAACAAGTAGTTGCTGGAACCATGTCCTGAAAGCAGTGCTAAAGAGAAGCTAGTTTTAGCTGAGATTCCTAAGGGCCCAGTCTTCGGTGCCTTCTCTTGATAAGCAAAGGGGGGGAAATCAAATGGAACTAATTTCTCATAAGCAATAAGTCCTTTGTTGCTGCACTTTTCACTTTTGAAAAGGTATAATGACCGACAAAGCCATGCAAGCTTGCATATGTTCCAGACAATGCCTAGAGACTTGCAGAAGTATGGCCACAGAGTTCCATTTTCAGCCCCCTGTATTTGAAGATACTCATTGGTACCCTTTCGTTATGGCACTTGTTCGCCTTTTTTACTGGGGGGGAAAGGACATGAAAGGCACCAGTGTCTAAACTTCTGATTCAAAATCATAACACACAGGAGAGCATCGTTGGCAGAGATACAAGTGCCTTCACCTGAATCAAATACAGGCAGCTCTTGTTGTCAGGTATACTACCAATGTCCTAGGCTCAGGCTAGGACTGTGAAGCAAATTGCAATCCCAATGGCTTAAATCAGATTAAGAGTTACAGCCTGAGCAATACCTTCGCTACGTGCTGCCTAAGACTGCTCTGTGAAGTCATAGGTCAGGAAATTTTCAACTGAGGACATTGAGATTCCTGCATTGCAGGGGGTTGGACTAGATAACCCTCAGGGGTCCTTCCAACTCTACAGTTCTATGCTTCTATGACTTTGCAAGTCATACACTTAACAGTGATACTATGCCAGCTCTCATTTAAGGACATTCACTTTACAATTTCAGCACAATTGGAGGCTAGCCTCAGCTAACAGCTGGCAAATTTAAGGCAGGGATAGGCAACCTCAGGTGCAGGGCCCAAATTTAGGCCTCTAGGCATCTCTCTCTGGGCCTCAGAATTCTCCACAGGCCAGAGTTGGAAGGGACCACAAGGGTCACCTACATAGCTGTCAACGTTTCCCTTTTTTTAAGGGAAATTTCCTTATTGCGAATAGGATTCCTTGCAAGAAAAGGGAAAAGTTGACAGCTATGGTCATCTAGCCCAACCCCCTGCAATGCAGGAATCTTTTGCCTAATGTGGGGCTCAAACCCACAACCCTGAAATATGCAGCCCATGGTTGAAAATGGTTCCCACTTCTGATTTAAGGCATGGATAGTGCCAAAGAAAAAAAGCATTTGCATTTCCACTATTCTGATCCCAGTTCTCCCAGAAAGGGGGTCCATTTTTTCCAGGTGCTTCTCACACATAAGGGAATGCAGGGGTGCCAACTTGAATAAAATATTAGGGGGGGAAGCATTCCCCACCCCAGCTAATCAATCACGAGACACAGCACACACATTATTTGAGTGGCAATGCCCATCGACTTTGGGAGGCAGCCCCCTCCAGTATTTTATTCGGGGGCCCAAGGGACCTGAGCCCCTAGGAGTTGGCTCCTATGAAAGGAAGGTAGGTGAAAAAGAGGCCAGCGTAACTGACATCGTGAGGATTAGCTAGGACTGCAGTTTAGCTAACAAGCTTGTCTCTTCCCCAGCCTGTTTAGCTATTTAAAGCATTGTAAACAAAATAATCAATGTGACAGGGGAGAGTCTGAATCAGACACTTTCTGCTCTGATATCCCAAATATAGAAAAGCTGCTTTCTCGGGCTATCAAGTAGCATGCAAAACGTTAACATGTCAAATAGCAAGGAAGATAAATAATGTTTCATCTTTGGAGGAGGGAGAGGGAGAACATTGCCCTACAGTACAGCTTGTCAAAAGGCATAGGTGGCACAAACACCCAAACCAGGAGCTTCCCCCTACCTGCGTCTCCCCAATGCTGGATTCCTGTCATTAAAATAGATTGTTATTTTTCTTTCAGGGAGCTTAATACGTGGGACACACCTCACCCACATAGAAGTATACTTTGCCCCTTCTGTGCCCTCCTCCAATCTGGTCAAAAGATAAGGAAGGAACTTTCTTCTAAGCTACCTGGTGGGCACAGAATACTAAGCACAAGTCTCTAGTGGTTTATGCAAAATTTCTAGCTAAACCTGCAAAATCTACATGGCACCACTGCATGTCCTGCCTACAAAGTATCACTGAGCAGCTCCCTACATGAAGGAGTCTTGCATGTGTCTTCACCAATTATGTACTTAAGAGGTACATAACAGGCCCATCATGCCATTGGCTGGATTATGGAGCAAATCCTTTATTCCAAGCTAATTCTAGTGCTCTGCGAACTCCCTGGCCCCAATAGTGGCCTCTCACCCTCTTGGCACATTGACACCAACCTAAATTCTGTCACCTGTTTGTACCTTCTAAGCAACACTCAAGCCAGCCTGTGCTTATGAAAGGCAGCGGGAAAACATTTGGTATCCACACACAAAATGGGCAACACAACTGCGCACTCATTTCAATGTAGATTAATTGTCCAGAAAGGCTCTTTGCATGTACATAAGCCCAATGACCTTGGATGCTTGAGCCCAATGGTTGCCATTAATCTGATTGGAATTAATTTTATAATGAAATGATTTTAGAATGTTTCATCATTTTACTGTTGTTAGCCGCTCTGAGCCCGGCTTCGGCTGGGGAGGGCGGGATATAAATAAAATGTATTATTATTATTATTAATGGAATAAAGTCAGAGAGAATACTAAATAGACTTTACCAAAAAGGAAAGGAAAGGAAAAAAAGTAATAGTAATACTATAGAAGCTGAAATGCAAGGGTGTCATAAACTAGCTGACTTAAGAATCTGAAGAAGTGACAAACAAATCAGGACTGGTTTCAACCCTTTTTTCCAAACTCTCTCCAAAATAATACCTTCCATCATGATTGAATTAGGGCATGCGTCCAGAAAGTACAGGCACTAAGACTCGCTCAAGTTCCCACCAATCCAACCTTCTTCAGTTGCACATTATAACCGCCTCCCTTTTCTTGCCTCTGAAGGACTGAAAGGATGAAAATAGAACATGGTCCTTGCTTCCTGTTCATCGCTTCTGCATTTTCTAAAGACATGCAGTCCTTGCTGTTTTTATCTGCACAGTTCAGCAAGGCAATAAGAAACTACTGCGCTTTATGCAATGGTTATTTTTAGAAGACTGCTTGGTTTGGCTTAAGGCAGGTTTTGCACGTGGAGTAGAGGAGGGAAGGGTCTGTTTGCATCTTTATGTCTTTTGTTTGAGGGATGTTGTTGTTATTGTTGTTTTATCATTGTTGATTCCTTGGCCCCAGGAACAAACACTCTTTGCAAATCAGACTCAGAAGCAGTCAGATGCCATCACCTCTCTGGCACCAAGGAGGAAGCAGTGCAGTGGACTTCCTCTAAAGATAGAGTGAGAGAGAGCAGGGATGGCTTCACTCCATAATAGATTGCAAAGAGAGGAAGCAAATTTAAGGATGGTCACTCCATTAGGAGCCTCAGAATAGAACAGAACCAGGCCTCCAGTGTGGCCAATCAATAGAATTTGATAGTTTAAAAATATCCTTACTATTTATATTACAGAAGCAGCCTCGTATGCAGTACAGTACTGCTCAGGAATTCTAAGGAAACTCAGAAATCAGTGCAGTTTTGAAAACAGCAGTTAAAATTAGTGCGGTTTTGAAAGGTTCAGTCTGGCATCTTGATTCAAAAATGGCATCCAATTTTATTCAAAAATAGATGAGAACCTGCTCTTTGACCTCAGGAACTGTCATGCAAAATGTGGTTACAATATTTTAAGAGGGGGTCCAAATATGCACAAACAACTTTCCAAGCTATATAGTAAAGGTAAAGGGACCCCTGACCATTAGGTCAGGCGTGGACAACTCTGGGATTGCAGCACTCATCTCACTTTACTGGCCTTACATGACTAAGCCGCTTCTGGCGAACCAGAGCAGCACACGGAAACACTGTTTACCTTCCCGTTGGAGCAGTACCTATTTATCCAGGGACTGAGCAACGCAGGGATTCGAACCACCGACTTTCTGATTGGCAAGCCCTAGGCTCTGTGGTTTAGACCACAGCGCCACCCACGTCCCTTTGACCTCAGGAACTGTCATGCAAAATGTGGTTACAATATCTTAAGAGGGGTCCAAATGTGCACAAACAACTATATAGTATATAGTAGAGTTTAAAAATTATTTTCCATCTTTATTGTGTTTCACATCAACTCTGTGAGGCAGACCACCGTTGCTAACATTTTATAGAAGGATAAATGAAACTAAGCAAATATCGGTGTCCAACACCACACAATAAGCCTTGCTGGAGGTGGGACTTTCACTGCCCATTGCCTTCTGTCTTTTTAAAAAACATTATGTCGTGTTTCGTTACTCCTAGTTTCTTCTGCCAGACTTCAGCTCCCACTGCCAGCAGCTTGAAAACACAACTCATCCAAAATTCCAAGGATCCGTGAGTCCTTACGCAGCTCAGAATCACCACCCTAGAGTTCACAGAAGATAGACAAATCCTGAGAATTTGAATATAAGAGCCCTGCTGGATCAGGTTAATGCTTCATGTAGTCCAGCACTGTGCTTTCTACAGAGAGCCCCAGGTTCAGTCTTTGGCACCTTCAGATAGGACTGAGAGAGACTCTTGCCTGAAACCCCAGAGATCTGTTACTGGTCAGTGTAGACCAGGGGTAGGCAACCTAAGGCCTGGGGGCCAGATGCAGCCCAGTCGCCTTCTCAATCCGGCCCGCGGACGGTCCAGGAATCAGCGTGTTTTTACATGAGTAGAATGTGTGCTTTTATTTGAAATGCATCTCTGGGTTATTTGTGGGGCATAGGAATTCGTTCTCCCCCCCCCCCAAAAAAATATAGTCCATCCCACCACATGGTCTGAGGGACGGTGGGTCAGCCCACAGCTGAAAAAGGTTGCTGACCCCTGGTGTAGACAATACTGAGCTAGATGGGTCAAGAGTCTAACTTAATATATAAGGCAGCTTCCTCTGGTTCCTTATGATATGAGAGCAATAGCCCTCTCCTGCTTGTAATCCCTAGCAACTGATATTCAGAAGCATAATTTATTCCAGTACTGGGGGTAGCAAACAGCCATAATGACTTGTAGCCATTGATAGCCCCATCCTCCACAAATTTCTCTAATCCTCTTTTAAATCTGACCAAATTTATTGCCATCCTCAAATCTCGTAGAAGTGAATTCCATAGTTAAGCTACATACCGTGCAAAGAGATACTCTTTTTTTGGGTCTGTCCTGAATCTACCATAGTTCAGCTTATTTTAGTGCAAAATGTGGCAACAAAATTGGACAGGCATTCTGGGCAAATTGTGTTTTGAAAGCAGGGGTCACAAAAATTATGGGGCAAGTGTATGATCGTGTGTGGACAATCATCTCGCTTTCAGGCCGAGGGAGCTGGCGTTTGTCCAAAAACAGCTTCCCAGGTCATGTGGCCAGCATGACTAAACCATTTCTGGCACAACGGAACACTGTGATGGAAGCCAGAGCGCACGGAAACGGTGTTTACCTTCCTGCCACAGCAGTACCTATTTTTCTACTTGCACTGGTATGCTTTTGAACTGCTAGGTTGGCAGAAGCTTGGACAGAGCAACGGGAGCTCAGGCTGATTTGAACTGCCGATCTTCCGACCAGCAAGCCCAAGAGGCTCAGTGGTTTAGACCACAGCACCACCCACGTCCCTGCTGAGTAACCACAACTTGGACACACACATTTGTGACTCGGAAAGGTAGCTTCCTAGCCTTAGGGTAGGGCAGGATTTCTTTGTAGGCTTGAGCTGTGTGTCGCTCCTTTTAGAAATCAATCACATAGTGAAAGCTTATTATTTTCAATAAATATACTGCTGACTGAGCAAGTGGGTTTACTTTGACCCACTTTCATGCATTTCTCACTTTCCAATAACAACTGAATTTATGTCCCAAAGCTGAGAAAAACTCCGTCCACTGTGGAGAGGAGTGTCTTGTAGAGTAGCAAAGCCCTTCCTTCCGTCCTCTCTCTCCAGTAATCCAGTGGAACTGAATGGCAGTAAATACAGATGAATGGGAACCTTAAATACTTCCACACTACAAAATCCGCACTCATGTGGAACGCATTTCCAGGACATGTATGACCACAATGAATTAAAAACAAAACAGGATTAAACAAAATTATGGAGCGCAACTCTCAGTCTCTAAACTGAGCCTCTGTATTCAGGAAGCAAAATCACAAGGACCGGTTATCTCTTCCCTGGCCTGTTTGTGAGCGTGTTGGGGAGAAGGCACGAACTGTGGGTCTTCTAAACATTCCACGGGGAAAGTCACCATCAGTTTGCCCTGCCGCGTGCCTAGCCGCTCAGTGTGGCTAGACGGCCGGTTGCTTTCCCCATACAGCGCCTTGCACCTTCCTCTGATGCGCTGCAAATGCGACCTAAGCCTCTGCAGCAGTGGCCGGGAGAGCAGGCGACCCTCTTGCCCGGCTGGCCCCGCTCTCCTCCCGCATCTCCCTCTGGGCGGTCCCGCTCTTTCCCCCCCCAGCAGACCCGAGGGCTGGCTGGCGTCCTGCGCACCTTGGGGAGGGGTGGGGGAAGAGAGCGAGCGAGAGGACCCGCGTTATTTGCTGCAGCAGCGGCAAGAGGAAGCAGCGACTCGTCAGCTCCATTTCTCCGGAGCAGCGCGTGGTGGAGACAGCCACTGCGCCGCCAGCTCGCTCCAGAGTCCTCCCGATCCGGGATCGGGGCACGCTTGCCTGAAGCCGCCAGACTAGCCGATCCGGACAGCCCTCGTCCTGCAACGCCTCTGCCGACTGCAGCCTCGCCGCTTGCAGGTAGGCGTCTTCCCCAAGCCCCAGCCGTGCACAGCAATGTTGCTGCGGCTGCAGCCTGTCTGCAGGCGGGATGCTCGGAGACGCGGGGTGAAAAGCGGGTCAGAGGCAGTGGCCCCGGCCACGCGTCTTCTTGCAGACAAAACAAGGGGATGGTGAGTGGGCGCCTCGGGACACCCTCGGGGCAATAAAAAATCACTTCTATCTCGGAGTAAGGAACCTCCCGACGCGCTTCAGCCTTATACTCCCCTTGCAATCCGGGTGAATTAAATTGATTTCACTCCCGCGCCTTTTGTGATTGCAACACGGGGGAGGGGAGAGGGTTAATTGGTGTTTGGGGGTTGTGAGGATAGAAACGGGTGCAGCTTCTTCCGCGGCATTATTCCGGAGTAGAAGGACGGGATATTTCCCCTTAGCCTCAGGAGACGTGAGAGATTTCAGGGAACAGAAAACGAGAAGCTCTTGTTTTTGTTTTTCGCCGTTGCGTACCAGGCGTCTTGTTTTTAACTCTGCCGGGCTCCGGTTCAACTTGTTCGCATTTTGGGTAGCGGGACTGGGGAAAAGATCGCCGTCGCAGAGTCCACGGTTTTCCTTTATGGTCATTGTAGCCAAGGTTAGGAGGGGTGCTCATGGGTGTAATAGTCCTTCAATAGGAAAACACACAGAGAAAGAGATTCGCTAGTATTTGTAACGTGTGAATGCTGTTGTGCAGTAGTTCCATCATTTGGCATATAGAGTACTACTAAAGTAGGATCCAACTATTAATTGTATCTGCAGCTTTTAGTGAATTGATTAGCTTAACTGAGTATACACCTCTTGATCAACCAATTAATTGATTTTAAAAAAACCAAAAACCCATGCTATTGTAAATTGAGGTCTGCACCTTTTTAAGCCTAGGTTTGTATTAGCTTTACCCCTCAAAACTCTCCTCTATTGCTCTTGTGGAAATACACTAGGGTTGGATAAAAGAGGATGCTTCTGCAATTATGTGAACTGAGAAGAGCGGTTCTGGAGGGGTTGGGGCATACCTAAAAATTACGTAACTCTTTGGTGACCTGGCCCCTCCTTCAACACACTGGGTGCCTGCTGTCACTCCGATACCTAGCCACCTGAAGACAGACTCTTGGAGTGTGTTCATTATTTGAACCATTTCGTTGAACAGCATAATCACAAGATACAGATGGACAGGTGTCTCCCTGTTTTTAGTTGCAAAGAATAAGAGTAACAAGGAGAATTCTGCAATCCATATTTGGGCAGGACCTTTATTTGGCCAACCAATGCCAGAAAATAGTGTGCAAACTTTCAAGTTCTGCAGAATTTCTCATCAGGCTAGAAGATGGTAAGCAATGCAAATGAGGGGAAGAGGAAGAAGAAATGGCTGTGGGTGAAGTGTCTTAAGCTAGATGCAAATCCATGGCTTCTTCTCCACCAGTCATTTTTCACTCCCTTCTGTATTTATCATCAAGCCTGATTAGGAGTTCTGGAGAATTCAAGAGTTTGCATACTATTCTGCCATACCTTGGTTGACCTAATAAAGGCATTGCTCTAATATGGATTGTGGAATTTTCTTTGTGGGACATCTTGCTTTCTGTTAGAATCAGCACAATTTCATTTTATTGGATCAACTTCTGATCATGTCAGTAGTGTGCAAGCTTTTTCAAGTAGCATTGAGTTCTTAATTCATTCTGCATATTCACATATTCTTACAAACAGTTGGTTCACTCACAGGGCAAGCCATTATTTGTCTACACAGAAGTATGTCCCTTTGAGTTATTTTCTATGTACCACACACGAATATTTACCAGTACGTATATAGGAATAGAGCTGTGGTTTCCTGATGCATTGATACATACAATTTGAAAGGGTATGTACTGCAGTCACATTTTTGTGACTGAGTATACACATGTGAAGCTGTCTTGAGTGAGAATAAAACATCATACCCTTAAAAAGATACTGGGTTTTATGCTGGGATGAAGGCAGTTGAGAGTCAAGTCTGAAAGCCTGCCCCATAATCCTAAATATTTATGGAATTATTCTGGTTACCCAATATGCAGGAAAGCCAGGGCTGTATTCTGATACTAAAAGTGGGTTCTGGAGTTGAGTCTCAGCTGAAGTTGAGCCCTGTCTTCTCCTTTCCAAAGCTGTGGATAGAACTCACTGAGGTCCAGTTAATTTTGTTTTGTTTTGTAAAAGGCTAGTGGTAATTTGTTCCCAGTACAAATTACCTTTAGACTCATAGGATTGTAGAGTTGGAAGGGACCCTGAGGATCATCTAGACCTAGTGCCGGATTTACGTATAAGCTAAACACTCTCTTGGGGGGCCCCAAAAAATGTAAACAAAAAAACTGGATGTACATTTCCAAAATATAAGATAAATTCAACAATTACTTTGATAAAATACATATTTTGTTATGTGCAAATGGCTTTAGGTCCATAAATTTCCATATAGCATATATTCAACACAAAAACCAGCGACAATTTGTTGTTGACAAAGGACAATTGGACATATAAAGCGCTCCATTACCTTCAGTAGCTTAGGGCCTCATCAAACATAAATCCGGCCCTGTCTAGACCAACCTTCTGCAATGCAGGAATATGCAACTGTCTCATATGGGGATCGAACCTGCAACTCTGGCGTTATCAGCACCACCAACTAAGAGTCTCATGCTATTATTTTTGAGATGTGTGTACTAGGTGATTTTATACATAGCAGTTGCATTCTTCTGCTCTACAGACTAGTACTAATTACGGCAGGGAGGGAAGGACAGGAAGCTACTTTCTTTGGGGCCTGTCCCTAATCTGCTAGGATTGAGGCCACCAGTATTTTCCAGGCAGCTAGCCAGAGAATCACAAGGATAAAACAGAGTGAGGCCATCTGAAAGTCACCATTCAATGTCAGTCAATTAACACCGGATGAGACCTTTATGCTGAAGGATTCACTAAGTGTTCAGGAGTCTAACACAAAATTGGGCTGGGGTTTCTAGAACAGAGCTTAAGAAAGGCAGAGGCTTTGGGCCAATGGACACAATGTTGACATAGACCTGAAATAACTACCTTCAGATCGATGACCTGCTAAACAAAATAAATATTGCACATTATAGGTGTTGTTAATTTATATTTTACAGAGCGAGGCTCATCGGGCAGGCTCTGAGCAGGGAGATGAATGGACACTATAAATACAATCTGCAAGAAATGAGCAAAGCTCTCTTTGAAGCTACCAAGTTCATCTGAGATGGTTCCACACTAATGCATTTTCTCTGAAATTGACATCACTTATTTTCATAGTTATCACACAGAATCCAGATGACGTTGCTGCCAGACTGTTGTGTTCCAGGCCTTCTCCCATCTTCTTTGTGTTATTGCCCCCCCCCAGGTGCACCCCACTCCTAACAAATTCCAATGCAATTTCAGCTCCCGACTTTCAAATGTGAACTTGCAAGATATTACGGTGTAAGATATTATGGATGAACCTTGTGGAAGCAGCAGTCAGTGATGAGACAGCTGGTGAAACCTTCCTATGTTACTTGCCTTGCATACCCAGCAGAACCACCACCATTACTAGTCTTGCCCCCACAGAGCACTTTTGCAAAAGTTAACATTCCACAGTTATCTGCTTGGGAAAGAGAATAGATAATGTGATTTGTCCTCCTCCCACACTCCTCTCCCATCCCTGCCAAACAGCTTATCAGTGGTGTTTTTTGCTTAAACAGAGATATTAATCTGCCACCATTTCATATTTTGCAATACAATTTCTTCTTCCCATTCCTTTTCCACAGCTTGCATTTGAGTTTTTCTTCATTTTTTAAAAAGCGTCTTTTTTTGTGGTAAAGTGCCAGTGCACTAATAAAACTTAAAACACGTTATTGAGAAAATGTTCACACTTGCTTGTTCAATTTTTGCTTGATTTTTCCAATGGTTGGTGCAGTAACACGCTGCCCACTTTTGCCTTTGTTATGGGAATGGGCTTTGCAGGATGAGGGGTGATATGGCGTTTGATTATGAGTGCTGTGTGGAACCCTGAGGTGGATCTGCTTCCAGCTGATCCAAAATGCTTCATTAACACTAAAGAACCTTTGTAGTGTAGCACTAAGGAGTATACGTAGCTTCTTTTATTTTGCCACCGCAAAATAACATTAACTCGGTTCCAATGAGTTCCGGCTGAAATCTGAGTGAAATGTTTTCTTATTAGAACTACAGATGAACCTTTCCAGATGAACAAGATTTTAAATTCTGCTTGATTGGCACTTTGTGGGGTTTTTTAGGGCAGGGATGGGGTATGTGTTACCCTCTAGATAATGTTGGACTCTAATTCCGATCAGTTCCAGCCAGCATGGCCAACAGTCAGGGATGATGGGAGTTGTAGTCCAACATTATCCGGAGGGCGATCCCTGCCTTAGGGGCTTGAAGGAATATGTGCAGAGTTTAATGCAACACTGTTTTGACTAGTTTTTTCTGGGAATATGACCTTTGCATGTCAGGAATTCTCCCCCTTAAAAAAGAAAATGGAAAAATTGCATACGTGCTCCCCACATTTGGACACAGGTGAGACTACACTGATGGAGCCACTCTGTTGGGGAAAATGTTGACTGTGTGAACTGGGGCAATGGTTTATCTGATCTGCAAGCAAGGAGAAGAGAATACACCCTGAAGCCTCCAGCTATTTGGACAGGCCTGTAAGGATAACATAAAACGGGAACATTGATTCACTTGACCGTTTTGTGCAGAAGAAGATACAAAAAAGACACTTACCTGGAGAGTGGAGTTCTGTGTTCATTTTGTTTACTTATTAATATTCCTTATTATTTGTTTTGCATTACTGTGAGTTTTTGAAACTAACTAGATAACTAACTAAATATAAACATTTTAAAAACCAAAAATGTTAAGTAAAACTGCAGAGCAAAGCAAAATCATATGAGTTTGAAGAATATTGGGTGATAACTAAGATTTGATATTGGATTCGGCTTACAAGCCTGAGAGAATAAAGTGAATTTAGTCCTAGAGACCATGTTACATAACGACTGGGCCATTTCTCTTTACCCTTCTATATAAATGTAATTTCCCCACCCCTCAGAAACCTGCAACATGCATGAGGGAAGACTTTACCTGTCCCAGACTAGAGGCATTAAGGAGCATAGCTCCATTGATTGGTCCCAAATTGATTTTGAGAGGAAGGTCTGCTGTCAAATTTCACTTGGCTACCTGCCTCCCAGGACCCAAGGTGACTCCCTCCTCTAGGGACCAGATGATTTAGTCCTGCATCTTGCTTCATATTGTTGCAAATGAGGCCGCATCACTGAAATTAGACACAGCAAAGGAAAAGGAGGGGTGTCACCTTGCCCTGAAAGTACTTTCTGTGGTGAGATTTTGCCCTCTATTACATTTTGCTCAAAGGCACAGCAGTGAAGGCAGCCGTGTGCCTGGATCGAACGCATTTCACTCTCCAGCATTTCCTTCCCTAATAGAAATGCAATATCTTCCCTTGCATTGCCAGGATTCTTTGCACCCGCAATAAAAAATAAGGTCCTCCATTCTTATTGTTTAGAGGGGATTAAACCCCCCTCTTAGTGGCTACAATGCTGGGACTGTAGGAAGCACAAGAGAGATTTGAGGGAGGGGTCTGGAAGGTTTGTTTTTGAAGCCAAATCTGAAGGACAACAACAACAACAACTTTTTATTTATACCCCGCACATCTGGCTGGGTTGCCCCAGCAACTCTGGCCAGCTTACTAAATACACACCCACCCACCCACCCCAGACTATGCAGGGAGTTAGAAGCCAGGACTGATGTGCTCATTCTACCAACCATTAAAGCATCTTCCTTTCAATCCCTTCACTTTTTCTTAGTCTGTAATACAGCCTTCCCCCAACCTGGTAACCTCCAGATGTTTTTTTGGACTCCAACTCCCATAATCCCCAGCCAGCACGGTCAATGGACAGAGATGATGGGGATTGTCGTCCAACATCAACTGGAGGACACCAGATGGGGTAAAGCTGGACTACCCTATAAAGCAATCTGACCTAGCTTCTATAAGCTTCTATAAGCTTCCATACACTTATCTACCCACCTACCCTTTGTCTAGATTACTGTACCAGTTCCAGGCAGCCAGCCAAGCTGGTTCCACAGTGGTGATGTAGGGTAGCCAGGCCTCACTGATGCTCACAATTAGTGCCAAGCTTATTGAGTTACCCTAGTTCTTTCCAACCTTCTCTCTCTCTCTCTCTGCTGAGCTGCTAATGACCTTTTTGTTCTTGCTGGTGTAGGAGCATTCAAGCTTCTGAGCTGCACAGGATCCTTCATGGGAATGGAAAGGTCCAGTGCATTCTGGAGGAGGTGGAATAGCCAAAGTGCAAGAGATGTCATGTGAAAAGCTAGGGTTGCCCACTCCCATTCTGAAGAAAAAAGCAACTGTGGAGTCCTGATCTGGAATGTGCTCTCTGATCCAGATTGGGGCCTCCTGACACTTTTCTGCTGAAAATGAGTCAAGAGGGCTTGGTTTTCTGTGCATGTGCATGCACACACACATACACACAGAGGGACCTTATCCTGATTGGAATAATATCCTGGATCAGGGCCCCAAGGCTGCTTTTTCTCCAAGCTAACAGTATATTCACATTAGCAGCTTAAAATGCAGAAAGGTAACCTTCTGCTAAATTTCCCAGCTGCATTTACACAGTTCTGCTCTCCTCCAAAAGGGGATGGAGATGTCTTAACCCAGCACGCATGGCCTTGATGGTTTCCCTGCCCCTGCAACTCCCCAGGAAACTCCAACTCGTGAAATTCAACTGCACATTTGTGATGGCTGTTAGGGTATATTCTCATTACCGTTTACCATTTCCTACTTGGATTAAAGTTTGTTTGAGGAAAACGTATCAAACGGCAGTGTTGGTGAAGCAACTACAGGATCGATATGGATTGTGGCTATTGTCATGTGAAAACAGCTTCGGGAAACTAGGGGCAGGAGTCAGTGGTAATGTGAACATACCCTCAAAGTGGCCAGTTTAAGCTTGTTTAAACACATGACATTCCTGTGAGGCTTGGTTCTTAAATATGGGCTTGGTGTGCAGCAATTAAATATGGAGATTTGTCATCTACTAATTGCTGCAGACTGAGCCACTGAGAAAGGCTGGCTGAGAACTTTTGACACCCTTATAATACAAATCTTACCTGTCTGCAGGTGCATTCTAACTCCCCCCCGCCCCGGTACTCTTCTTGGTTATAAATAGGAAGATTGGTATACAGATTTGCAAATTGTTACATGATTGATATGGATCAATCAATTCCTGTTTCATGTGGAGGGGGGAGGTTTCAGCCGGAACTCGCCAGAACTCAGTTCCAGCACCTCTCAGGTGGGCACCATTGCATTATAAGAGAACAAAGGAGGCGTTCATGGTGAGTTCCCACACCTCTTTTTCTAGAAAAATAGCACCGGTTTCATGAATGAAGCCCTAAGTTTAATCAGGGAGCGTAGGAGCTGCTTGTGTTTCTCAGGCTAGAGTTGACCCTAAACTGAGGTGTTGGAAGAGTTGCCTGCAGCTGGCTTGCCTTGAATTACCTGTGGTGATGGGGAGATAAGAGCAGTTGCTGGACATTTTCCCCTCACTCGAGTCAAACAATGAACAAAGGGAAGGGTCCAACTCTACAGTGGATTATCAAAGCAGACAGGTGGGGGAATAAGGACATTGTTGGAGTGGAACAGAGATGAAAGCATGCTATGCATAGGAACACACCGTGGAGAGGGGAGCTAGGACTAGGTGGGAGTCCATTTTGTGTAATCTAACTGGCATGCTTCAAGGCGGCAGTGAAGCTATGCAATCCAAACTGATTTAGTAATCCTTTCCCTTTCTCTTTTTTCAGGTAGTCAAAATGAGCAGCGGTGGTGGCACTGTCTGGATAATGGGTATAGCTTGGGCACTGGTCGTGTCATGGACCAGTGCTACAGGCATGGAGGTTCGCTGCTTGCCTGGAGGAAAACACAAAGCCAGCCCAAGCCCAGAAGGACAGCTTGGCATTTGCCAGATCTATGCAGAAAGTGAGTATTGGTTAAGGGCACGAAGGCAGCAGGAGGGAGAAGCTACAAGGCTTGAAGAGCTTTGGGCAAGCAGGAAGTGGAGCTCTGAAGCCAAGGTTCCTCTCAGCATTTCCCCACAGGTTTGAGGAGAGATGAGCAAACCTCCTTATGGTGGTTGATGAAATAAATGAGATGATCAGATGCAAAGTAGACCTGTACCTTTAACAAGAGTTGGCATAGAAGAGTTGTCTAGAAGCTGGTAATACTTATCTCTGCCCTATATTCTGGGCACTAACCTGTAGGCCTCCAGATGTTATTGGACTCCAGCTCCCATCAGCCTCTGCCAGTATGGCCAATGGTCAGGGAAGGTGGGAGATGAAGTCCAGCAGCGTCTAGAGGGCCTGGGCTTCCCCACACCTGACACAGTGTCATCACTTCCTCTAATAGTGAATGAGCGGTCTAGTTAGCCTTGCCCCTAGCCCTATACTAATAGCTGCATCTAAACATGTACTGGGAAAGTTTGACCCATTGATTCAGTGGCATTTTATTCCACATGGGATTGTTTTATTTTTCTTTTAAAAAACACACAATCTCAGACAAGGGAAATTGAGTTAACCTTTATATTGTCCTATAAAGGGTGGTCTTGCTTTAATTTAGTATAGGAATTTACCAGCTTGATATTTTGTCTTGTACTAATAAGGTCATATTTTGCATAATACAGTGCTGTCAATCAATCACAAAAATACACGAAGAAAGCTGAAATAGCAGCCCCCAGCTAACTATGTTCAAGGAAATCAATGTTGTATGATTATTTTACTATATAACAAAAATGTCTATGCAAACACATTTGATATGGACCATCAATTTTTTACCTCAAAAATCTTGGGAATACTGCTACCAGGCAGAACTTACACATGACTCTGCTGAACAAAAGAGCCAAATGATGGCCCTTCAACTTCATGTTCCTCAAATCTTTCACTTCAGAGTCCAGGACCTGGACTTTCTCTTGGTTCAGGACCGTATCTGAGGAGGGCAATGCTCCAGACAAACAGATCAAAAGATTCACTTTTTTAAAGTTAACAGATCTTTCTTGTACATTTTCAGCCTCGGTTGTTTTTCAAGAAAAGAGGAAGGCTAGTGAGAATAATATGTACTGTATTTCATTTTGAGGCTGCAATGATCTCATAGCCCTGGCTGATCAAAATTTAACGTGTGTGAGTAGCATGCACTGCTATGCACAGGGTGCAAAGGAACTCAGCAGAGGCAACCCCTGGTGCCTGGGGGAAACTTTGGAGGGTTGTACACAGAGGCCACAGAGACTGTAGGGAGCGGGTGGGGAATGGGACATGGGTATAGGAGTATAGGGTTCTTATCATGCCCAGAATACCTGCTAGGGAATTTATGTATGCATTGGCTCATCACATGGTAACTGGTGGCAATTTGCATACTTCCAGCTTGTTAGGCAATACCTGCAGCTGTTGCAATCAGACTGCAACATGCAGGGTTGCCGGAATGACAACTGGTTCATCTCAGCACAAAGGAAAGGGGCTGCTGACAGAAGGATTCTTTTCCCACAGATGCCTGTTGCTCGCCGGAGGTCACCCAGGACCTTTCCAAAGCCAATGACATCTACTGGAACCGCTGTGGGAGCCTTAGCAGCAGGTCAGACAGAGAGGCAGCCATGCCTACTCCAGTCGTGTGTGTGTGTGTGTGTGTGTGTGTGTGTGTGTGTGTTTCCTTTCCTACAAGCTGGGCCTACCAAGAGGTGGGAGTTCCTGCTAAAACTAGTCTTGGAAGTTACCAGACAACTGGGATGGGGAAGACCTGCTCCTTGGCATGACCTTTCTTCACATTTTTTTAATTAAATCCCTCCCCTGTGGGTAGCCCTTTGCCTGCCATTTTAGGCCTGCTCTGCCATCTTTATGCCCTAGTGCTTCTTTCTCCTATGCAGGTGTGAGGGCTATCTACAGCAGCTGGAATGTTTTTACCGTTGCTCCCCCATCGCTGCCCAGTGGCCTCATCCTCAGCGTCCCACAGCTGTGCTGGCTGTGCCCCTCTGCCAGAGTTTCTGTGACCAATGGTGAGTGAAGTCTCCTTGTCCCAACTGGGGAAGGAGGGGACCCTGTAGGAGATGAAGAAACAGGGAAAGAGCATCGTCTCCTGGAGATAGCAGAAGAGGAGAAAGTCATCACATTGCTGGTGTCCTGTTTAAATGAAATGCCCTGCCATTTTAAGACAGACAAGCAGTGAAAGGCATACCGGGTTGTTGTTGTTTTGCACTCAAAAGGCCCTTTATAAGTCATTTCCCCAAAGAAATTCAACAAGCTCGGGGACACTGTATCTATGACACCTGCATCTCGCTTTTGGCACACCCAGTTCAATTTTGGAATAAATCAGCTGGATGTGGGGAAGCTGAGTCAAGTGCAGGAGCTAACCTGGATATTGAGGGAAATCCACAAGCTTTTTAAAGGGTATCTCCACCCAACACAAACATACTTCCATTTCTTGGGCCTCAGGCAGTGGACTGGTGGAAATAAATGTATGTAATTCTATTGGCAAAAAATGTTGAATTGGGTAACGGTGGGGAAAAGGAGGAAGTGCTTAGTGAGTATTGACCCTCCATTGGAACTGAAAAAGATAGAGAAACTTGGGTTCATATCTCCATAAAACTTAGACATGAAACTAACAGAGTGACTTTGAGCTGGGGATTGTTATTCAGCCTAATATACCTCACAGCGTTGTCTGTCGTAAGGATCAAAATGGTGTGTGGACTTTGTGCACCAACTTGAGCTCCTTGGAGGTCTGATATAACAAAAATAAAAGGTCTGGTCTGATATAATAAAAATGGTCTGATATAATAACAATTAAAGTTCAACTGCTTTCCTAATTGCCACACCTTCTTATCACCTCAGGTATGATGCTTGCAAGGAAGACCTGACGTGTGCTCGCAACTGGCTCACTGACTGGCATTGGGGCCCTGAGGGAAACAACTGCAGCCAGGACTGCCTGTCGTATGGCCAGGTGAGGACACTAAAAGCCCCCAGATGGATGCAGCCCTCAGCCCCAGAAATCACATGAGTCATGAAGAGATGCCTGTACTGAGTCATGTTTGGGAAAAGCAGTTATTGGAGGAGAAAGAGGAATTACACCATTCCTAGGAGGCCTCAGCTTTAGCACAAACCAAGCCAAGTCTTTCAGCATTCCTGAAATCACATAAATTACGTGAAAGGGCTTTGTCAACAACTTAAGGTCTTTATTTCAACTTGTGATGCCTTTTTAGAATAAGGTTCCCACTCTTCAAGGGGGAAAAGCTTAAAAGTGAATGTGCCTCCAACTTTAGGTGGAAGTTGCTGGGGTTTGTATTCTTCTCTTAAAACAAATAGACCTAGCTTATGTGACTACTCACTCCTGGTTCATCTTTTCAAGGACCACTGTTCCACAGAGGGATGGTAATCTGAATTGATGTTAGGCTGGGACATTTTCAGAACTATTGTAGGAGCCATGTGTAAAAATGCTGACATAATATGCTCTTTGGCATTTTTTAAAACTGTTGTGCCACCAGCATTCTCTGTCAGAAACTGCAAGTCAAAGACAAAGAAAATGCCTGAAGTGATCAGTGGTTTTAATATTTCTTTGTAGCTGCCTCTGTATTGCCAGTTACACAATGAGGAATTGTTTCCCACAAGCTTAGCTGAATAGGCAAGGGGTTTCCTCCCGTCTCTTAAAACCAGGTGACAGACATCAAGAGAGCACAGTGCTTCCCAAATACCCAATTTTATCTCTCATCATGAGGACTAAAAGCCTAATTGTTGGAGGAGGGAATTGTTTGTACTCTCAATGTTAGCAAGAGGCCAGAGACTTCAAATGTCTTAAGGTCAATCCGATAGTAAATGCTCCAACATTTCCAAGGTTTAACAAAACAGAAACATCTCCAAGGTTTTCCTTGGATGTACAGGGCACCCAAGGGGCGATCTTGGTCAATGAAGCCTCTTCTGTGTCTTGCTTTAAAAAACCACACACACACACACAAAATCCCAGCTGCAGTTCAAAAGGCAGGTGCTACATTACCCCGAAGGTTGGCAGAAATTGAAACCCCTCATATTATCTAACTCTACATGACATGCTTCAGCCTTTCCACTGGAGGTGAAGCTAATTCCTGCTGACTGCTGGTCGGCTTGCACTGAGACAGTCATTTGAACCTTCGGGCAGCTAGCAGAGTTTGTGTCCAGTGACAGGCAGGCAGGCAGGCAGGCAGGCAGAGAGCAACAGCTTGGCAGGATGCCTGTCAGAAGAAATGGGCAGTATATGACTGACAGTGTAATAACGTCAGCACCATACAGCTCGTCCCTTCTTCCCCTGCAGTGTTTGCCCAACAAAGAGGACAGACAGGATTGCTAGCAATGTGTGGTGGCTGCTGCCCTTTTGAATTGGTGGAGCTGTCATTTGCAACCCACTCTCTCCCCAAACTGAGGTTTTTTTACTGTATTTTAGAAAGCAAGATAGTGCATCTAATTGTTATGTACTGAGTTGAATAGGATCCAAAATGCAGCAGTCTGATTGGTCCTAGAAAAATAGGATTCAGAATGCAGCAGTCTGATTGGTCCTAGAACAATAGGATCCAGAATGCAGCAGTCTGATTGGTCCACAGGAGCCACCCAATCCAACTCCGGGTGGAAGTGAATCCGCAATCTGATTGGCCTACAGGAGAATCCCAGAATTAGCCAATCACATGGGACCCATTGTGTAAATAATGTATATAAAGCAGACATTTTGGGGAAACTTCCATTCCTCACTACTCTGAGCTGAATAAAGAGCATGAAATCCACACTCGACTCCGAGTATATTTCACTAATCATGCGCAGAACACAATGGTATCCCCACAGAAAAATATCAACTATTATCTCAAAGCATCAAAGGATAGGGGGAATGGTGTGCAAGGCCCTGAGCATGCTATCCTGACGAAGTTCTTGTTTAGAAATCAAGCCACATCAAATGGCATAAGCAAGCAGCAGGCCCAGTTAGTCTGCCTTTCTGCCATGTGGTAGCTATTGTGTTGGTCTTTTGGGATAGGCAGGAGCTAACCAGCAGCCGGGATTCTATGAAGCAAGCCCCTCTCACCCCATGCGGGAGGGACTGTGCTGGTGACAGCTCAAGTCATCAAGATACTCACTCTGCTGCAGGCCCCGCAAAATGTTGTCTGTCTTCGGCTTCCTCCAGCCCCAGCCAGCATGGCCAATGGTCAGGGTTCATGGGCGCTGGAAGTTCCAACAACAGTCTCTCACCCCCTTTGGGTATCTTGAGTCTGCTGAGTGACAGATTAGTTTGGAAAACTAAAGCAAAACAAGGTAATGCATTTGTCTTTCATATTGTGCTGCTCCTTCTTCTCTTCCCACCCACCCCCTTGCCCAGTGGCGGACCTACATTTGGGGGGCCACTGTCGCCCCCCCCCTTTACAACCAGCAATGAGGTCTGGGTAACCAGTATTCTGTTTTTCAATGGGGTTGTTCCACAACAGATCGCCACACCTTTATGTCGTCTTTGTGGGATGGTTGAAATATAGGCAACAAAAAACTAATCAATTTGAGTCATGTGACTCAAATTGGGTCTACTAGACCCAAAATGTTTAAGCAATGTGGACTGAAGTTGCTTCTGGGGTCCCTCTGGGATGAAGGGCCCTTAAGCTTCATTGGTTTCCTAGTAGATCTGCCCCTGCCCTCACCCCAGATTGGTTTGTTTGGATGATACTCTACCCTTCTGCTCATAAAGACACAGCCACCCCTGCTGAAAGTCTGTTGACATCCCTCTGCCTCGGCCCAGTATACCTGAAGGAGCGTCTCCATCTCCATCATCCGGCCCGGAAACTGAGGTCCAGCTCCAAGGGCTTTATGGCGGTTCCCTCACTGCGAGAAGTGAAGCTACAGCGAACCAGACAGAGGGCCTTCTCGGTAGTGGCGCCCGCCCTGTGAAACACCCTCCCTTCAGATGTCAAGGAAATACAGTGGTACCTCAGGTTACAAATGCTTTGGGTTACAAACTCCGCTAACCTGGAAGTAGTTACCTCGGGTTACGAACTTTGCCCCAGGATGAGAACGGAAATCGCGTGCCAGCGGCATGGCGGCAGCAGGAGGCCCCGTTAGCGAAAGTGCACCTCAGGTTAAGAATGGTTTCGGGTTAAGAATGGACCTCTGGAATGAATTAAGTTCATAACCCGAGGTACCACTGTACAGTAAACAACTATCTGACTTTTAGAAGACATCTGAAGGCAGCCCTGTTTAGGGAAGTTTTTAATGTTTGATGTTGTTGCTTTTTTATTATTGTTATTGGTGTTCTGTTGAGAGCTGCCCAGAGTGGCTGGGGAAACCCAGCCAGATGGGCAGGGTATAAATAATAAGTTATTACTATTATGATGATGATGATGGAGTGTTGTTCAAGCCTTAACTTCTGCACTGAGGCTTCTCAGAACAGGAGCGCTTCACATTCACAGCTCCCCACCTCTCTCTTCCCCTCAGATGTACAAGGATGGCAAAGAGCTCTGCGAAACCATCTGGGATGATTCCTTCGTAGCCAGCACTGATCCTTGCGAGTGCCTGACGCTGACGACCTCCGACTCGGCCCTCTCTGCCTCTTATTTGCGTCTTGAAGACAGCGACAGCATCGAGGAGCCAGACACCACCAAGGAAGGCATTGAAAGAGGCCGCACCAGCCCTGGAGGGCCCTGCCCAGGCAACCCCCTGCTCCGTCGCCTGCGGAGAAACATGCAGAAGCGCTCGGTCTTCATGGAAGATGTGGAGGGTAGTGGGAGCGGGTTCTGATTGGAGACAGCCAGCCTCCCAGGGGAAAATAACCCCCTCCCCTGTGATTTTCTGAGGCTTGGGGGGATCGCTTGTGATCTATGCAAATCCTTCATGTCCCGTGTCACCAGCTTCTTGCCATCCTGTATAGCTCTGTGCAACCTGGGTGTAGCCGTGGCAGAGGAAGCAGGTGTGGCAATTTAGCCGAGCACTCTCATTCCCCATGCCCTAGAAGCAGAGTTTACCCCACCAGAGCACCACCTTCTACTCCCGGTATGCCTGTCTGTGGCTGCTGCATCCCCTACACACGTCTTGTACATCGAATCATAGAATTGTAGTGCTGGAAGGGACCACGAGGGTCATCTAGTCCAACCCCCTGCAATGCAGGAATCATTTTGCCCAGTGTGGGGCTTGAACCCACAACCATCTAGAACAGCAGGGTTGGAGAGCAGTCAGTGGTGGTTTCTTCACTCTCAACACCCTGCCTTCCCTCCCAATGACTAAAACACCCATTCCCACCCACCCCCAGTGGTCCTCAAATCTGTCTCCTCTAGCACTATGGGGGAGGGAGCGATGTCTGTCTTTCAAAGGCCCTGGCCTGAGAGAGTGAGAGGTTGCATAGACTAAGAATAAATAAGTTAATGAGATCATTCTGGACTGACTATTAACCCCAGCTACTAATAATAAGGCTTTAGGTATGTTTGCCTGTAGAACTGAGCCAAAATGAAATAGCCTTCGCTGTTTGCGCTTGACACAGGCAGCAGAAAAAATCACTGCCTAGGAAGTAGGATCTGAGAGTTAAAAGGCTGGCTACAGTTCTGTAGCAAGGAAACTGCAGATCTTTGTAAACCAGTAGCTGCTGCAGTATTAAAATGGCCAGTGCTTCATAGTTAGCTTAAATTTGTATATAACCAAACACAGAAGGGGGAGGAGAAAGAGATTGTGCCACTGATGTGGCTAGATTTAGATTGGGTATCATTGTAATAATTCAATGTGTGTATCATGGAGAAGTTTAAAACATCCATTTTAAAAAATATACAGAGCCTCCAGTCTGAACTGGTCAGTGCCATGTACTAGTTTCTCCTAGGCAGAAAAGTAGTTTGTGAACCAAAAAAAGAAAACAGCATCTCATCTTGAGTGGGTGAGTGGACAGAATAGTAAGATCCCTGGAGTTAGAATCATAGAATTCAGTGCAGGAGTCCAGCCCTCAGCCGTCCCTGGGGGGGCTCAAACCACCAACCTCCTGGTTAACAGCCGGTTCTTACCCATGTCCTCCGTATCTTATACAGCACTCCTTGAATTTCACCACATCAAGCCCTGTATTACCATGTGCAAACTTCCTTTATAATATTGTCCACCTTCTGTCCAAAACAGATCTCGTGTCACAAACATGCTCTGCTTTATCAGCTGCCCTGTCATGCTCTTGCTTGTTCACCCCTGTCCATGTTTGTTGCAAACTGCACACTATGTATTGGTTCAAACCTATTACTTGTGGAGAAAATAAACAACAAAAACGACTTGCATGGGTCGGTATTTGTGGAAAGAATCTGTGGGGGAGGACCCCCAGTAGGTATCTCTGCAAAGAACAGACCCTTTCTTAGCTTTCAACACATCAGGCTGAATGGCAAAATGAACTTGGACGAAAAGGGAGAGAGCCCACTTAGACAGAAATTTTCTGTTAATGGCTCAAGCTGCCTGATTTACTTGTTTGGTTTGTGTTTAGAGTATTGTGTATATGGTGTTATGGGTGTTAGTTGCCAAATCACAAGACAATACAGTGGTACCTCAGGTTACATATGCTTCAGGTTACAGACTCCGCTAACCCAGAAATAGTGCTTCAGGTTAAGAACTTTGCTTCAGGATAAGAACAGAAATCGGGCTCCGGCGGCACGGCAGCAGCAGCAGGAGGCCCCATTAGCTAAAGTGGTGCTTCAGGTTAAGAACAGTTTCAGGTTAAGTACGGACCTCCGGAACGAATTAAGTACTTAACCTGAGGTACCACTGTACTTGTGATCAGTGAGAACCGCTGGCTTGCTTTCTCCAAAACAAGAGATCTCTTTAGGCACTGTTGCATTTGAACCCTTCCTTGGTTCAGGATTTTATTATGAAAGTACTCATTAGCCTTACTGAGTGCTGCTTACCAAACAACCATCTAACACTGTTAAACAGTGCTGAAGCAAAAGTGACCTGGCCCAAAGGATAGGTGTGGTGGGGAGTCTGTTAGATGAGGATAGTATAATGGGAAAGCAGGTAAGGTAACGCTGAGCTGGAGAGGTAATTGGTAATTGGCATTTCTTGAGGAAGCTCTTGAAGGAAAAGGAAATTGGCTTGATAGAGTGGAGAGGCTCTTCTTAAGAGAGCAAGCTACATTAGGCAGGAAGATGGGAGAGAGATGGGTGGATGGAGTTGGAGCTGGCTATAAAGCAGCATGAGGAAATGAGAAGGGGCATGAGAGCCAGAGGAGGGGCACAGCTGAGAGAAAGAGAGAGCTAACTTTGTTAAAAGCATTTGCTAAAAGAAGTAAGACTCTTCTCCACAGAGGCTGCTTCATCCCTCTGTCAAGCAACAGCAACTGCAAAGTTTTACATTTATTATTATCCCTTTGATTATTCCAAATGTCTCACACGTATTCTCTCAGTAATCTTTGCATCAATGCAGAAAGTAGGTAAATATAATTCCCACAGTACAGTGGTACCTCGGTTTAAGTACTTAATTCGTTCCGGAGGTCCGTTCTTAACCTGAAACTGTTCTTAACCTGAAGCACCACTTTAGCTAATGGGGCCTCCTGCTGCCGCTGCGCCACTGGAGCACAATTTCTGTTCTCATCCTGAAGCAAAGTTCTTAACCTGAAGCACTATTTCTGGGTTAGCAGAGTCTGTAACCTGAAGCGTATGTAACCCGAGGTACCACTGTATAGATAAAGGACTGGCTAAGAGGCCAACTGAAAAGTTAATGACTGAAGAGAGATTTCAGTCAGGGATTTTCCAGGACCCCCACTCTCTCAGCCACTACATTTGCACACTAGATTGCTATTTAACCATCTAGTCCTGCCCTAAAGGTGAAGAAATTCTCCCACCCCCATTTCTTCCCGACACATGAGAAACACTTGCAGCTAGAGGTGGAACACTGAGGGCACTGGTCAGAATGGACTGAAGTGAATGGAGACAATAGAAAATCCTGATGTGAGGATGCATTACTGACAGCACTTTAATGAAAGCTCCAGACCAGTCTGAAATGTGCAGACACACATGCGGACAGGACTAGAGCCCATTCCATGGCAACAGCACAGAACTGCTTCCCTGCCTGGCTTGATTTCTCCAGCTACTGAAATTCACTAGGATTGCCACACTGGAGTAGATAAGTTCTCTGGCTCAGCCAGGAGCTCAGGTTGGTGTGGGGGAGATTTTGCCTGGCTCTGTGTGGCCCCATTCATTACTCAAGCTGCCAACTCACTAAAAAAAAGTAACCCTTCAGTTGCAGATACTATCCCTTTTTGGCCTGCTTTTTTAATTAATTTAATTTTATTTTTTTGGGTTGGCCTAGGGTGTGGTTATTCATTTGTGGCTGGCTGTGGTGGTCTTTGTTTTCATGTGTGACTGGGGTGGGTGGGTGTTTTGGATCAGGTTAGCCTGATTGATTTCCTGTTGGTGGTTTTTGTCATTGTCTTGTTGGGCTGTGTAAGTGATAAAGGGGAGCCATACCGGGGCAAAGGTGTCTTCTTCTATTTGTCCCCGTGTCAGTTTCAGTTTATTGGTTAATTTTTCTAGTAGGGCTGTTTCCCATACTATTAGGTACCATTGGTCCATGCTTACTCCTGACAGGTCTCTCCAGTGTCTGGCTATGATGCTTTTGGCCTGCTTTTATGATGCCCCATCGGTCAATTCACACACCACAGAATTGTTGGTTGTTGTTGTTTTAAATTTATTAGCAAAAAAAGGGGGGGGATATAAAAAGGCTTCCAAAAAGAGAGGGATTTGATCAGACCCTTTCTCTTGACAGATCCTGCGCCTGCTTCTGCTCCAATGTTCTCTTTGCAGCTGGGACTCAAAAGGATTTACAACCTCCGACTAAAAAACAAGCTTGACAAAATTAGAAAAGTTTCTTGTGTAGATAAAGCAAGATAATCCCACCAAGAAGGGAATAACCTGCTGCCCCCTACAGGCTGGTCACGGTCTTAAGCTTTCGTTCATGAAAGAAACGGTGGGGAGGGCGCTTGCTGGAAGTTTCCTTCCTGGCAAAGTAGCTCAGCAAGGACTGAGCGTTTTTCTGGGCTGCGTCGTCTTCCGTGTCATCCCTGTAGAGAGGAAGGCAAAAGATAAGGGGAAATGAGGAATCTGGGTACAGCATTGTTCCTCCGCTGGCAAGCTATGCTCGACTTCTACTTCTCCTTGAGAGTTGCGCCCACTTATCTTGGATTCAGACTTCTTCTACCTGCTACAACCACTGACCTTCGCTGCCTTCCAAGAGCCGAGATAGAAAACAGGTGGCCTGGCAGGCAGCCCTTCTTCCCTCAACAGAGACAGTACCGGATTCCTGCCCCATCTATCCAGGGGAAAGTTAACTGGCTGCCTCTCAAGCTCCTCCTGCGGCATTTGGCATAACTGCCAAGGTCAGCCTGAGATGGGAGGCAGCGGAGAATCAGCCAACTCCCTAGACTCAAGCGGAGGAGCTGCTCCCTGGATTGAGCTGGGTTCCAGAAAGCTGTGGATATCAGGGAAGGCAGTCACAAGCATCTTTGGGCATCAGCAATTCAGCAACTCTGTGCAGTACTCTGCACGGCCCACATAAGCACAGAGCAAGGCACAGGGGAGTTAGCAGAGCAAGCCAGCCACAAAAGGGGGGACCCTCCTTACTCACAGCTGATAAATGAATTTAAGGGAAAGGGTCCCATAAACACTCAGCAGGCCCATTCAGCTCCAACGATTGCCCTCCCCAGTGCCACTATTTAAAAAGCATCCTGAACTGCCAATCCACTATCTTCCTATATAATATTTGTGTAGGGAAGTCATCATGCTGCATCGCATGTGCAGAACCATCAGAAGGAATCTCTCACATGCCTTTATCAGCAGCAGCTGTTTCCTCCTATGCTCCACAGTTTCCTCAATCTCCCTTCTGAAGGTACATCTACCATCCAAGATCCATCCAACAGTTCTTCCTTCCCCACTTACCAGCAAACGGGCACAGCTTTGCTCTCCAAGATGACCTGAGCTGTACTCCAGCTGAACCGTACAAACTGTGGGTAGCCAAAGACAGGGTCCAGATTTTGGGTGAGCCACTCTTTAGTCTTGGGATCTGGGCCGGGGAAGGGGTAGAGAGATTAGAGGATGGATGGCCAAGTATCCTGGCATATTAGTGCTCAGTATTATCCCTACTTCTAAGACTGAGCCGTAGCCTGGAGAACAGTGGATGGGAAACATGACACAATAGGGGTTTGCAAACCTTCTAAGTACTGTCTCCACCCACTCTGCTGCTTTCTTGGTGCATAATATCTTAGAGATCATTTTGCACATATACACACACAGACACTCCCCTTTCATTTCAACTTAATGCAAGGACATGGCATTCTGTCCTAGAGGTCAACCCAAGCACAAAAGCCAATAAGGTCCTACTCACCCTAAGAGAGGGGAGATGGGAGGTATAGACTCTATACTATACTATAGAGGATCTAGGACAGCTAAAGGCATCTAGTGAGGGCTGGGAAAAGCCCACATTGTTGCCAAGTAAACTAAATGTGTAATTCAAAGATGAGAGTGGGGAAGAACATTCACAAATAATAAATGTGGTTCTTAGTCACTGCCAAAGTAATGACTTGGCTTATTCATCTGAATGAAGCACTGCACTCTTTGTGTGCCTCCACAGAAACGCAAGAGCCAAAGGTCCATCTTGCCTACCCTTTTGTTTCCCACATTAAGGCAACAGCCCTCTTCCAGTGTTATCCTCAGCAGCTGACATATTGCCTTACAACCTGGAGTTTGCCTATTTCCATCCTATATGCTAATAGTTAAGACGTTATCAAGGTGTGACACCTTATTCAGAAAAACAGCACCGTACATGTGCAAGAAAGAATGGAAGAAGGCGGCTTGGGGGCACTCCCAAGTACAAACAATATCGGCGGGAGAAGAAACCTAACTGGGGGTGAGGGGAACCAGAAACAGATCCGTGAGAACTGAAAATGATCAATGGACACAAAATGCCGACTGTTGTGGGAGGAGGGGGACAGAAAACCAGGGAGGAGAAAGGGCAAATGGGAGTATCCTGCCAAAGAGCCTGGCAGGCTGGCACCCTTGACATTTTGTTGCAGGTCCCTCTCATTTTGACTACCCTCTCATCTATGTGTTCATTTTCTTTTAAATCCACCTAAGCTAGAAGAAGAAGAAGAAGAAGAGTTTGGATTTGATAAACCGCTTTATCACTACCCGAAAGAGTCTCAAAGCGGCTAACATTCTCAGCCACCACATCTTGTGGTGGAAATTCATGTGGCTGGTTCTGTGCCCAAGCTGAGGAGAAATACTGGGATTACCATTAGGATAGCCAGAGCCATAATCCAAGTCCGCATCTTCCAGATCCTCCAAGAACCTCCAGTTCTTTACCACCCGGTCCCTCGCCACCTACGGAAAATGAGAGATAACCAACATCGGAATTGCCTTCCTGCATCATTCCCATCTATGTCCTGATCCATCTAGCCTAGTGGTCTCGAATAGTAGCCAGCCCCTGTCCTAATGAATGATGGCAATAGTCACCCCCTATTGTTTAGCCCCAGCATCCAGTATTCTGCTCCAGCACATGAAAGCTTATTTAGCTGTTTCACGGTGGAAGCAGTTAGAGCTTCACAGTTTAATCGTACATCTCTCCAGATACCAGAGAGCACAGTGAGCCAGGAAACAAAGAGATCCTATGTCTCGCATTCACCTTGGCACAGATGCTGGCTGCACTGACAACAGGGAAGAGGGAGTCTGCTTTTGGTTTCACTGTAACCTCCAGGTCTGGGAAGTGCTGCTTGAGTTTTTCTTGGTACTTCTCTGCTGGTCCCACAGTATCCACAAAGACCTGAAGGAGGGAGGAACCATAAAGCACTGAAGAGGTGGGATTTCTTGCCACTTCCTACAGGTATGGGATGCTGAGCTGGCTCACCTTTGCAACCTGCACTCCAGAGTCCAACGCCCTCTGGATTAATCCAATGGCCGTATCATGCGAAAGCGCGTTCAGGTTGTACTTAGCTCTGCAACGGAAAGGAAGCTATGTTTTTCGCTCATAAAAAAAACCCTTGGCTCTGAGGCCCAAACGTCAGAAAAGGGCTGGTTGGAAAAGGTGTTGTGGAGACTGCACCCTGGACCAGCTTATGCCACCACCAGCCAGAACAGAAAGATGTCTCTGCCAGTACATTACCAATAGAACAGCTGCCCTGTCCACACAGCAAATAGGAACTCAAATCTCACATAGTGTTAAGAGTGCAGTGGGCTGTTTGTGCCACAGCCAGTTAACACAGCAAACAACATCACAGCAGTAAGCATCATTCTCAAGGATGAGCTGGCATGAAGGACGAAAACAGCTCAGGGGGAGAGACACAGCCTCCCTTCTCTGAAAGAGGTCTGTCCAACTTTTCTGATAAACTCCAAGGTGAGAGGCCTCGTGTTTCCAATCCCCTTCCCCTTGCTCTGTCCTCTTTAGCCTGCAGCCACTACACAACACATCCAGTGTCAGCAGCACTTTTTCATTTGCCAGGTCGAAGTGATTTTATTGAAAACTGTGATTTTTTCCGCCATGTCAGTCTCTGTTACGATTTTATCATTGCAGTTGTGTTTGGCTATTGTGGCTTTAATTATAGTTAGCCACCTTTGGAAACACGTATGCATTAGAAAGGCAGGGTATTAATCTTTCTAACGAGTACACGAATAAACAAAACACAACGATTCCAGGCAGAGAAGCGATCTTGGGAGAAAAACCGCCACCCATTCAAAGCTGTGGTTCTAGCACAGGGGTGGAGAACCTGCGGCCTTCCAGGTGTGGCTAAACTACAACTCCCACCACCCCTGACCACTCTTGCTGGTACTGATGGGAGCTGGAGCCCAGCAACATCTCGGGGTGGGGGGGAACAGGTTCCCCAACCCTGTTGCGGCGACTTCATCTAATATTGTCTGCTTACCGTCTCTGCATGCTGGTGGAGATGTAATTGGGTGAGAGGATGTGCAGGGCCCACCCAACAAAATCCTTCGCTGCACCCAGTTTCTCAAAGAGCTGTTCCCGCTGGGCCTCCGTCAGAGTCTTGGAATCTGTGACGGGAAAGCAAACAGGGAGGGGAGGACACAAACTCAAAAAAGACGTGACCGAGGATGAATACAAGCTGGGCAGTGCTTTGACAGCGGTTAGGGGAAACACTCCAAGAGGTACAGCATTGTCCCTTTTAGTCCAGAACCCATTTCCTGCCACGCCAGCATTACATCACAGTCCCAGTCAGGCACGCCTTTCTTTTCTTTTTACCTGCCACCTTCAGTGCCTCTAGGTCTCCCTGCCGATCCACAGGACAGTAACAGATTCCATAAACCATGGGACCTGGGAAGAAAGCAGAAGCCAATGCAAGCTACTCTTTCAAGACTCAGAGCTCCACCTACGGATACAATACTGCAGGTGTTTTTATAACAACATTGTCATGTGAGAAATGCTCTGAACTAGCAACACTAAGTATAGTTATAATTACGGTACAGCCCCAGGACAAAACTGGTCCTGCAGTAGGGAATCCTCCACAAAAGACTCCCCTCCAGCCACCATCACAGGACATTATTCTATTTTAAGGGTGGGGAAGTTCTGCTCGGCAGCAGGGGTGGGGTAGGGGAAGTAAAAAGCAGTCGTGGGACTGAACAAACTTATTGGCACAGAACTGGAACAACGTTATTTGCAAATCAGGACTGGATTAATTGTCAATTCTACAAGAGAGTCATTGTGGTGTAGTGTCCGACTAGGGCCTGGAAGACCAAGGTTGAAATGCCCACTCAGTCACCATCTCTCAGCCTATCCTACCTCACAGGGTTGTTGTGAGGATAAATTGGGAAGAGGGTCACGTACGCCACTTTGAGCTCCATGGAGAAAAGGTGGCATACAAATGAAATACTACTACTACAAAAATGCTCTATATCCTCACAATTTATCCTCATAATCAGCCCTCCTGGCGTTATTAAAGTAGGTTGGCAGATAGCAATAGGAATCCTCTAGCGTCTAGGCCACCTGGCAAGTCCACGGATCACTCCAAGGCAGGCGAATATTAAGGATCAGCCAGTGATTTGGGACTCCCCTTCTGATGCTTTCAGGCAGTGCTTTTTTCTGGGGGGACGCATACCCCTAAACATTTTGTGAATCTAAGTTTGACCTCATTGAGGGACAGTATTTCAATATGAGTAAGAAAATGAGAGTACCCCTAAACATTTTTTTAAAGAAAAAGAGCACTGCTTTTAGAACTCGATTCCTCGCTGGAGCAAAAAGTACCCCAAGGATTCCTCACCCTCAGGCACGTACCCAGCACCGGACCCCGGCCTGCTTCATCGATGCCCAGGCTGCAAGGTTCGCTCCGGCAAGCGGCGGGCACCGCGGAGTCCAGCAAACAATTCACGGCGTTGTCCCGCTGGAAAGCGCTCAGGTCCATTTTCGCGCGTCGCCGGCAAGCGCCGTACAAACTCGGTGCAGGAAACGAAAGGGAAGGGAAATCCCAGAGAGTGCGCGGCTTGCTGGGTATTGTAGTTCGCAGAACAGATCAGACTTGCGCACCAACTTCTCTAACAGCGTCGTGGGGGATCCCATCTGGTTGTAAATTAGGACAGTAAAAGTAGCGGGGAGGAATAGTCATGACTCCTGGTTTCTGTCCTCTGCTTCGAAAGGGCTTCATTGCACTTTTGGCACAACATCTGTCCCTGTTGGATTACGTCTGATGAATGTATGGGACTGCTAAACAGAGCCAGGTATTACGATGCTCTGGCTAGCTAGCACCCAGCTGATGCTACAGTGCTCCCTAAGATCCTTATAGAACTTGGGATCTTTTTCATACAGTACTAGAAAGCATTTGTTCGGCCGCTCATCTATGTCCGCTCTATGAGCATATTTTACACACTAACAGTGTAAAGCTATAATGGGTGGACTTCAGGTGGGTGGATTGCATATAACGCTGCCCGTTTTACCCCTGGCAAAGCTCCTGCGCATTTAACATGTGTGCAAAAGGCAGGCATCGAGCAGGCGATTCACCAGCTGGATGCCTACCTGTGTCTTGCAGCTGATAAACGGGAGCGTGTTTTCCACGAGCAGAGCGTGTGTACGCAGCAACTGTAAATGAAGACCGCGAGTGGGTTTGCCATCTTTTGTCTCCGGCAGGAGTCGGGACGTGACGGACAAACATCCAGCAAGGTGTGATAAAAAGATTGACCTGTTGAACGTCTGCCTGCTGTGCAGTTGTTAAAAAAAAAAAAAACAGGAGCAGAGAAAGAAAGCCAGCAAGCGCCCTTTAGTGGAGTTGTTCGCCGCACTGCAATCAGAAACGTATTTTGGAGCGGAATGTCTTTGGTTCCCAATTCATTTCCCTTTTTCTGAGTCCAAAGGGAGAAAAAGGGGGGGAGGGGTAGCCGGGGTGGGGGTGACCCGCGCGCGCACATGTTCTCATTGTGAGTCGAATCCGGATTACACCGCCCCCTCCTGCACCTTTGCCCCGCCCCCTCCCAGCACGCTGCACATAAAACCCGGCAGCCGCTGCGGCTTGTTCTGCTGGTGTCACGCCTCCTCCTCGCTTCGAGAAGCGCTCGGCTTAGCTTTGGGACGGCAGCGCGCGGACCAGGAGGTACGGAGGGAGCGAGGGGTGGGCGCCTCGAGGGCATTTCTGGAGCTTTTGCAGCGCTTGTGCATGGAGGCAAATGCGGGCGCGTTGCTCGGGGTTTGCAATTCGAGCCTGGCGAGGCCTGCTATGGGGTGGGGGCCTGCAGCGCTTTCTCTCTCCTCCAGCCTAGCAGGTTCGAAGGGTCGTCATTTTCTGGGGTCTATATGTGGAGGCGAAGGGCTTCTGGAAGGTTTCGAGGCTTGCAATCCGTGCATCTCCTCGTGTCTTCCAAAGGCGTGATTTTGGGAAGGGGGGCACCTGCATTGGAATAAAGTGGGCTGGAAGCTGCGCTGCTCCTCGGTTCTCCTCTGGTCCTTTTTCCCCAAAGCGGAGAGGAGGCGGTGTGAATGCTGCCCATTGTGTCCTCGGCAAGCGAGTCATAGGGATCTCCTTTGTGTTCTGAGCGGTACAGGGAGGGGGCTGGAAGCAGTGCGGGCTGGAAGCAGTGCGTTGCATTGTCACTGGAATTCAACTCCAGGGGTCGATCTTGGCTTCCTCTAACTCTCCTCCTCCTGCTTCCCCCGCCCCCAACCCTGGAAAGCGGTGAGGCTTTCCAGTCTCTTCTCAGCTTGCATAGCGCTCCTAGCCTTGCTCGGGGTCTACTCGAGTGAAAATTCATGAAATGGAGCCAGTGACTAAGTGCTCTTGCCTTAAAAATTGGGTCATGGAAACTGTGCTCTTTAAACAGGCCTTTAGTATGGATACAAGAGGTGACGACAGTGCAATAAGTTTAAGCTCCAATTCTTACTAGAGGGGGGAACGAGACAAATGGAGTAAGATCTGTGCGCTTTTGTTTCAAGTAGTGTATATAGCAGGGGGAAGATGTGATGTTTGCAGAACTTGCACAGAAGTAAACCTACAACGTAGTGCTTCTGGGATGTTCTCACCTGTGCAGAGGTAACAGTGCCTCTAAATTCCAATCGGTTACCATTTTAAGCGTTCATTCTGTAAACCAAAAAATGTCCAGGTTAATAAAGTCCCTCCTAAAATGTATTGGGCTTTTTATTTGGTTCCTAAAATGCAGTTAAAACACTGGAAGATAAGCAACAGACAGTTTTAAAAATGGTTTTGTAAAGGTTTGGGTAAATAAAAAGGTTTTAAGCATGATTATGAAATAATAGATTGTTGGAGCCTGCCTTACCTAAAGTGTAATGAATGCCACCATTTTTGCCATTGTGGTGGTGGTTCTATTGTCCTAGCTAATGTTAATATATGAGGTAAAAACACAGTTTTTCAAGCAAAGACTGACCCAGAGAAGCAAATCAAAGTGCGCTTTTGACATGCTGCATATGGCTTTATGCTGGGACATTTTATCACCAAACAGGCACCTGTATTCAGCTTGGGGTGGAAAAATACCTCCCCCAGCTGTCAGTTTTTTGTTTAAGAATTAAAGAATCAAATATATGGTAATATAAGTCCCGCATAACTTTTAGCCGCTTTCTTCAGTTTTTGCTTGAACTGTAATCTTCTCCTGTCACATGTCTTTTGGACATTCCATCATCTCAAATTACTTTGGAAGTCAGCCTGGCGTAGAAAACTATCCCAACTGCCTGCACCAGTAGCAACAGATCCTTATTAAGCAAACAATGGCTTGGCATTGTCTTTGTACACAACACTGCTCATTCTAAGCCAAATACACTAATCACCAAATTCAAGGCTGGGTACCCATACTGTAACATCTCATGCTTGGCCCAGGAAACTCTGATAAAGCCTTTTAGCTTCTGCAAAAACTCTTGTTTTGTCTTGCTGCCGCCGCCACATGCTGGACCTGGAGTAAGACAAGACTGTAGCAGAGGTCACATTTCTAGGGCTCAAACTTGCCTGGGTAGTGTAACTTTTTTTCATATGTGGTGGACATGTAAAAAAGTTAAAGAATATTGGGAAATGATTTATATTAAGTTGTACAGATTGTTTAAAACAACATTCCCAAAAAGACCAGAGGCCTTTCTGTCAGGAATAGTTCAGACTGAAGTTCCCAGGTGTCAGAAAAAATGATTTATGTATGCAACAATGGCTGCTTGAGTTTTGTTAGCTCAAAGATGGAAAGTGAGGGAGGTCCCAAGTAAGGAGGACTGGCAACTTAAGATGATAGAATTTGCAGAACTAGCAGGTTTAACATATAGAATAAGAGAGCATCTATTTAAAGAGGAGTAGAAAATATTTGCTGAGTACAGTGGTACCTCGGTTTAAGAACAGCCCAGTTTACGAACTCCGCAAAACCGGAAGTAGTGTCCCGGTTTGCAAACTTTACCTTGGTCTAAGAACGGAAGCCAAATGGTGGAAGGGCACTGGTGGCGGGAGGCCTCATTAGGGAAAGTGTGCCTTGGCTTAAGAACAGACCTCCGGAACGGATTAAGTTCGTAAACTGAGGTACCACTGTATTTGGAAAATAACTGTACAGCTGAATACACTGGCAGCATTAAGCTAAATTCAGCAGTGTGGTTAATATTTGAATGATGTAAATTGGAGAATGACTTAAATGGTTGCAGAAAAATAAGCAGGAATGGTAGACAAGTAAAATGAACCATGGAAGGAGAAGGAGGGAAGTCATTGGCTATATGGTACTATGTAAAATGCTTATTTTGAGACATATAACTGAAAAACTTAATAAAAACTATTCAAAACAAAACAGACTTGCCTGGTAGTGAAGGCAGAGGGCCTTCTCAGTAGTGGCTCCCACCCTGTGGAATGCCCTTCCATCAGATGTCAAGGAAATAAGTATGTGACTTTTAGAAGATATCTCAAGGGAGCCCTGTATAGGGAAGTTTTTAATGTTTAATGCCTCACTGTGTTTTTAAATATTTTGTTGGGAGCCACCCAGAGTGACTGGGACAACCCAGTCAGATGGGTGGCATATTATTATTATTATTATTATTATTATTCAGGGTTTGGTGGATCACTAAAGTTGGTGCTGTCAGTATTGGAGTTGATGGAGGAAAGTATCTCGTCATTGATTTTGGCTTGCCCAAGCAGGCTTTTTTTCTCCCTTCTGGTTCATTATAAGCAGTGTGCATCTCAAAGCCTTCACTGCAGTAACCCATGAGTGACCGTTCCATTCTCCTCTGTCACATACCACCAGAACAATGGCAAATGTATGCACTAGTTCAAAATGCACTGTATTCTGCTGGCTTCACTCCAGAAACGAGCAATCAGTGTTTGTGATGTCAGGGGCAGCAGACCATCATCACATAGTTAATTCACTGTCGTTAACCATAGCCTGCTCATGTTTGCCAAAGCATATTGTAATAGGGCTATCTTCCTGAACATGGAGCTTACTGGTAAGTGCCCCACCCAACAGCTACCAGCTCCTTATCAGGAAGGTATCATGTCGCCCAGTTTGTGTTTGGGACACACTTCTGGAAGGGAAGTATTTGTCAGCTAGAGCTGCCGTAGGGCCCATCGGCTACCAAGTGGAACACGGTGGGTGAGAGTCATGGGCTAACGTAGCAGATGCATCTCTCCCCCACCCCATATCTCCAGCAACAGATGGCGCCAGGTTTTCTGTGCTCGACCAGGCCCTGGCAGATGCCTCAGTATCTGAAGAGCCTTTCAGTGGATGAACATTACTTTAATGGCTCTGTTCAGACACCATGATAAACTCAGGGCTAGGGAACTTGTGACTCCAGTGTTTCCCATCATCCCCTGAGTATTGGTTGTGTTGGGTGACATTTATCTTTCTGAAGTCAGAATACCAATTGTGGCCTTTTTGAAGATTCAGCAGTTGGCTTTATTAAATTGTGCAGTAAGTAGCCAAGCAGGCTCTGGCAGGAACAATATGAAGCTGGAATAGTAAAATGCAAACATCCCATCTCCTCTCTGCCATGCATTCAGCATAATAAAAGGGCACTTGTCTTCTGATGAATTTGAATTGTAAACTACTTTGGGAGCCAGTCTTGGCTGGCAAGTGGGATATAAGTATGTTCCGCTTTACCTTCTATTGGTGGCAGAGACAGCACCAAGAATATATTGATCTGACCCAAATTACAGTGCTAGGAGAATGAGCTATTTATCTGCTCCTGAAGCCTTTGCCCGTTCTTTCTCTGCTAGAGCTGGTTTTAGATAGTTTTCCACAGCAGTGGCAGTTTGCTTCTACCTGAGCCAGAGAAAACTACTTAAGTACTACTGTACTTAATTAATAGATTAGTGCCTATCCTTATCTGTCACCATTGTAGTTATGAATGGAAGAGACTTAATCTCCTGGTTATGTTGTCAAGTATCTGTTGTGTTTGCTTCCAGATTTGGCCTTTCATAACCTAGTATTAAACTTCGTGTTCATGCATGCAGCTTCTTGAAAGGAACTCAGGTTTGATTTTATACATGCTACATCTAAATCCCAGGGTTGTTTTCTTGATGCCAAAAAGCAGCCAGAGCTTTGAAGTAGTTATGAAATATTGAGACTTCGCTTATGCAAAAAGGAGCCAAACCCAAATTGGCAAGGTTTAACATGAAGGGGTGTAATGGGGCAAATTCTTTATAAAGAGAGCCTCTTATGGGATGGGGGTGGAGACAGGGCTGGCCCCACACAGGAGGCAAGGTGAAGCAGCCATCTTGGGTGGTGGAAGCCGCTGAGGGGGTGCCTTGGTGGGTGCCCCACTGGCAGAGTATCAGAGCTGATTTCCAGCAGGATTTTTGCCAGAACCTGCTGCTGCTTCATGCTGCCACCATGCAGCCTAGGGATGCTTTGACGGCAGCGGCAGGGTGGGGAAGCACTTCCCACTTAGCCTCAAGCAACACAATGGGATGCGCCGTCCCTGGTTGGAGAGGAGCAGGCACATCAGACCTCCAAATCACCTAAAAATTATATACACACACACACACAACTGCTAGAGCCAAGCAATAAGAAGCAGTGTTCAAAAGTACTGTACACAGCACACTACCACCTCATGTTTTTATGTAATGGATTGGTGAAACTGCTTGTTGAGCTCCAAGGCAAATAGTGCATTGAAATGCATTGAAGGTGGTAAAATTTCAATTAGCCAGAAAGTTGTCTGGGAGCACTTGCTCACGCCTAGCTAAAATGGAATGAGGCTAATAAAAATATCCTGCTGAACCAAGAGGCCACTGACTCAAATCCTCTGCAGTCTTCCTCAAAGGAATGAGGGTGCAAGACTCCCTGATCTTGCATTCCTCAGGGATTGCCTTGCGTCACCCTCCACAGTTGTAATCCTTTACAACTCATGTGACTGGGGCTCTGTACAGCACTATGCAGAATTAGAAGAGGCTTCTTGTTTCCTCTGAAGTGCATCTTAATTGTTTGGGCTCTACAAAAGTTGGGCTTGACGTTGGGGAAGGGTTGTAAGCCAAAACAGAGCGGCCTTGTTTACAATCCTTCAGAAGGTAAGAAAATGCCTCTCCTGGGATATGTACTCAGTAGCAGACCTCTTGGTTGAAAGCGGCTCAACTTGGTTGTCTACCTAAGCCTTTACACTGTTTGATATTTCAGAAAGAAATGGCTTCCGGTAAAGCTCATATTGGTAAGCCAGTTCCAGACTTCAAGGCCACAGCAGTGGTGGATGGAGCCATTAAGGAAATAAAGTTGTCGGACTACAAAGGTAAGAGAGAGTACCACTTTCAGTTGTTTAAACAACATCTTCAGTCAGTCTTAATGTCGCAAGGTGCCTTGAGCTCATGAATATGCAGGACATAAATACCCTAATTAAAAAGTTTCCCAGACCCACCTTGATAAGAGAGGCTGGGTATGGATCACTTAAGAACTACTTTCCTGCTATGCAGCATTGGAGCACATAATCGCCAAGAAAGAGGATCTTGCATTATCCGTCTGTTTATCAAGAGGTAATCAGTCCCCAGGCACTGAATCAGATTGCTGTGGGGATCATGGTGTGTAGTGCAAATACTATATTTTGTTAGCAGGTGCAGATAATGGACCTTGGGTTTGCCATATCCCAAAGGAAGGATGAATGTTATCGTGGTCAAGGCATGGCATTTGTTTTGAGTACATTGTGCTGGTGCCTTCAGGTGTTGTCTCCTTCCCTAAACTTCAGATAGTAGCCAGGCAAGGTTTCTGGCTCAAAGTATTCTGCTTCTGATGGGTTTCCCCCCTCTCTACACAGGCAAATATGTGGTTCTCTTCTTCTACCCCCTGGATTTCACCTTCGTCTGTCCCACAGAGATCATAGCTTTCAGTGATCGAGTTGAGGAGTTCCGCAAGATCAACTGTGAGGTTATTGCTGCCTCTGTTGACTCTCAGTTCACCCATTTGGCCTGGTGAGTCTCCTGGTGTTCAAGATCTAGCACAAGGTCTCCGTCCATGCTAGAAAGCAAGTACTGTGAAGACTTATGGTTATGTTGTTGTTTCTTAAGGCTGGCTTAGCTGTAGAAAACTGAGTGACAGGAATAACAGCACATCCCTATTTTGTGTGTTGCTTAGGAAGAGGGTTAGAACTGAAACATCATTAAGAATGTTCTAGGGATCTGACACTGGGAGGGAGCCAAGCAGAAGTTAACTGACAGAAGGGTGTGGAGGGTCCCCACCAGCCTTATCTAGCCAAACCTAGCTGCTGTTAGTTTTATCAGCCACCTCAGTAGACTAACTGCAGTTGTGTCCAGAGTTGATTTGAGCTCCTAAATGGGTGCAAAGAACATTTCAGTCTTCTGTGGGTCAGAGAATCCGACTATATCTAATTGGAGAATATCTCCAGTTTTTCTTCAGATTTAGGTTTCTGATGAGGAAGAAGATGCTTGCCCAGTTTTTAGACCCAGCTTTGGTCTGGGAGCCCCATGGCAGTTTGGAACAAAAAGCTTGGGGCAATCTATCCCATGTGAAATATTTGATTCAACCATTTCTAAATAGTAAATGGCTAGAGTAGTAGTTTGCAGATGTTCAAGATGGAAGGGTGGGAGATATGAGGCCCTCCAGTTGTTGGACTCCCAACTCCCATCAGCCCTTGCCCAACATAGCCAATGATTAGGGTTGAGGTGGGCATCGGTTCACAGGTTCTCCTACCTCTGCTCTAAAATGATATTGCAGATGTTAACGGCCATTTCCCTGCAGGATCAATACAGCAAGAAAGGAAGGGGGCTTGGGATCTGCAAACATTCCTCTTGTGGCAGACATCAACCACAATATTTGCAAGGACTATGGAGTGCTCAAGGAGGAGGATGGCATTGCATACAGGTATGGAGATCTTGAGGTCTAACCTTAATTCTAGATGACAGTTCAAAGGGCTGTGGCTGGTGGCATCTTGGCAAATGCCAGTCCTCTTGTGTTCACTAGCAAAGCCTCAACATGGCTGACTCACGTACCACTTAGCTCCTCTCTCCAGTGCTGCAACACAGGGGTAGCTAACCTGGGAGTCTCCAGCTGTTACTGAACTAGAGCTGCCAGCTGCAGCCAGCATGGCCAATGGTCAGGAATGATGGAAGCTGCAAAATTTGGCAGCATCTGGAGAACAACAGATTAGTCCCGCCTGCTCTTAAGTCCTGTGATCTGTTGAAGAGGTTAGTCATCCTTGATGCTGCTGGACTGTTCAATCCTCTATTCATCAGCTTGGTCCCACCCATCAAGTCCATGTATGTAATCCAAATGGTAACCTGGCTGAAATAAAAAAAGCTATTAATACTAGCTAGGTCCTAGAACCCTGGTCCTTGGATGTATGGACTTGGACTTCAGAGAATGAGTTGCTGTAGCTGGAACTTAATTGAGTCTGTCTCTGCTTTTGCCCCAACCTCTTTTAGTTGATCTCTCAGTAAGGTTTCTGCATAGGCATAGATTCAGGATTCCCCCACTCAACTTTGACCCAAAGAACCTAGGCAATTGTAGTTTGCCCCTCACCGAACTACAGTTCCTTGTACCATTATACTATAGTTCCCAGGATTCTTTGGGGGAAGGCATGTGCTTTATTTTATTTTATTTTTTAAATGATATTTATTGAGAGTTTAAAATTACAGAGAAAGGAAAAAACAAGAAAAAAAGAAAAAGGAAAAAAGGTAGACAAAAAGAGAAATTAAACAATACAAGTCAATAAAAACAAAAGTCAAAGAAAAAACAAAACACACAATACATCAAAATCAAAAAATAAAAATAAACAAAAAATTTAAAAACAAATCCAATATTCCCAAATCTTTATCTTTCATTAACTTGTTTCATCGACCTCCTCACACCTCCCTTTTTTGTATTCTAGTTATTATCTCAGCAAATCCTTTCCATCTTTCACAATATTCTGTCATTAAATTATCTTAATCTATTTTAACCTTATCTTACCATAAAAAACCCTAAAGCTTAAAACTTAAGTCTTATTTATACCTAATTCTTTTTAGCAAAACATATTTATACATAATTCTTTTTAACATTTCTACTAAAGCCAAATAGTTTCATTCCAACATTTCTGCTACTTGAGGTTCAGCAACAACCTCCTCCTTTATCTTCTTCACCACTTGCTCTGTCAAAGCACATTCCTGGATTGATTCCTGAGTGGTTTCTATATAGGTATTCACTGTTTGTCCAAAATTTCCAACTGCAACAGTCATCAAATCCATCTTCTCATGTAGCTGTTCCAGTAAAGCGCTTGTCTTGCAAAAAGCAAGTACTAAAGCTTCTTCTGGGCACATTCTTGTTCAAGGTTAAAGTCTGGTCTCATGATCTTTAATCTCTACAGCTGCAAAATTCCCCAGATCGACTCTAACAACAGTTTCACAAGCTCCCTCTAGAGGAAACAATTTCTATTTGTATCCGTCTTTTTAAAAGCAGATCTAGCAACAAAGTTCCTTTCGTTTTTCAGATATTTTGTTCCTTTTAAGTGCAAAAGGGAACATTGGAATCAATATGTTTCTCTTTTTTAACTATCTGTCAAAAACGTTTTATCCACAGTCAATGAACTTCCCCAAAACGTCTGTCCTGACACCCCGCTCCCAGGTTCAAGACGGTGGAAATTTATCTTTCTTTACTCTCTCTTCTGCAGGTTTAAACAGTCTAAAAAGATTCCCCCCTCTTCTCCTGCTTCCAAGGGGGGTTTAGTAATTTTAACTGATGGAAATTTAGTCCTTTACAAACGACTTTCCAGACTCTAGCTTGCAATGTCTTTGCTTCAATCTATTTACAAAAGCGGAAGGCGGACTTCCTGTTTAGACTTTCCCGCTTCGGTGCCAAATTAAGAAGTTTCATAGTCCAATTTTCCGTTCTACTCACGGGCAGTTGTTTAAAATCCAATTGTCCACAGGAAAAAGTCAGCGCTCTCCGGCAACAGCAATGCGGCTTCACTCCGTGAAAAGAGCAGTCAATTCGAAGCACCACGCCATTCACCCCACGTCGCTCTGGATCCCCGAAACCGGGTTTCCCCACGAGTAGGGGAGGCGCAAAAGGTGCCAGCCAAATCCCACGTCCACAGGCTTCTCCCGCCTGTGGTTTTTGGTGGGTCTCCGCCTCGCCGCGGCAGTCCAGACCCTAATTCTCACGAAGCGGATTCCTCCCGATCAGAGGAAATCCGCCATTGCCGGAGGCGCTAACCCGGAAGTCGGGAAGGCATGTGCTTTAAATGCATCTTAGGCTTGAATGCATACAAGCTTGAATCCTCCTTTTTTTTAAATAATAAATGCTCTTAATTGCCCTTCTTTCTCCCCCCCTCTCCCCACAACTATCCAGAGGCCTGTTCATAATTGATGACAAAGGCATCCTGCGTCAGATCACAGTGAATGACTTGCCTGTGGGACGTTCTGTGGATGAGACACTTCGCCTGGTACAGGCTTTCCAGTTCACAGACCAGCATGGTGAAGGTAAGGGGTGGGGATTGGGATAATAGAGCTAACACAGAAGAGTGAGGTCAGTATTGCTTTAGAAATTGTGGCTGTTACCTCTTCATGGGGCAAGTAAGGGCCTATCTCTGCCCATGGACAGTGCATAACAGCTTCCCAAACACCTTCGTAGCAAATAGTACCATATATGAAGTTGGCATGATGTACTGCTAGCAACATTTCTTAGAGCCTTCCGTAGCGCAGTTCATGCCATATCCTGTCTTGCCCACCATTTTCAGCATCACAGAAGTGTGGCATGGTACAAAGTAGACCCAAGACAGTCTTATGCAACTCTTAATAACGCAAGAGCCCTGCTGGTTCAGTCCATTCGCCCAACTAGTCCAGCATCCTGTTCCCACAGTGGCCAACCAGATGCCCATGGGAAGCCTGGAAGCACACTCTTCACTTGTGAGTCCCAGAAAGTGGTACGTGGAGATAAACTGCCTCCAGCATAGCCATTGTGGCTATTAGCCAGTGACGGCTGTCCTCCTGAACATATGCAAACACACTAGTCTCCTGTTATGGACCATGAAACCCCAAAAGGAGCATACTGGGATGGGAAAGGCTGTGGCATTTTGCCCCTCTCCAGTGCTGCTTTTTTTTAAGGAAAAGGGTGTGGGTATTCACTAGGGGACACGGGTGGCGCTGTGGGTTAAACCACAGAGCCTAGTACTTGCCGATTAGAAGGTCGGCAGTTCGAATCCCCGCAACTGGCTGAGCTCTCATTGCTCAGTCCCTGCTCCTGCCAACCTAGCAGTTTGAAAGCACGTCAAAGTGCAAGTAGATAAAGAGGGACCGCTCCGGCGGGAAGGTAAACGGCATTTCCGTGCGCTGCTCTGGTTCTCCAGAAGCGGCTTAGTCATGCTGGCCACATGAACCGGAAGCTGTACACCGGCTCCCTCGGCCAATAAAGCGAGATGAGCGCCGCAACCCCAGTGTCGGTCACGACTGGACCTAATGGTCAGGGGTCCCTTTACCTTTATTCACTATGAAGTTGTTATAGTAAGTGCCACATTTTTAACATTTGGAAGAAAAAGGTACTGCATACCCTTGAGTATCCCCAGAAAAAAAGGCACCGCTCCAATCTAGATTGTGCTTGTTGATGGAGTAAGTTCTGACTTTTTAATAAGTGATGTCTCCAAAGCTTCCTTCTACTGCTTCTTGGGGTACCTTGTTGCCCTAAGCTTGCTCCATGTGGACCTATGTGCTTTGAGTGCTGTTTGACATATTCTAACCCCACACTTCTGTACATTTTGCTACAGTGTGCCCAGCTGGCTGGCAACCTGGCGGTGACACCATCAAGCCCACAGTGAAGGACAGCAAGGCCTTCTTCGCCAAGCAGCAGTAGAGGTGTCATGCTGAACAAATCTGGCCTAATGTGAAGGGATTATTCATACTGAATCTTTCCCGTTGAGATCTCTAGAAGTAACTCTCTGGGGAGAGCTGGGCTACGAAAGCCTCTCCCATGAGTAGTAGTTCATAGAAGTAGCTTGAATGTAATTTTTTGAGTAGGGCATCTTTATGTTCATGCTTCAATAAAAGTGGAGATTAAAATAAGCTTGGTGGTGATGTCTGGTGCTGCTGAAGGTCATTCGGAATGAGCAAATGACAAGGAGAATCAAAAGTGGAGAATGTGATCCTGGACTTGCTCCTCAGATGCAAAGAGAAGAGTTCTTTCCTGCCTTTGGAAGGATATACTTTTACTAAATGGGTTTGGATTGGGGTATAATTACTATGCCCACCCTTTGGTTTTATGTGCAAAGTAAGAACACCCCCCCCCAGTCCCTGTAGAGGTAACATGCCATGGACATCTTGAAGTTAAGAGATGTAGACATGGTGTTATAAATGGCTTGTCCAAGAAAACAGGAAAAGCAAGCATGCAGTTCTAGTATGTCCATGCTGTCAGTGAGTACATAAGAGCCTGAGATCAAGCACTTTTGAAACTTATGTCCTTGGCTGGGACCTTTTCCGAAGGCAAGCTGAGATTTGATACAGCTGTTGCATGAAGTAATTAAGGTTCTGATGATGATATTCAAAGCAAGCAGCATTAGCTTGCTGTAGGCTTTTCGTTGCTGGAATAAAAAGCAGGGAGTATCAAAGGCCTGGTGTGAGCTGGAATTATGTAGGCTTTAGATAGCTAGGAACAGAATCTCCTAGGTATTAGCTGAGACCTTTTGCAAGGAATGCAGTGGCCTTCCTAAGAAGCTGAACAAACCTCTGGCATAACAAAGTAGCTTCAACGAAGTGTCCTGCCTGGATCAGCACTTGGTTCCTGAATCATTATCCAGATTCAAAATTATGGATTTACTCTGATGACAGGTTGAATGGATAAAATCTTGCTGCAGAAGAAAAAGGACTGATTAGCAAGTATAATCAGGATCATTATCTTCCTATATTATAGTGATATCAAGGCCTAAACAAAGCTCCCCCCCCCAACTCCCTCACACTGCTAATTTTGTGCTTCTGAAGAGTTAGTCCTAAAGCACCTAGAGAATTCCAGGGTTACAGTGGTGAAGCTGGTTATGCAGATTGCATGAGTGACACTAGTCTCAAGAAATACGATTCATTCACATATTTACACCTGAATTTAGATGGAGGGTGTCCCAATCTTACAGCATGGTCATCTCAAGTGGGGCTTGTTCCCCACAGCAGTGCAGCACTGGAGTCCAAGGCATCTCCAGCAGTGTCCCACCAGCTAGCCAAAACGGTTCTGCCTCTTTCTCATTCCAAGCCACCTCCAAAGGCCACAAACTTTTCCTGTGCCATCGCACTCAGTTACCCTGGCAGCCTTCCTCTCAATGGACGTCATTTAGGTGAATAGGTCGAGGAATTAAAACAGACCTGGCTGTTGGGTGCAATGGACACTGCTAGTTCTCAATCACTCTGAGCTCTTAATTTCTTTTAAAGCCCATAATGGGCAGTTTTATTGCCAAACAATTTTGCAACAGGAGATGTTGCAAAGGTGTTTGTGGAAAATGTTTGCATGCTGCTTTGGAATAGTGATGGTTGTTGGGTTGCTCCAGACTGCCTGTTCATAAGTTTCCACCTTTTGTCCTCCAAATGTTGTTACCCCCCTCTCCACATCAAGCCTGACTGCCAGTAATTCTGGCTGGGGTGATGGTATTGGGAGTCCAACATCATTTGAAGAGCCCCAAGTTTCTTATCCCTCACATAAGATGCTGGCTGCACTTTAAGGGTTATATGGAAATTGATGTTCTTGTATCAGAGGCATCGCTGCCTGTGTAGGCACTGGTAAGTTTAGACTTCAGACAGCAGTTTCCAGGCTTAATTCATGGGACAGCATTTGTTTCTAATACTGAACTGCCATACATCTGCCAGTAGAGGATGCTGTAACTTCATGGAACGCTCTGATTCCAAACATGCAAGTGCCCAAGGCTTGAATACAAGATTGGAAGGCATGGCGTCCAACTATGCTGAACCATATTCCGCCACTGTTATCCAGTTCTGTTTTCTGCTAGACTTCATATGAAAAGGGGCCTCTAGACAGTGCTTTGTAATCTGTCTTCCCATGTGAGTATTAAGCACAGAAAGCAATCTCAAAACAATACCACAGACAGGGCTCTTTTGCACAGCAAGGTATAATTTATACCTTATAAGTATACCTCTGACTTCTGTCAAACTTCCTGCTACTCTTAACTAGGTGGGTGTGCTGTTTGCCGTTGAACTAGTGCTCTCCACTTTGTAATATTGAAACTGGCACCAAGAAGAATTTAATCTTCACGCTGTTGAAGCTGTTTCACCCTTGCCAGAGCATAAACCACGAGAATATTCATGTTTTAAGTGCCTGTTTTGAGATTAGGGTAGAAAAGATGCATTAGATATGTGATGATACAACCATTTGATATACTATAATGTATTTGTTACCCAGCCCTGATTTAATTTTGGGTCCTTGGGTTTAGGAAAAATGTCACTTAGAGCATGACTGTAGCATAATCTGGACAGAAGCGTGTGAAATGGAGGAGTGTGCATCAGGAGAAATGATGAGCTACCATCCTCTGTGCAAACATGGTCTCTCTGTGGATTTTCTCCCCTCGAATATGATGTTAGAACACAAAAATCTGAATATCCACAATACAGTGGTACCTCGCGTTACAGATGCTTCAGGTTACACACTCAGGTTAAGAACGTTGCTTCAGGATGAGAACAGAAATCGGGCTCCAGCGGTGCGGCAGCAGCCCCATTAGCTAAAGGCCCCATTAGCTAAAGTGGTGCTTCAGGTTAAGAACAGTTTTAGGTTAAGAACGGACCTCCAGAACGAATTAAGTACTTAACCTGAGGTACCACTGTATGGGAGACTCTTACTGGCTGCTATATTTATTAACCCTGCATCTCTTCCTTACTGTGAGCACTTTATGGCTCTCTAAGGGGAGGGGGAACCCCTTTTCACCCATCCCTCATGGGTAATCTTCCAGAGCCTGCTTATCAGTGGTGAGCCATGGCTAGATGCAAAAGTGGGCAATGGATTCCACTCTGTACAGTGGGTTACATTCCAGCCACACACAAGTGAGAGGTTTCTACACACACCTCTCTCCATTGTTCTTCCAGTAAAGCAGGAGCAATTAATAATCATTTTATTATTTATACCCCGTCCATATGACTGGGTTTTCCCAGCCACCCTGGGTGGCTTACAGAATACATAAAATATAATGAAGCATCAAATGTAAAGAAACTTGCTAATTAACAGTTGAAGGACACATTCAAGCCAGGGAAAAACACTTGGGAAGAGGGCCAGGGGCTAAACAGAATAGCCTGGAGGGCTGCATTGAGTCCCACAACTTGAGTGGCTTCTTTGCTGCTCTAGGAGTTCAGGTAGGAGTCCTTCCTAGCTCTACCTGAAGACGCCAGGGGTTAGGCTAGGGATTTTCAGAATGCAAAGCAGATGTGCCCAAACTGAGCCCATCCCTAAAATACTTGCAATAGTCAGCATTGATGGATTCTAATAAGAGGTATTGTCTTGCTGTCCTTGTGGGTTTTACTCTGTGTGGATATGGTTACCTGTTTTTGATCCATGAAGGAGAACAAGCTGGCAGACTCTTGGGTGCAGAAGAATGAATATGACTGCAGTTGTGTGGTTATGGTGTTGGACCTACCTAGGAGGGAGGAGCCCAGAGTTCAACTCCCAACTCAGTCATACTGTCGGAGGTATTTGCAGATGGGGAGAGTACTATTGCACTCAGGTCCTGCTTTCAGGCATCTGGCTGGCCTATGTGAGAAAAAGATGCTGGATTAGGTGGGCCAGTGGCTCAATCCAGCAGATGGTTCTTATGTTTATGATGTTTGCTGGGTGGCCAGCCAGCCTCTCAGTCTATCTAACCTAGCTCACATGGCGGTTGTAAGAATTAAATGGAGAGCTGGAGACTTGTGTATACCACCTTAAGCTCCTTGCCGGAAAGGTGGGATATAAATAAATCTGACAGAGGCAGAACACTATGAAGGATGAGTTGCCATAGTGAAGGCAAAAGTAGGCTAATGGTTGTGCCAGCAGAGCGCGCCACTGGGCGCCTCAGGAGCACTGAGGCTGTTTTAAACAGAAAGACGTAACAGCTCAGATATTTGCACTGCAGGACAAGGCTGAACAGCTCCCCTGGGCGAACCTGACACAGCTCTGCAAATTCTCAGACAGTCTTGGCACATACTAGGTTCACCCAGGAGAGGGTTCGGTTTGCATACATCACTTCATTTTGAGTATTATTGTGGATGGGGCTCAAAAAACAGCTCTCTTTCTTGTCCAAAACCTGTGCATTGTACTCATCCTGGTTGGAACAGTTTTCCGCTTCACACATCCCACTGCTTAGGCTTTACAAGATAGCACAAATGTGCCCCTGCTGAAGCTAGAATGAGAAGTCACAACTTTTTCCTTCTCACACCCACCTACACAACATGAAAGACTCTGAAACTTAGAGTGGGCCAGATAGATGGTTTAGTGAAATTGCTACCCTCTAGGCAGGCTACCCTATTCCTAAGAAAATTCCCAACAGTTATCTGTCTAAAATACTTATTGGAAGCCCTTAGAGGAGGAAAATTCATCATCTTTCTATGCAACTTTTTATCTTTCATTATTGAAAAGCTTTCCCTTTTGAATACCCCCCCCCCAACAAAACACAATGTTTATTGTGCACGTACTTACTTGTGGTTTAAACCCATTGGTCACCTTATCTACGGTAATCCTTGGAGCACAGAGTGAATAACTGTCCACATGTATAACAGTTGAGATTTCTCCTTGCTGAATTTAATCTGCCTGCCTGATTTGTCAATTATTGGGTGGTGTGTTTTTAAAATGTTTTAGCTTATCCTTTGAATGCTATGTATTTCCTGCCAATTCTTTTATCATCTGCAAATTTGGCAAGCGTAACTGACCGCTCACTCATCCAAATAATTAATGAATATATTAAATGCTGGCTTCCAACCAAGCAAATGCTGATTTTACATTATTTTCTTCGTCCTTATTCCAAAAACCTTCTCAGGAGGATATAATGTTAAATAGCGGATTTGGTGAAAAGCCTTGGAAGTCCCTATTACCAACTGAGGTCTTGCTACTAAACTATCAT